GGGTTGGTTATAACTCTTCCCAGTAGCATTCAATAAGAGAAAAACATATATTTCCCAATGCATCTTTTACCTGGTGACTAGTGACGGTACTGATGCAGAGTTGAATAGGCAGTTTATATTTCAATGTAAACTCAAGTGTTGAAATGTTGAGAGGTAGGGATGTATATAGTGCATTGGGATCCCTCGCTGTTTCTGGCGACACAAGTTTCCACCTTAGTAGCTCACAATTGCAGTCCTACTGGGCCACAACATATACGGCTAGACGCTTACAATGAATAATCATTAATAACTTTAAAACAATTCACATTTCATAATAATGGGGTTAAGCCTTTTATATGATAATTTTTTTATTATATATTTGAAATGATTTTTTATAGCTTTTACTGGATTTTTGAACCAGGGTTCATATATTTGGTTAGCCACATGAAGTTTTTAACTCCTTTTTACTCCTTAACTTCTTATACTGTTAAAAGAAGCATTAAATGAATCATTAATTTTAATACAATCAATAATTCTAATTAATGCAATTTTATAACATTATTAAAAAATTAAATTAGCCAGTTTTTATTTTTCTAATTATAATACTGTTTTAGTTGGGCTTTAGTGAGACTTGACTGTGGTGAGCAAGGTTCAACTTTTTAATTAAAATGTTCAAATGTCATTTAGTTGTGATAGGGATTAATTCCTCAAGCCTCAGGTGCTCAAGATAAAGCCTTACAATAACATCATCCTTGTGTTTATACTGTGTATTATCAGCGTACCAGTGACACCATGTCAAAATACCCAGTCCCGACAACTGTGCGCCTAAATGATCGTCTACTAGTGATGACTTGTTTAAGAAATCAAAAAAGACAATTCACGCCTCACCACGCTAAATTAGGCGATAAAACCAGGTTAGATTTATCAGAATTAGTGTAACATTGTAGCAAGCTAAAGAAAGGTGACCTGTGATTTGTATAGTTGGAATGTCTGTGGGCACACTTGAAGGGGCCAATGGAGGGTGGCTATTGTTGCAGAAGTACCTCTACCATCTATAGCTGGTGGTTTAAAGAGAGGAATCCTTTGTGTCTCAGGCTATAATATGGGTATTGACTGCGCAAACATCACTATTTGCTCACTGTAAAACTAAGTTTCAGTATAGTTTACACATAGAAGGCTTAGAATTGATCCCGTTGAATTTGACAGGGATATTTTTGTGGTGTTTATTGAAGTTGAGGAATAAAGGATCTGAATAGATTGTGTGACTGTGCATATAGCATTGGACTGACAAGGACCAGAGCTTTGGCAGTTTGATACACGATTGATACAGTTCATTGTAATAGTGTGGCCATTTGTTTGTCTAAGCCCCATTTTAATCACACCTGAGCCCCTTGCCTTCAAAGCACTTACAAATACTGAACTTTTCACATCTCAAATGGGCTTTACATGCGGAAACATCAAATTGGAATTGTTACTTTATATCTTCTCATCGAAATAATCATAAAACACGGATAAAACTTTTGAAAATGGGGCGAAGGAGACTTCCTCCATTGCCCATACGGCCAAGAGGTATGTATGTTTATGATAGTAGAGTACTTTACTAATACTAACTGGCAGTGGGGGCAAGGTTATTGTACATCCAACAATGAACAAATTACAGAGCAAATCAAGCGAGAGAAATCCTTTGGTACCATGCCACATGAATGACTTTTGGAGACCGTCACATTCATATACAGATTTCTGTATTATATTTCTTCACCAATATAAATATATGATTGTTCAGTAGTATGGATATTTTTAAATCCTTGAAAAGGTTTGGATTTGCAAAGTATTAATCAAGTTATGTTGACTTTGTTATCTTGTTACAATTGTAGAAATGAAGCAAAAACAAGCATCTCGATGAAACATTTTATTGAGTTCTTTCTAGAAATAATCTTATAGAGAAATTTTATGTGAAAAATGTGGAACTTATCTTGTTCGGAAATTATTATGAACAGACCAGGAATGCTGAATTTAATTAACACTTCTATCTTTTATATGTTACATTATTAAATTATTCCTGTATCAGTTACTCTAGTGAATTCAAAGTGTTTACGTGGGGAATTGGTTGAATTGATTGAAAAGATTAAACGTTTATATGAAACATGCCAATAATTAGATCAGTTATTAGGTGTCTTTTTTATGAATGGTTCTGTACAAATATTAAAGAATATGAAAAAAGGGTAAAAACCCAAATTATTTTGAAACTTTATTTTTTTATTTTGAAAAGATTGAATGTGTTTTGTGTGGAACTGGCGCCTTTAGAATAATATCATACACAACTTCTCAATGCATTAACTGCTTAATAAACACTAAGAAACATAAACTCCAAAACATACATCAATATAAATATTTGATCCGTAAAATATATATTAATGGGAATAATGTTCTATTTATGGCAACAGCTTTATACTAGTACTCTTCTCTATAGAGGCAATTTATTAGTACTTTTAATTGGTAAAGTGCTAAAAATCATAAATAACAAACATTAAAAGAAGGTTCATTAGCTGGATAACAAAGAGAAACTTCATTCATTTTCTATAACACATATAGCTTTATCAGTTGATGAGTATGTGGGATATCATAGCAGCTTTAATTTTTACCAATATGTTAGCTCGGAAATCTCAAAGTATCTTGCTATTTACAATGTGGAGGTAATTCTTTCGTTGGATAAACAGAGTGTGATCCTCGGAGCATGTGGTTTCGAGATGCTTATGTTTACAATTGATGAGTTAAATATGCAGGTGAGATGCAAACCAGTTTCCTCTCAAAAAACTCACACTGGTTTAATTCACCGGCCAAGGAGATGTTGAACTTAAAAAACTAACTCCCCAAAATCTGAATTTCACAATGGGGTGTTTGTTTAACATGTAATTAAAGGTGTTGGCTAATAGCTCAGTTAGATGTGCTCTTAGAAAAATCAAATCACCTGCCACTGATCAGTAAGAAAAAATAATATTGAATATATTTATTTCAGTTTAGCTAAAATATGACTAATTAAGAGAATTGATTGTGTGTTCCATTAATTGCACACATGCGGTGTATCAGTGTGATTTAAGTGTTCCAATGGTCATATCCTGCTTGTATTAGCTTCATCTCACATTAGCTGATATCATACAAATGTATAAAAAACAGATTCTTTGTCATCGCATTATATCAGCTCTTTTTATAGGTCTCATTATTTAAATTACATTACACATGCAACATGCGAGATATGGAATATATCCTTGAAGAAGTATAAGATATGGGATATATCCTGGATGCTAACTAGGACCTTTGTATATACTACACAGGTGTTACTCTACATCAAAGTGCAGCCTCTCTCTAATTAATTGGATCTAGCTAGAGTGATATATGCCAGCCTGCATAGAGTTAGATTTACCTGTTTAAATGCTTTATCAGAGGTTTGTCTTACACTCATGAATTTCTCACTTAAAAAGCACACATTTGTGGTGGTGCATTTCAGAGGATAGGAAATTATCATTGACAGTTTGATTGTCGACTGCTGCGTTAAATATATGGATATCCCAAACAAAGGCTATATAGAATTGATACTGATTTGTGTTCTTTATATCGATTGTGGTTTGGGGCCGGGGTTTATTATTGCGATGATTCCCCTAATCACCATTGAACACGACATGATAGTATGACTCTCACCAGTAGATCTTAGATTATGAGTCAGCATAATTAAAAAAGAAAGAACCGTATATAAACACAATTAAAGTGAATGTGACTTTAGGAAGTGATGTATTGGCGGAACATAGAGATGTAAGGGCCACCCAGTTCTCTCCATGGAACAAATTTAGCTGTCGAACACCTGGGTATGAATATCTGAGCCGTGTATTGAAAATCTAACATTCAGTGTTGCGAGAAACATTTGGGACTTAAAGTATGTTTGGATATAAAATCTTGTTTCAGAAAGTAACAGTAAACACTCTTGAAAAGTTCTCTTTAGGCCTCGTATCGGCAACAACAATATTGAACGATTCATGAAATGCCTTACTATTGATTGCCAGGGAGTTTAGTTTTCATATTTTCATAGAAAATATAACGATTGTAGGTTGTATTGGTAGGGCTAAGAATCAACAGATCCTGATATGGTCTGACAAATGTAAAATTATGGTTTTGTTATTGGAATAAACATTGATTCAATTGATTGGAGCAACTCGATTTTTGAGAGGCTGTCAATGAGTGTGGTGTCAGACATTGAAGGATTGTACCACCACTTGGAATATAAACTATTGAAATATTGGATAGAGAAAACATAAAGGCAAATTGCAGTGAAATACACATAAACACAAAGCTATTGATCTGGAATATATACAAATAGAAGGTATTGATATGAAATACATGCAAATATTATTTTGGATTTATTAGAATTCTGAAAAGTAGATTTAAAAAAATATGAAAAAGTTTGTTATTGTTTTGTTTCATAATATGTATGTCGAAAAAGTTTTAATGAAATTCCAAACTTAGACAAACTTTTGAACTCCTGTAGTGATAACATTCTTGCTATTAACATTTAATGTATGTTTAAAAGTTAGGATAAATAATTACCAAAAATAGTTCAATCATTTAATTAATGACTTCCTGGTCTCTTACCTAATATTTATTCTGGTATTTAACACAGTTTCCTTTCTTATAAATTGAGTTCTTTCTTTTTTGAAACATTCGAGTATGTAACATGTGACCCCCATGCATATGAACATGTTACTTTATGTCTTTGTATATGTTACTTAATACTTATATACATGTAATTCAATGCATACATGTTACTTAATGCAGGACTCTCCCATTTTTCATGTGGTCCCTAAATCCCCCACTCCATAATTGTTGCATGAAAAATTCCAAAAACCTAAAATATTGCACAAGAAATATCAAAACTTGAAATTATTGTTTTAAAATACAGCAATATGAACATGTTATTTGATGCTAATGTACTAGTACATGTTACTGAATGCCTATGTCATGTGTATTTGCAGGAGAGACTGAGATGAACTACACTGCCCCATTGCCATTCAGGTGTGCCTGCTCCCCACATGACAATTGTGATGAGGGACAGAACTTCTGTGAAACACAACTCAAGGTAATACCCTGAAATTCATAGGATATCAGTAAAATTCTTGTGTTGATGAATTTCTCATATAGAGGTGTGAAATCAAGCTTTTTGCAAAGGGTACTTCCATGTATTAAGCCATGCATTAAGTCATTAATCTGGCACCCTCTCTCTGTTTAATTCCCTACCTCCTCCCTATGTAAGGGAGAATTAGAAATAAGACATTGTAGCTTTATGCAGGGCTATAAGAGGTTATTGCCAATATGATAGCACATCCAAGCTTTTGATTAAAAAAACTGAATATCACAATCAATTAACGTTAAAATTCAATTTGTACTTTTATTAAACCAGATTGGCAATAATAATCTGTTATAGGATTTTTTGGCTTTTTGATTCGATTAATTAAGATGAGTTTCTGTATTTTTCTTTCTGATGTTGAGTATGGATCTCTTTATTGTACTTCCTCAACTGATACACAGATGTATCTATGCTCTGTTAAATTAAACAAACAGTGGATGAATTGCTCTTTGTAGGTGAATAAATACAGGGATCTTATAGCTATTCAAATGCAGATTGGGAGAAATTCTAAAGAACCATACTGCAAAAAATTGCAACTTTTGCTTGATAACCTAATTTGAAACATTTAAATAAATTTTGAAAAATAATAAAAAATATGCAGAAATGTCAAAGTCAATGAGCATAGTCTCTTGTAAACATAATTTAACATGGCCTTCATTTCTCAATTGTTATCCTATGTTTCCCTTTGTGCTTTTTGAATTTTTCTAATATGTCTGTATTACTCTGATTTACCTGTACAAAGTGAGATTAGTTATGTTCTCAGTAAAGAATCTCTAACATCAGATCAGTTACCTAGGAAATTGCTAGCAAACATTTGGCAATAATTGTCAATAGCTGTATCGCACGTGGATACTTGCTATATACTACTAGTGGTAAACACAAGCCATGTTACACAGCGGTGGCAGCTAGAATTATCCCTAAGAAAACAAGCATCCACTGACCCTTTACACTGAGCTCCTTAGTATGTTCTCCTACTCTCTTGCCAGACTTGTCTAGTCTAGCATGGTCATCAGGTTCAGTTTCTAAATATTCCGGTATGAAATTTTTGAAAAATCAAAAGATTTGGTTTTTTGGGTAAATATTATGTATTATTATAAGGTAATGATTTTCAGCCTTATTTATAATATGATTTAATGTAGCTTGTACAATTGAATGATGCCATAGACCAATTCATGCTCTATTGCGTATGCTTCTCTCTCTTTATAGCACAACCTTGAAGAACTCTATTTCTTTTATAGATAATATATCTCTCAACTCATACATTCCAGATTTTTCTCAATTCTACATAACTAGAACTGACTTTTACATATTTTTTCACTTAAATAATCATGATCTATGGTAGTATAAGTACGTGACAACAAATTGTATTAACCAGTGACATCCTTTATACTCTAGATGTCCAACAAGATAAACTGGCCATAAAATCTAGCATAAGATTCCATGAGTAATGATCATTGGTTATTAAGCCACATAGATATACGCTGAAAAATTAGATGTTGTAAAATGGCTGTTGAATGATCCCAGATGAAAGGGAAGGATCGAATGTCGTGAGAACAGGATTATACATGAATATGTTATGTTATGAGTATATCTCATTAGATTGTTAAAGAGGAAATGTATTATGACCCAAAATCCTGAACAACTCTTTTTATCTATTATTACTATTGTCTAAACTGAGAATTTTTTTAAATATTTTTATATTTAAGTCAAAATTGCAGAAAAGATTCATGAGCCTAAGTCTACTGCACCACTTTGAAATCATCACAGAATTTCACTCGGCGTAGACCATATTTTCATCTATTGTACATTATGTATTGAATCATGACCTTTTCTTATTTTATATTGAATAATATTGATACATGATGTGGCGAAACAATGGCATTTAAAGATATTCAATATTAAAGCTCCGTCACGAAGCAATGATGCATAGCATTTAAACACTAAGTTCTATCAATAGTTTCTTCCTTTGATGTGGTTGTACTGAAATCCCATGCATCAAAGCAATCCATATATGTCATTGCATGGAAAGTCGCAACTTAAGCATTAGAATATTACAGTATTAAATAATTGAATATTTTTCTCACATTATTTAACATTTATAGATTCTCATCTTTCCTTATGGTATTCATAAAACTCAATGATAATTATATCTGTTACATGGTATCTAAACTGTTGTTTTTAAATTGAATAGACAAAAACATTTACAGTATCTTAATATTGGCTGAACTTTGAAGTTTTATTGCCCTACTATTTGTAGGATTAAAAATTACCACTTTGGCTATAAAATTGAGAAAGTTGACATAAATCATCATTTGGGGTGTCAGGAAGATAATGAGATCCGATCCATAAACTATCATTACCATTATGTTGTTTTTTATACGTTACAAAATAATGAAATGGCAAATTGTGAAATTACAGAGCAGATGTGTATGTGGGGACATTAGTGTAATAATGAATCTACAGTGTTTAAGTTTCCACCTTTACTGATGGGATCTCCTAACTTAAAAAGCCATTTGTCAGTCTTTCAACTGTCTCATGCATTCTTGTTAGTCTTTGTGCTTGGAGCATGCGCTAAAGGGTCCTATTGGTCGTACACAAAAAGGCTCCTGGGTGCTCGTCAATGTACACTCACGTTTTCTCACTTTCACACATATAAAATATGACAGGGTGAGGTTAGTGAAATGTGCATATTAGCATTAAGGTCAATCGTCGTTTAGAGCGGGGACAAATTTTCGCTTTGAAATAAAATGTTTAAATCAAAGTGGTATAAATTATGAATGATGTCACTTTATCAGGTGTATTATAACCATGGCACATCTTTTATTTAACACTAAATGCCTCAAGTTACATTCTCAAACATAACCTATTTGATTTGATTTTATGATAAAGTCAGTGGTTTATTTTTAGTCTCTTTTTAACCATTGTATTTGGCATTCCCCAGTGAATTAGCATTAAACTAAACTAAATTGTTATAGAGTGTTTGCATCTCTCTCCAAGTTGTATCTTTGTTCTCTGCTATAATAACAAAGTCATATAATATTGAGCATTTACTCAATGTGTTCATTCTGTTGAACGAGACAAAGGTAATGATACAATAACATAGCTGTAATGAATCATTTTATGTGGCGTATCAGTTTCATATGATTCTAGTTGCATTATGCACAATACTGATGAATCCACGGTGAAAACCACACAACCAACCAGCGCAAAGAGAAACATTAATCTCTGTCTGCCCCATCTGCCGACTCTCAGACGATGTTATTGCTACTGTGAAGCTCCTCTCTTTCTCACCTCCGTGCAAATATTAAACCCCATCCCCAAAACCCGAGTTGTTATCGACACTTTACTTTTCCTCATGCTATTTATCATTGTTGGAGTAATGCTGATATGATATGGAGCATTATCATGCAACAAACACATATAGTTGGATTACTAATCTCAGAATCTGGAACTAGTACAATCATTTTTTGTTTGGTATGATTGTAATATACGAGTAGTACAGTACTTTAATCTCTAAATTTTTATCTATATCTCCATACTTTTTATAATATGAAATGTTATGATATTTTGAGGTATCAGGCTATCAATTAAGCAGAGGGCAGGCAAGTATAAAATTGAGTTTAATGAGTGATAAGCTTTAAGTTTAATGAGATTCCCAAACGTACCTGGTTAAAATTGTTATTATAAAGCTTACATTCCAGAACATTCTCTTCATTTTACTAAGGAAAATATATTAACATATAATAGCCCATCAGTGATAAAATATGCAAGAACTTATTTCTCATTATACTCATATTTATCATGATATGGAGATGTATTAGTATCTAACAATGATCAATGTGTATAAATTGTTATTCCACATGTTTATCAATAGAGGAATGATGAGAAAGAGCTAAATATTTTACTAAAAAGTGTTTTATGACACAAGAGATTTGTAATCCATATAAGAAAGGAAATTCTTCAAAGAAGCTGTTCTATTAAAGGCAGCACATTGAAATCATAAATGAGAAAGTGGATTATCAAATATTAATGCCAATGGCTCTCAAGAGAGGTCATTAAAAAACTATTATGATAAATTACTTGGTTGTTAACCATCTCTTCTTCATGCATTTTTAAGATTCAAATTGGCAAGAAATTGTAATGAAGATGAGCACGGATCAATAATGTATAGAAGTGGCAACGTTGGTTTTGTTTGCAATGTGTTTGTTTGGGGTCATTCATTTGCATATTACCTTCAGTTTACTCTCTAGTCCAATAAAGGCTGAGTTACCCTTTTATGGTCAATGAGCCATTTCATTTGACAGAAGAACATAAATTCTTTATTTCCCTCTTTGTGTGTTATAGCATTTTTGTATCATTGTTTATTTATTTTCAGTGTTTTGCTTCCAAGTCTAAAGATGAGCTGGGACGGGACATCGAGAACTGGGGGTGCTTTGATAAATATGAGCAGGGTCAGTTGAACTGCAGGACTCCTCCATCCAACAGGGTGGCTATTATGTGTTGTGAAGGAGAGACATGTAACAGTGGCCTGCAGCCTCATTACTTAGAAACACCAGGTATGTGCCCACTAGTCACCCTACATCAGGGGGTTTGTCTTTATCATCCCTGAACATTGGCGTTTGTGCCTAATTTTGCTGTACAATGGTTGGTTTTGTGCCTAATATTCAAACCCACATTAGAGGATTTGTGCCTCATGCTTACTTACAGATTTGTGCCTTATACTTGCCATTTATTAATGGCATGGGGCAAGTATTAATACTCTAATACTAATACTGTCTATGCTTAAATGGCAATAATGGGCTATCATATGTGGCTTCATAAATCACACCTGTGTTGTTCTTGTGGTGGCTGTACTCAAGGCAAGTAGTCCCACATCTGCTACTTTTCAATTCGAATAGATACCTTTAAATTTATTTATTTGAACTGATTACTTGCATTGCTCAATGCACTTTCTTTGTAATAAACATATCAATTGTTAATGCATGTAGAGACACATGTTCACAAGAGATGTTAACATGGTTCATAATGGAGCTACAAATGGAGAAAAAATGTAAATGTCCGATCAAATGTGTAAATTGCGTAGTCCATCAATATATTTATATGATAATTCAACATTGATGTGAATAAAAAGCATTGTGGAATAATATCTGTATTGGATAGTATGTAGTTGAATAGACAGATTTATGAATGTTATGACATGGCAGCTATCTTTCAAATAGTGTTTACAGTGTATCACTCAAGATTGACATACAATAGATATTCAAGTCATATCGCTTTGCATAGAAATGTGTATCGATCTTAAATCAGTTGTTACCTTTAATTTATGAATTACAGATGTTTGTATGTTTAACATTATTCTGCAATGCAGAGGAATCCATGCCAGCTTTGATGAGGGTTTATATCATTTATAATATATGCCACATCAATGATTTTGGGTGATATCATATTTTCAACAATGAATGGAGACTTCAAACATTTTTTTGAGTGGCTAAAAATGTTATCACACAAATCAAATGATATTAGATTTATTCCATAATTTCTCTTGGAATATTTTTCAAAATTGAATATTTTAAATCACCACACATTGGTAGAATGTATACTATTAGTACAATATACATTTGCACTAGATATGTACCATTATATCAATACTTGTTTCTCTAATAGCATTCATGATCAGAGGATAATTGTGTATAGACAGGTACTTTATATTTGCATGTATTGATAGATTCTATAGTTATAGCTATTTTATATTGATTAGATTTCTGTTGCGAAATTGTTATCCAAATTTCTTTATTTACAGCAACTATCCCTGCCAACAACACTCAGATGGTCGACTCCATGCAACTGGCACTAGCCGTCATTGTTCCATTTGTTGCCATGGTGATTATCATCCTGATCATTGTGTACTGCTGTCGTAGATGGCACAGGCGTCGTATGGATGTCCTCAATGATAGGGAGGCCCAATTGTACCTGTATAATGGGGAGATTCAGGCCACCCAGGTGGGGGATAGTACACTACAGGATCTGTTTGACCACTCTTGTAGCAGTGGTAGTGGTTCAGGTCTCCCTCTCCTGGTCCAAAGAACTGTAGCCAAACAAGTCAGTCTTGTAGAATGTATAGGTGAGATATATGTCACTATGAGGACATTTGAAATACACATTATTTATTTGTCTGAAATAATGCTCATTATTTTTCCATTTTATACCATTGGTCTCAGCTCTTGCTGGACTTTTGCTTCTTTTTGAAGAAATTTGCTCTTCTTCTTAGTGAGTTCATCAAATGGTGCCATTGACTCTCCAAAGAGCACACTTAAGTGTATACATTCAAAACTATCTTCATCTTTGTTTCATCCTTCATGTTGCAGCGATACAAATGCAGTTTAAACAAATGTGATCAATAAAGATTTTGGTCTTGTGTGTTGAAAATAGTCAAGAGTGTTTCAAAATGCATTCACCAAGTCTAGAAACATCCATATGACTCTTTGTTTTGTTTCCAGGTAAGGGTCGCTATGGTGAGGTATGGAGGGGGACCTATCAGGGAGAAAATGTGGCAGTAAAAATATTCTCGTCTCGAGATGAACAATCCTGGGCGAGAGAGAGCGAGATATATAACACAGTGCTATTACGTCATGAGAACATTTTAGGCTTTTTGGCGTCTGACATGACCAGTAGGCACTCCTGCACCCAACTCTGGCTCATTACACACTACCATGAACATGGTTCCCTTTACGACTTTCTCACCCGAACAGTATTAGACCGTCAGAGTGTTCTGCGACTAGCACACACTGCAGCTGCCGGATTGGTTCACCTTCACACCGAGATATTCGGCACCCAGGGGAAACCAGCAATTGCACATCGTGACATCAAATCTAAAAACATTCTTGTAAAGAAAAACTTGACTTGTTGTATAGCAGATTTAGGTCTGGCTGTCATGCACTCCCAGACCACTAATAAAATAGATATGGGAAGTAACAATAAAGTAGGAACCAAGAGATATATGGCTCCTGAACTACTGGATGAAACAATGAATCCTGAGTGCTTTGATTCTTTCAAGCGTGTTGATGTATATGCATTTGGCCTGGTGCTTTGGGAGATCACTAGAAGGTGTTCTATATCTGGTAAGTCAGGTTTAAGCCTTCCCAAGAGCTCAATCTTGTCTATACTCCTCAATTTAGAAATAACTCTTTATTATACTAGCCCAAGCTCCAGTTGAAAATTGAATTAGAAAATTGCTCCTTGTTTCTTCCTGCTTTCATTTCAAGGATCAAATATAGCCAAACAGCCTTAGTTTGGTTATATTTGAGGAATTATGATTTCTGAGCTGTAAAATAATTTATGCTAGTCAGAGGCTAGTGGCTAACTGATGGCAATTGAGCATGGTTGGGTGCAGAATCCAGATGCAAATTTTGGAATATACCACTTGCTGTTCTAAACAAATCGATTGCTTTCATGAAGGCTTAATTTAGCTCAGTCTGGATGAGAACTTGTTACAATGCTGTTATAAGACATATGTTCTATGTTCTGTACGTTTTTTTTTTAAATTCTTGTAATATTGTGGTTTTTGCATGTTTTCTCATCAGTTCTAAAAGTAATTTAAATTCAATTTCATCTTTGATAAATGATTTTGACGTTGAATATTTGAGTGTTTTTTTCCCAGTATAAATTACATAGTAACTCCGTGCAACACAATAGTGGCTATTCATGATATTTCAAACATTAATAACTTACATTATTCGAAGGTTTAAAAATATTAGTATAGACAATTTTATCTGTTCTTTTCCTCTAGATTTAAGGAATTTATCAGTAATTTCAAAATTTTAATTTTGCCAACTTTTCACCTGAACAAGGAATTGAACACAGGACCTCATACACCAGATGAATGCACACTACCACTGAAACAACTTTGAACAATGTGGTTATATGGACCAATTCAATGAAATAGAAGAATTTGAAAATTTTCAGTTTAAATGATGCTACGTTGGCTGGCAAATGTACCTTGAATCTTAGTAGTGCTCACGACTAAAATAGACTGCTGAAACCCCATATATTTTGATATTATTTCATTATATCATTATATATCATGATATCATTATATATTATATTATTGCAGGTATTGGTGAAGACTACAAACCTCCATTCTATGACTTAGTCCCCAGTGATCCTAGTTTTGAAGATATGAAAAAAGTTTGTGTAGACGGGCAACATAGACCCAGTATACCTAACAGATGGTCAACTGATACAGTAAGTACAACATCCCAATTGTTTTCTTTGGTTATTGCCTCATCAAGGGGGAGACCAGTCTATTTTTCCCCTTCAGTTGTTCCTCTTCATATTAGAGGGGGCTCATGAATGACACTTGTTTGAGTTGATTTTGGAAAATCATGATTCATTTTAATTGACTAGTTTTGTCTGTCATGCATTTCAGGAACATTTTATATGTTGTAACCATGTTAATTATGACAAAATAGTTATTCATCTCGACACAACCTAGCTACCTGTTTCTTGAATCATGAATGGTTGTACTTTATAGCAGAACATTGATTGGTTGTGCAATAACCTACTTAATCTATGATTGGTTGTTTCAGACATTGACAGCCATGGCCAAATTAATGAAAGAATGTTGGTACCAGAACCCTGCAGCCAGACTCACAATGTTGAGGGTGAAAAAGACAGTAGGAAAAATGCTCGAAAAAGAAACTGAAAAAGAACATAGCATCGATATCATTAAGACCTGAGAGGAGTTTCATATGTACTCTGCTTGTGCATTATAAATGTCCAGAGGTCCAGGATGTTGCCTCCACCTGAAGGGTTATCACAGGGCCCCTAGTCCAACCACTGAGAAAGTCTGGACAGATAAGAACCAGAGAACCATGAGTGATTAGTAAACACTAAACAGACATCTATGGACTGCTGTAAAACTGTTATAGTAAAGGCAGCCTAGAAAGAACTGTTCAGAGGTAAACAATCTGAAAGGATTCATCTGCACCTGAGGAATACCAAACAGTCAGATATTAACCATACTGAAGTTATATGTTAACAGAGACTGGCTAGCTGCTATGTTTTAAGTTACTACCTATATACATGTAGTGTATATGGGACTGTCTCAGCATTGCACTCCTTGACATCGATCTGCCTGGATGCAACCCATGCACACCAGGTTACAGTTTATGTACATCAGCTAGAGTTCATGTACATAAGCTACAGCATGTACATTGACTAGAGTTCTTGTACATCAGCTACCATGCATGTACATTAGCTACTGTGGGCTACAGTGTACCTACAATGGCTACAGTATTTGTAAATCACCTACATAGCTTGTACATACGCTACAGTACATGTACATTAGCAGGTTCAGGAAGTGCAAATGTGCAAAGAACAATATCTATAAGTATAGATGGCAGAACAGGTGTGATATGCAGGAATACTGCAATTTGGATTCTTTTAGATAACAACACAACTTCCTAACCCATAACAGCCAATATAATGGAATAATGTGGATCTTCAAATCCTTGATGAATTGAACAACGAACCCTAAGTCAGAAATAGTACAAAAGTATATTAAGAGAATGCTGTAATAGCTTACTTAGGTACAAAACAAATGAGAAATGATCTGATGTGAGAATCTCCATAAGGCTGTGTGCAATGGTAAAATGTTACTCAACATGCAGTTCATACTAAATAAGAGTTGTGTAATGGTGGGTTTTGGATATAGGATTTATTTTGAGATATGTATAATTCCTGAAAAGGAGCCCACTATCCAATATCTACCATTAGATAACTGATTTATCCTATACTAAATTAATGAAACTAAAGTGATTTACCACAAATAGACAACACCAATAAGTGGGCAATATAATTTTATCTCCAAGGGCTTAGAAAGGGAAACCCTGTTTAAATCATACAATCATTTTCTTCACTTTTCTTAGTACCCCCTCTCTTTACTTGCCAAGTGTGAGAAAAAAGTACTGGATATCAGATATGCATACCACATCATACCAAGATCTTTTATTTATTCACCATTTTAACAAGCAATTCAACTAAATGTGATGATACCACAGTGGCAACCATTTGTAACATAACTCTGTTGTGTCACACAATGTAACATGAATACATTATGAATGAAATGTCCAATGGGGTCATTAAAAGATAGCTTTACCATTCTACAGAACCTATTAATTATAATTTATATGTTTATAAAAATGTAAAAAATGATATGAATATAAATATGTAAATAAGATCAGAAATAATTCCTCCTCTATGTTTGTAGTGTATAGAGACTTAAATTAAGTACTGAAGTCTATAGTTTCATGTACAGTTGATTTTCTTCTTGTATATATTCCATAGTTTTGTGAGGGAGTGTAGACCCTGGTGCTTAGAAAGTAGTTGTGCCATAGAATAGAATCCTATCTTCCTTACTTGAGATTAAGCATCTATCTTCCATGCAGAGACAGCTTCAATGCTTCTCAATACGTCATACAGATCTGCTATGGTTTTATTCTCAATCGACAGATCATTTAATGTTTCAGGATCTTTTTGAGATAGGGAACATTGCTATAAGACTGAAGAAAAAAATCATCAATGCAAAAAGATTTTTGGTCATCAATTCAATTCACTCATTTCAGAAAAAACATTTTTTGTCAAGATGCTGAGAAGGTTCAGTCTTTGATATTCTAATGGTCTGTCTGATTTAATACCCTTTTTACATATGAGAATATTCATGGAGAATTGACATGAGAAACAGTTAAAAGAAAAATTACAAATAATCCTCTTGTAGAATCCCAATCACAGTTTATGATTCAGATCAGACTAGTCTACATGGAATGAGAAATATCATGATATGTATGTATATCAACAGTCATTGTATTCATGATTCATTGTAATAACAATACTACTTGAACTCCCACCCTCCCATTACCTCTGCCATGTTAGCTTAAAGGCATACACAGGCAAACTACATCAGGACCTATACCATGTTTTAATAGCCATTATATTAACTCTTAATTTCTAAGTTTTGTAATACCCTGTCATTACAAAGTCAATATGTTGCTGTTATACTTGTGGCTTGTACAACCTTGCTGGGACTAAATATAATTTGCCTGTGTATATATCTTAGCAATTGTGAAATAATTTATTTCGACCCCTGTATTAATACCTGCATATCTATAATGTATGACTGACTTAATGTATTTGGTAAAAAAGGTGCACTATTGCTCAAGCATTCATCACACTAGTGTAGTTCAAACATTCTAACCCAGAAATATTTGAGAAAAGTTTGCTCCCAGAATAAATTATTACAATAAACTATATGATAATATAGATCTCTGTTTAAATTAGGAACATTTTAGTTAACACGTGTCTGTGGTCAGAATTGTATATAACCTTGAGTGACCTCTCTTGTATATATATCAAATATGAGCATGTCACACTACACACTACATGTTAAACATGTGTCTCTAGAAAGTAGGTCAGTTTATAATTTACATAATGTATCAAAGGGCCATGGTGGTTTTCTCTAGCATGTTTTGATTGATTTACTAAGTCCCTCAGTCTATCTACTTTACCCTTAATCTAGAGCACTGTGAGCTTTTTTAAGACTTCGATCTTATGAGATATGTGACTTTTGAGATGGTGTTACTTGTGACATATTGTGAGACTGGTGTGACTTGTGAGGTATTGTGCCACTTGCGAATTTGGTATGATTTGGTGGACTTTTGAGATATGTTGTGACTTGTGAGATTTGGTGGATGGTTGAGATATGGTGTGACTTGTGAGATATGTTGTGACTTGTGAGATATGTTGTGACTTGTGAGATATGGTGGACTTTTGAGATATATTGTGACTTGTGAGATTTGGTGGACTTTTGAGATATGTTGTGACTTGTGAGATATGATGGACTTTTGAGATATATTGTGACTTGTGAGATTTGGTGGATGTTTGAGATATGGTGTGACTTTTAAGATATGTTGCGACTTCTGAGATTTGTTGGATGTTTGAGATATGGTGTGGCTTTTAAGATATGTTGCGACTTGTGAGATATGGTGTATGTTTGAGATATGGTGTGAATGTCGGGACTTGTGAGATATGGTATTACTTTTGAGATATGGTGTGACTTTTGAGATATGTTGTGACTTCTTATATATGGTGGACTTTTGAGATATATTGTGACTTGTGAGATATAGTGGGACTAGTGAGAAGAGTTATAACTTTTAACAGGTTGAAAAATAAGGTAGAAGGAAGCGATCCACAACTAGGAACAGCAAATTCCTCATAAAATACTCATTTAAATAAATACCAAGGTGATATTTATAAATAATAACTATGCCAAGATATTCTATTAAGTTGACAAAGTCAACCAGCACATTTGATAAACGAATTTCATCAATAATGCTAGACTAATCTATCATGGCCCTTAATGTGTCATTGAGACCAACCCAACTGAGACTGTCATACTTAACTGCTAATGAACTGAGACTTTCAATGGTTGTAGACTGTCATGCTTTACTGCTAATGAACTGAGACTTTCAATGGTTGTCGACACTTTTTCTCAAACTGTATGTGTTATAGTTGATCTTTCATCTTTAACCTCATTGTAAATGTTATAAGTATTTCAAATAAAATGTATAAAATCTAAAAACATACATATTATTTTGTGTTCTTTTATTGAATTGATTGTTTGTAGAAGTCTGTAATAAATTTATATCACTATTCTATGAACTCTAACTATATTGCAATTGTGAGATCTCTAATAAACTTGAGATCTCTCATATTACAATTTTTACAAAGACCCCCCACGAAGTGCGGTCCTTTGTACCTTATTCCCGACATGAACCAGTAGATCGGTCACGTGACCTAAAGACCGCCTTTATTACCTTATATGGCAAATTGTCAAGGGAACTACTAAGTCGTCATATGACGCGATTACGGATCGATTGTGTTTCCAAGTAATGTCGTCATGTGACGTAGAACGCATTGTCCGCCATTGCTCTCAATTTTGTCTGAACGGGTAAGCGTATTTTAACATTTCTGTCATTTTAAAGCCTGATTTTCAGTATTTATAATCGAATTTCACTTCAAATTGATTGTAGAAATGAATAGAATTGTAACTTCTTATTTTACTGAATCATTATTCGAGCCAGAAGTGGCTTAAAATCAATTTATGAACTTGAAGAAATTTAGTTACTCATGGTTCAACGCGTTTTTCAGATGGTTCAAATACTGTAGATTGGGTTAATTTGGCGCTACTTAATTTGGCGATTTTGCCATTTTTGGCATATTGGCGGCTATTTAATTTGGCGGATATGCAAAAAAATGTTAATGGAATGTTAAACTTACGCTCTGTTTGCGAATTACCATGTAAATGGGCATGTTTGGCTATGTTCATTTTTTCTTTTGAGGACCACTGGCGATATTCACCACGTTTGTACATTTTTGTGAGATCATCATGTACATTTTACACCTCAATCGATCCTGCTACTTTTCCCTGAGTATAAATGAGTGACTGACCAGTTCTGAGCCAATTTATGAGAGACATTTTTTCATATTTTTGGAAAAAATAAACCGGAAGTGACCTAAATACACTGGACGAAATACCCTAGATGATTCCCGGGGATTTATTCTAAATTTTGGCGGAGATTTATATTGGCGAATTTTTCAATTTCGCCAAATTCGCCAAATTAAAGCGGGCGCCAAATTAACCCAATCTACAGTAGTCAACACTGATATATTATGTTCTGTAAATGGTTAGTATGATGCTATGGTGGTCGCAAGGAGAGGTACCTAAAGCTCAATGTCTGATAGGAAACTAAATTAATCTAGTTTTGAGTTTGACCCCCTCCCCCAAAAAACGTGATCATCGCGGACTTTTCGCGTGTGGACTTTTCGCGTGTGGATTTTCGATTTTCATTGGATGTAGGCTACAATGTAGAATTCTAAAAACATTTGACAACAACAGTAGGCACAGCATTTGCAGAAAACATCATTCAGACAAGTAAACTCTTTATTTTAAAACCATTCAAAAGGAATTCTGATCCGAGTCAAAATTGCACAAAAATTGAAATGTTAAAATTTGTCTGATAGCAAATTGAAATGGCTTTGACCCCCCCCCCCTTCTAGATTTATTTAGTTTTATAAGCTTATCCGTCGACATTGAACCTTAGATGCCTCCCGCGAGACTTATGTGACGAGACTGGCTATTACCATCTAGGCTTCATAAGAACGATAGATTAGCTTTCTAAAAAGGTCAAGATCGGAACTCAAATGAATATAGACTGCCCCAATTCATTTCTTTTTCAGAACAAGAACGCCAACAACAACAAGATCCTATGCATAAGACCACGCACACCAACAACAAGTGCAACAACAAGGCTTAACGCAAACAATTATAAATGTTATGACAACAAAGACATATATTACAAATCAGGTGTGAAATCGGCAAAACTTGGGCTCAGTAGACAATAAAAAAGTTTACTGTAGAAGTGTATATGCTTTACTCGAGTCTCTAGCTTACAGCTAGACGAAACTTCATTGATTTCGTATGTACTGTGCTACACGCACCTACACGCACCTAGAACTCATTCTTAATAAATTTTATAAATATTTTTAAGAATATTAATAATATTTAGGATGAAGCGTTGCTTGTCTGGATTTAGATATTTCAAAATTTCATTTCGGAGTTTGACACATGGTGAAATTTTCTCGCTGTAGCTAAAAATGGCTTCCGGTTCTGGACGTGAATAACATTTGAAATTATTCTCGCTTAAAGAAATCAAATATAACAATAGATTCAGACGGGGATGTGAGCTGATGTTCTTCAAATCTATACATAAAGGTATATTTCATATTATTATGCCATATTTACTGTGCGTGTGACACAATGATTTACAATATTTATAATACTAAGGCAGCTCAATCTTCCTCCTCAAAGCCGGAATATAGAGAAGGCTTTGGACCGAAGTAATATATGCTAAGGTGTCAAGGTATGTATCAAATCAAGAGATCAAAAGACTAAAAGCTAAGGTATATTTTGTAACAATAAAGAGGTAAAGCAATACTTTTTTATTACGGTACATGAACCACAAACGTAAATCTATACATTACCGTTTTCGTTCTGTGAACGTGCTACTTTAAAAACGGAGGAAACGTAATTTGTATGTCTTAAACTTAAAACTGATTTATTTCTTTTCTCTGTTTTATTTTCTATTTATGACAAAGTAATAAGAGTGTTTCGACCCTTCTGAGCCGCGGTTTATGTTGCAAGAAGTACTAATACAATAATATTGTATTTAAAAAACTATTAGTATGAACTGTGTGAATACATGAAATATCTTCATTGTATAAATGTTGTACAAAGACAGGCAGGAAATGTATTGACTAAGGCCACACATATAAGATATGCTTTTATCTCATATTTCCAGGGCACGGTAATAATAACAAAGGTCAAGAAGGATGATGTACATTAGAACTTTCCACAGATTCCAAATGATGTCACGACAAGATCCAATGAGTCAATCAGGGTCTAGATGTCATTCACTAGGGATTTAATTGGACTTTTTGAGATTTGTTGTATATTTTTGGGCTATAAGACGCCACAATATACTGAAATATGTGCTTAAGTTACATGAAGAGGAGGGAAAGCCCCAGAGTTTCAAGATGACAGACATAATTACCTCTCTTGCTTACCACCTTCGTTCGTTCGAATTTTCATCGGCTAGTTATCAAATACTACACTTCGATGGAATGTTTTAATTGATATAGGCATATTCCGTACACCTTTCTTTATCTTGATGTGAAATGAGAAGCTATGATATTGGTTAACACGCCAGAAATGAACATAATATTATTCGAAGCGTATTTCGAAAATTTTGAAACCACCATTGATGACGTCATTTGTTTTTCGACTTTTGACCAATCAGCGACCGTGTCATCTTAATACAGATTTACATTATAAGCGTATGTCATCTTTGAACCCTGGTGTTTCTCCCCCTCTGAGTTACATGATTGTTTTATGTCACTGTGTAGAGATGGTGACATAATGAAGTTTTGTTAGAGTTTATTCGTATATTTAAACTTTTTCTTGGTAATGCAATACTGCATCAAAACACAAAAAAAACAGATATAGAAATTGTGTTCAAAGTTTGAAAATCTGATTTAAAACCCCTTGCAAAATGTAACATAACGTAAAAGAGCACGAAGCGCTATCTATATTGTTCTTGGTAAAAAAGTCATTTACAAAAATAACAATAGAGTTCCTTAAAGCCATGTTGTAAGTAATCCTACCCCAACCCAACCAGTATACCAGTGGCGCTACATGCTTCTGTGACAATATAACCATTTACTTAATAGATTCCACTAAAAGCAACATTTCACTATCACTCCATCTTTTCCGCCCCTTATACCTAACTTCGGGTCTTTGTAGTTTTTCAGTAATTTTTTCACTGGATTATCTTGTTATCTCTAATATTGGACAGATCTCTTAATATCACAATTCTGAGATCTCTGATATTATTGTTCCGATAACTCAAATGTTACAGCTCTGAGATGTCTATTATAAAAACTCAGAAATATGATACTATACAACTTTTATCACAATTCTGCATGCTCATTGCTGATATCACAATTGTTAGGTCTCTAATATATCACTATTGTGAGATCTGTTACAGCTCTGAGATCTTTGATATCACAACTCCTGAGACCTCTCACAATTTTGACATGTGTATATAATATCACAATCCTGAAATCTCCAATATCACAATCCTGAAATCTCCAATATCACAATCCTGAAATCTCCAATATCACCAATCTGAGATCTCTAATTCTACAGCTCTGAGAACTCTAATAAACCAACTCTGAGATCTTTGAAATGACAAAGAAAGAACTATATAGTACTAAAATATGATATGTACAACTCCCAATTCTGAAAGCTCTAATATCACCATTCTGGGATCTAATATTGCAATTTTATTTCTATTTGATACTTGGAATCTTTAGTATTATCTTATAACTCAATGTTCTTTGGATTTATTAGCTATATTACAACTCTTGAGTTCTTAATATCACAATTCACATCTCTATTATCACAATCAGATATTAGGTCAGCTTTGAGATTTATATTAGAACTTTTTAGATCTCTTATATTTCAATTCTTGAGATTTCTTATATCAGAACATTGATAATCTAATCTTGCAACTCGGAGACCTGTGATATTTTGTCACTTAACATTTCGTAGAATGTACTGTTTTTACAAAACTCGGGGGAAAGGTGAGGAGAAATAGAGATTAAGCCCGGGAGGTCAAGCTACACGTTTTAACAGAGCTTGTAAACGTGTAATTATGATTTTTCTAGGGATTAAAACATTTTCCTAAAACTTTATACTCAATCTTGGAAGGAAATACTTTGGAAGGGAGTACTTTTATCCCAAGAGACTCCTAGTTCAATACTTTACAAATTATCTTAAAAACGTGAAGCTTAACTTCTCATTTTCGTTCAGTCCACTGGCGTAATCCGGCAAATTATCATTTCCGGGTTCGTTCAAATATGGAAAAAATTCTACATTTTAGCAAAATACTCTGTTTTTCTGGATCCCGATTGATGTCTGGTCAACTTAAAAAGAATGGGTTCATAACCAGGTAATGTGTCATATATTAATTTATTCATTGCAATTCGCAACTATAGATTTTTTACTAGCAATTCAAAAAATGAGTTATGGATTTGCTGAAGTTTAGATTATCTGGCAGAGCTCCGTGTCTTCTAAGGCCAGTATATCGTGGCCTTCGTCCAAAGATAAATCCCTGCACGTTTTTTACTCTGCCGGATGTGAGTCATGTCGCTGTATACGAGTCATGTCGTATTCATAAAATTTGAAATCAAATGTTCGCCATTTTTCCACATCACAATTTGAATTGCAAGTTTTGGTCTTATTACCTCACCAAAAATCCAAAACTTGGGACTTGGGTCAATGTTTCTTTCGAAACTGTACTGTCATATAATTTTACCAGGATTGGAAACAATCATACAGCCCTGAGCCCTTTGGCAGATCACATCTTAATAAACAGTCATCATTGGTGAACTCTTGGTAAACGTGTGCTTGTGATTGATCACGTGATCATATCGTGCTATTTGATTGGTCATTGAATAGACTGATGTACATAATTCAGAAAATGTCATCCATTGCCAAAACTCTGACTGGATCTTACCAGTGAACAAGAAACAGTCAAATCAAATGAGGATAATAAATACAATTACATTTATAATTTCGAGTGATAGGATCTTATAAAACTCTTGTTAATATAGCTGTGCAAGTTCAAGTCACCAAGATGAACTAATTAAGGTGAGAATAGGGAAATAAAACAGGTAACTTTTTTTCGAATTCCTGTTTCCAGTCCTGGTAAAATTATATGGCAGTAAGTTTAGAAAGAAACGTTGACTCAAGTCCGTGAAAATAAGAGAATTTTCAAGAGGCCATACATCAGTGGATGAAAGTATACTAAATGTAAAATATATAATTTTTAGGGGATAAGTTTCGCGGAAAAATTGTCATTCTTCTGAGAATGGGGTTCCTTCTAGACTATTTTTTTAAATTGGATATAGACTAACTTAGGGTTCCCACCCTGGGGTTCGTTGATCTTTCAGACAAGGGTGTTGTTCCCAGAGGAAGGGGGTTCACACGACCTCCTCAAACCCCCTCTCGTTACACCCATGCATATCGATTTAGCTTTGTTTACCATGAAGCATGAGCACAAAATCGAAGAGAACTTTTCTTACTTTCCATTTTTTCCCCTGTAGAAGTTAATATCACAATTTCCCAAAATAAATTATAGTGCTATGAAATGTAGTTTGCTGATGCATTAGTCTGACAATGCATATTAATAAAAAAGATGAATAAAATATTGAAGGAAACAATTCGTTTTGATAGTTAGAATTTTTTGTATGCCTGCGGAGCTAGTGAAGGTAACCGGAGAACTCATCCCCTAGATGACAACTCATCCCCTGGACAACTAATCCTTAGGCATGTTTGAGTATAGTAAATTAACATTATATTACCAAGATTCATATTTGATATTCAAATGATTTTTAAATGTTTTGGTCGTGAATATGGTTAGCTTTAAGTTTCAAAAAACATATATTACATGAACACTGTTACTCCACTCGATAACACTGTTGCTCCGTTTGGGTAACAAAATGTTGGAGCCTCGAAAGTATATAAAATTTTCCTTTTTCCTTATTTCAGGAGTTGTAGGCAGAATTCCCATGACATCCTATATCTCGCTTTTGTTACTTTACGTAAACAGAACTTCTAAAATGGTTAAGACCTGCACTTATAACCTGTCCCATTTATGTAACAATAGTGAGATATTAAATCAACGATTCTGTTGTCTTCTGTACTATTTGTTTGCATCTTAAACATATGATACCGACAAACGTTTGTGATAAAAATGTCATGGGAAATCGGCATGCAACACCGGAATTAGGTCAAATCAAAATCGATCGTAGCTTTGAGGCTTCCGACATTTTGTTACGATCCGTTTCGGTAACCAGCATAATCTAGTGGAGTACCAGTGATAAACAAAAACTTTCTGAAGGGGAAAATTGTTAAAAAACTATGATTTTGTCAAAGGGATAATCAACCAATTAATCTGTGATTTGTTTTGAAAATATTTACTTTTAATTTTGATATGATATTAATATTGATTGTTCTTTTGATGTTATAATATGTTTGTTGTTCATAGCTCAAATATTCTTTAATCCAAAGATTATTTTTTCACAGCATTCACAGATAAAGTTAATGAAGTTCATGTTTAAATTATGCACAAAGATAACTTTATTTTTTTGGTCAGGAAATATTGAGTCATGTAATATAAGAATGAATAAGTGATGAGAGTTTTAATGGCATCGTTTGACTGTTTATTTGTGTCAATAAAGTGAAAAATAATATTTTGAATGATCAAAGATGTATAACTAAGTATTTCTCTTCAAGAAACACTTTACAATTTAGCTTCATGTGATGAAGGATGAGTTGCCCAGGGGATGAGTTGTCTAGGGGATGACTTGTCCAGGGGATGAGTTGTCCAGGAGATGAGATGTCCAAGGGATGAGTTGTCTAGGAGATGAGATGTCCAGGGGATGAGTTGTCTAGGGGATGAATTGTCCGTAAGCCCTAGTGAATTGCATAATATTTTAATGAAGTTACTCCCCAGGTATCACTAAAAGAACAATAAGCCATGAAGTGCAAATTGCATGCTCATGTGTTTTCAACAAAAATAGCTTATCCAAGCACACCTACACTTGGCAGTTTAAGTGCGCCTGGATGAACTGCTTTTGTTGCATGGGCTCATTATTCTTTTTATGATACCTAGAGTCCATTTCACTGCTTCATTTCGTCAGTAGAACGGCAAAAATAAGAAATTGGGAGACCATTGTGCAATAATATATGGAAAAGTATATTCATAATATACATGAATGACATTTGTATATTTCAGATTTTCTAGTTTTTTGTGGAATAAGCCTGTGCCGTCTTGTAATTTTAAGAATTTCAGCCATGTTAATCTTATTAAAAATAACATGGCAGAGAAACATCCAAATATAAGAGGCCACACACTTTATAAGCCAAACTAGAAGCAATCTAAGATATACAAATGTCATTCATGTACATTATGAATATACTTTTCCATATATTATTGCACAATGATCTCCCAATTTCTTATTTTTGCCGTTCTACTGACGAAATGAAGCAGTGAAATGGACTCTTGGGGGGAAAAGTTATTAAATATTATTCAATAAACTTGCGGGCAGTTCAAAGATGCAGCCTTTATTTAATTACTCTTTTCAACAGGACAAGTAAACTCAATTTCACTTTTTCTCTCATTCAATCAAATCGAAAAATAAGATTTTGACAATGAATCCAACTGTCATACAGTTATACATTTAACCATATCAACTTTGGTTTGTCAACCATGGAGCATAAGCGCAATATCCAATAGAAATTCAATTCGTATAAGACAGATTAATTTTCCAAATATAACGGTTCACTGTTCAAACTGAGAGGTGTTCACATTTTCAAAGTTATTTTAACATTGTAGTCAATGGAAGGAAAATATGGGACCAAAAAGTGTTCAGATTAGGAGATGTTGGGATTAACCAGATGTTTGAATATACAGGCCAACTGTATTTTATAATTGGCTCCCAATTGCCAAATTGTGCATGTATTAATTCTTTATCTAAAAGTCACCATGACCCGCTCTCCTTCCTCAGGCAAGGGTATTTCACATCTTTTTATAATCCTGGCTAGACCTGTGAATTCTGGTACTGTGTGTTAACAAACTATCAAGTCACAGCAAATCAGAGTGCTCACCACAAACAATATTTTGGGACTGCATATTTAACAAACTTATCATTGGCTTCTAAATCATTTGACTTAGGGGAGGCATCAAAAGTTCAATGTTGGATCAAAAACTAAATAAATCTAGTTCTGAGTCAATGTTAAACCCTTGACATCTCAAGCTTTGAAATTGTGTTATTTTCTGTCAATATTTTCAAAATAATGAAGATAATATCCTAATTGATCAAGAAAGGCATTTCATAATGTTATGTGACTTTATATTCTTTGTATATGGTTTTTACGTATTTTCTCAAGTTTTACCACAGAACTCCAGAAAAACTGTATGATCACTTTAAATTATGGTGGGTGCTATAAACTATGGCATGGCAAAGTCTGAATACTAGCACACCACATTCTCAACACATTGTACAAATGTAACAGGACGACATGCTTGTTTGGCGCGCTTGTTTGGCGTGCTTGTTTGGTGCCAAGTTTGTAAGTACTCATTTATTTCAGTTTTGACAGACCATGGGCCTTTCATCTTCATACAAACATCGCTCATGCTATACGGAGATGCCTCTAGTATCGCTAAGTCTCAACACTTTTTCTGAACAGGATCTTGAACTTCTCAAATCTTCTAGAAAGTACGACAATTTCTTGGAAAAAATTGTCATTTTTCTCAAAATCCATAATATTCCTAACATCTTGAGTTATATCGATTATGTTATATAGTGACTAAATGATTAATATAATCATTATACGTCATCCAGGAGACACTTCAGTTTCCAAATAAATGGAAGAATTTGGAGAAATTTCATTGAGAAGTGTATGACATGAAGGGTGTGTTAGAAGTGCACCATGATATTTTCATGGTTTCTAGAAGATTTGAGAAGTTCTAGATCGTGTTCAGAAAAAATGTTAAGAAGTAGCAATACTAGAGGCATTTCTGCTTAGCATGGGCAATGTTTATATGAGGAAGAAATGTTAATATTTCGTCAAAACGTTGAAATAAATAAATAAGCATGTCGTGCAGTACCGAATAAAAATTTTATCAGAATCAAAAGATACATATACTTTAAGTTGATCTACAAATCTACAGAACGAAGCGAAAGGGCATTTATCAAAAGAACTCTAGACCATTTTATGTAACAAAGCAAAATAAACACTAAAAACACACAATATAACATTGATGGACCTTGACAGTTAGTTTAACTGCTTTCATTTTATTTGATATTTGATATTTGCGCTTTAATCAAATAAATCACAGTAAGGAGAGGGAAGAATTGTATTTAAGATTTATTTTTGGCAAATCATCAATGGGAACAAACATACTTATAAATATACTAAGAAATTAGAATTAATTCACAATTAACTATTTATTAAATTGATAGTTTATTAATTTTTCATCGATATTTATTATTTGGAATTACCATTTTGTATCAGTGGCACAATTTCTAGGAGTTTGCATCAAGTTCAAAGTAAAATGTATGTTCATTTAATTACATAAACCAGGACTACATAACATATCATAGAAATCATATCATTTAAATAGAATAAAAACATGGACATAGAAATCATTACCTTGAATTTACATCATAATGACTTACAAATTATGATACAGACAATTGATTAACAAATGTCAATCCAGTTTGATATTTAAATGTTTATACTTTGGATAATGATACATATCCATGTACATACACATTCATAGATGTACATACACATTTCTTGTATATTTTTCAACACACCAGAAATATGCATCATATACATGTAATACAAACATTAGGCTTATTTTATCTGGATATTATTCATTTGAGAGTTTATTGTCTTTCAGGCAGTGTAACAGTTTTATTGGATCCAAGGAGGAGCTGAATAATTATGATGCAACACAGGTGAAACTCATGGAAGAGGAATGTATCCTCATTGATAAAGAGGATAATAATATTGGCTCAGCCTCAAAGAGGACTTGTCATTCCAAAACAAACATTGATAGTGGTAAGTGAGAGTTTGTTCTCTTCATGTTACAGTCTGATTAATTTGTTCGTTATTTGAGAAATTATGTTTTGTTTGGTAGATTCTGCCTCTCCAGGGAGAAGAGATTTTCCAGTTAAAGCAACTTTTGCATCCCATCTTTAAAATATTGATTTGCATCCTTGCATTTTAATCTGTTACTTAAAGGCAGAATCAGCTCTATAGGGAGTGACAAACTTGCAAGCAACATGTATAGTTGACCTACCAATCTATTTCTTATGATCTGGAATCCCAAAAGGTGCATGATATATTATAAAAGTTATTAAGGATTCAACATGTAAAAATGAGAAAAGTGTTTAAAATTCCCTCAAATAATAAAAATGGTCATCAACAGAAAATAGTACATTTTTGAAGAAACCTGAAATAAAGTATGAACTTTTGGGTTTTTAGAAAATAGACATGAAAAGAAATAGTATGAGCCAAAAACATAGAGAATTAGTTCTTAGCTAATATAATTGTTACATAATCAGAGATCCCTCTGATTACATAATTATCCCAACAAACGAAGTTCGGTAGGGATATAGTGAAGCCCTCCGTCCGTCCGTCAGTCAGTCAGTCAGTCTGTCCGTCTGTCCGGAAGATAACTCAAATACTAGTAGACAGATTTTCTTCATATTTAGTGGAAAGATGTATATTGGTGAATAGTTTTTTTTTTCAAGATGGCCGCCGCTTTAAAAATGACGGGACTTTTTCGCAAAAATCATAAGTTTTTCATTCTAAACCAAAGTAATTAATATTATTGTTTGAAATTTTAGTAGTATATTCACAACATTTATCTATTTCACATATGTTCCGTGTTTTTCATCCTGACCCCCAGGGGCCGTGTATGGGGGGACAGGAAAACAGAAATTTTCGCTAATTTTTAGATCTTTCTGAAGTATAGCTTTATTATACTCAAATGAAAGGCAATTAAGAGTAGTTTGCAAATATTGTATCTTTTTTCTGATTCGAGTCACGTAAAATTCAAAATGGCCGTTTAATGTACGATTTCGCAATAATTTTTTGATCCCTTCAAAGTATGGCTATATTATACTCAAATTGAAGGAATTTTGGAGTAGATCACAATTATGGTATTATTTTTCAGATTTGTATCTTAGAAAATTCAAAATGGCTGCTTTGCAGGAATTCGCAATTCTAAAATCTAATTTTTTCAATTTTAGCCAAAGTAATGAGTATAATTGATTGGAATTCGGTAATTGATATTTTGTTCGTTGGGATTTGCTACTCCGCGGAGTTGCCATTATCTAGTTTTGATATTTTAGTCCAGTTGTGATTGTGAAACAAAAATGGGAGATTAACATAACATTGTCTTTGTATTGAAAATAATATTGTTCAGAACTATTTGATGCATATTTATGGCACGTTAATTTTATTTTACAAATTACTTTACCATAGTCTTCCGATTAGAGTTTACCTTACTTGTTCAAAGGCAAATGTCCTCTTGATTATACAATGGAATTGAGATTTATAAATATTGATTGTGGAACAAAATTTATTTATAGTTGTTTGGTTGTTGAAATGCTCTCTTTACCCTAGTAGCTCATGCTGGTTGAGTATGCACTTCTATGTCCAGAGATTTTTTCTTCAGAAATCATTCATGTGAAGGTCATTGAGTAATTTTTGCTTTGTAACATATTTGCCACTGAAGGCAAAATATGTCAAATGGCCACGCATACTCAACCAGCATGGGCTACTCGAGTACTTGTTAGAGTGATTTAGGAAGGTGAAACTCAAAGCATAGCCCTTGAAATATATCAAAATTAGCAGTCTTTATTTTATTTGGCAACTTGGAATAAATATTGATTCATTGATTTATTTACAGACACCAAATTGTTACACAAAGACAATTACACAAAAATGACCATGTGTCAACATGCTGTCATGAACATTTAGCCTACATTACTTTTGTTAAAGTTTCAATGAATTCTTACAAAACATTTTATTTTATCATTCAAAAACTGTTTCTCATAACTTGAACTTTTGTTATTTTTTTGTACTAGTATATTTTTACAAAGATTATACTTGAGAAAAGTCGCAAGCCTTTGATTTTCTCAAATACATGAGTGTGTTTGATTTTCCCACAAACCTTATATAGAATCAATGGCAAGTGGTCTGAGGCAGTTATCTTTGACCATGAATATTAAAAAATAGCCAAGTTTGTTTAAACTTTACACAGGACCTTTAAATAGTGAAATATTGCCTCATTTTGTTTATGTTTTTCCAGGTATGCTTCATAGAGCATTCAGTGTTTTTCTGTTCAACAACCAGGGGGAGCTTTTGCTGCAGCAGAGGTCAGATGCCAAAATTACATTTCCAGGTACAATACAATTCAATACAATACATGGGAAATTGTTAGTTAAAGCACTGAGACAGTGGAAAAATTGACCCAAAATATGTAAAATCATATTTGTCACATAGAATTACATTTATCTCACAAATTACATTCACTTTTTAATTTTTCATTTCCATTTTTGTATATGTTCCTGTGAACCTTGATTAAATAAACACTTCCTGTTAGTGTTTACCGTAGGCTTCATTTATGTACTGCACCTCTATATTTACTAGAGACCAGGGACAGGTGAGGAACTTCAACACTGGCCCAGAGGCCTAGAGCGAATTAGCACAATCTGATTTTTCGAATGTAGTGTCAAATTTTTGCCAAAACATCTAAAATCCTCATGCCATACCTTAACTGTATTCCAGATCATTTTACAAACACATGCTGTAGTCACCCCCTCGTCAGGCCAGGTGAACTCGAGGAGGCAGATGCATTGGGGGTAAAGAGGGCTGCTCAAAGAAAACTCAAACATGAACTAGGGATTGAACCACATGAGGTAGAATATATGAATTGATTATATCTGTATTTTAATTACAAAAGCAAGGTGTAGGCTACTAGTCATATTTCTGGTGGCCCTGATATTTTACAATTTCCATACTAATAAAATGTACAGTGTAACCTGAATATGTGAAAAGTAAATATCTCTATAAAGGGCAGTCTTATATCAAGTCTGCGCTTTGCCCTTCTTCCCATTTTCTTCAACACGAGTTGGAAATGGCTCACGCAAGGTTCTATCAGAGACCATGCAAAGACATCTATTATGCAACAGCCATTTTTGCTATTCGTAGGGATTATATTAAATTCCAGAAGTCACCATTTTAAAATTTACCTTAACTTTCAGGTTCCTCTAGAAGACTTTCAGTACTTGACCCGCATACACTATAAGGCAGACAACGTACCAGCTGATGGAGTGTGGGGAGAGCATGAGATTGATTATATATTATTTATTCAAAAGGATGTGTCAGTATGTGCCAATTTAAATGAGGTGAAATCTCATTGTTATGTGAACCAGTCAGAATTGAAGAAACTTATGGGTAAGCTCAGGTTTTAGGTTTCAAATCAGAAATAAGTTAAGCTAGTGAAATAAGGCTTTGGAATGTTATACAGCAATTTTATTTGTCAATTGGTATATGTTCACAGATTGCCAAAACAGCAAACACCAAAACAGAAAATTCAAAACGTAACATTCACTAAGCCATGGAATGAAATCCAGTAATTAAATTGAGATGATTATTAGTGACAAAATGATTTCCAATCAACTCTTCTTCAAAAAATTTGGCATCTGCCAGTTGAAATTCCCAATGTACTTTTGTATTTAAGCCTTAATGTGCCAATTCTGCTTTGATTATGTACAGCTGTTTATTGTATATTAAATTTTACTTATTTTCTTACTTTCAGACAGTAACGAGTTGAAGTTTACTCCATGGTTTCAGCTTATTACCAAAAAGACACCACTTCTTTATAAATGGTGGAACGATTTAACCTCTTTGGAGCAGCACAAGGACCATACCACTATACACAAGTTCCTCTAATTTTATGGACTCTGTTCGTCCATATGCAACTATAAGGGACATTCAAAAAGTTCTGCACTGGAACCCCCAACCTTATTACAAATTCATTAATATAATTCTAGAAATTGTTAAGGTGGCCATTTTGGATTTTCTGTTTTTTCTGCACACCAGGGAAACCATTTGAACCATTCACATTTTCTGGTGTGTTTCTTTGTATCAAAATCTAGAATTTACTAGTTTTCATGAATTCTAGTTAAGTGTCAAGTCGGCCATTTTGGATTTTCCATCCTAAAGTCTTGTCTGTAATATCTAGCTGAACCATTTGATGAATTGATCTGAATTTTTTGGTATGAAATTCTAGAACTGATTAGTTTTTGGGAATTCTGGGTAAATGATGAGATGGCCATTTTAGATTTGTCGTCCTGAAATCTTGTCTGTAAAGTTTTCTCTATGTTTCAACCCAACAGTTTGATTTTAAGTGTGCAAAACTGTTCACCATGTGTCTTGTTTAAAAGACACATGGTGAAATTAGTAATAAAATGATTTTGGAATCTTTGGAGGTGAAATGACCCTAGAACCTCTGTTATGGTCAGTTTAGGATGCAGTGTTTATCCCCTGGGAAATATGAAGATCTCCCAAGAGACTCTGCATATTTCCTTTGTGATAAACCTCGTATCCAAAACCTCCAAGAATTTAACCCTTATATATATGTAGAAAGGGTGAAACAACTGAATATCTATAAATTTTATTTAAAAAATAATCTTTGGAAGCTTCCATGCAAAACGTTCTGAAAAATCCTAATTGCTCGAAATGTGAGAACTGATTTACACCACGAGGATTCTGATAATTAGTCTCTGAACGGCTTGATTAATCTACTTGGACCATACAACAAAGAATTTTGATAGGAACCTCTTCTTGGTAGAATTAGGCACTACAGGTCTAAATTAGTTTCATCATATGACATACATTTGCCACAATTTGGAGTTTCATGGACATTTAACAGTACCATATTTGATTTGAAAACTATAATTATTCTGGGTAGCTCTATCAGTACAAAACTGGTCTTCCTTGAGGCCAATATCATGCATTAATGCAAAATAGGAATGATAATCTTGCAAATATTAGGTGCAATAGACTATTTATAAGTAGAAATGAGTGATATCATGCTTTACTTAGTATTTTTTCCTTTAAATCTTTGAAGGGTTGGCGACCTCCATATTTTTGATAGAGAATCAAAAGAAATTTTAAGTTTACAAACAGTTTTAACTGTCACTATGTATATGTATTTAAAGTATTTTCATAGTACATATGGAATAAATACTGTTTTAGTTCCGGATGTACATCATTTATACATGTACAGTATAATTGTACCACTGTAATAAATATTGTATCATACAGATAAATAAAATTGATTTCAACTTAGAAATGTATATCTTTTTATTGCACCCTTGGGTGCTATGTTGTGATCAGATTGCCAGGTGAGTGGTTTAGGCACTCCAAATTAAACTTGTCCTCCCATTTTCAGGCAAACTGTTTCGGGATTAATTTCAGATTTCCAGGGATGTTTTCTTTCACTTTGTATGAAAATCTAAAACTGATAAGATTTTGGGTATGCTTGGTAAATTTTACGACATTTTAGATTTTCCTTCCTGAAAACTTGTCTGAAGTCTTGTCCACACGTTTCCAGCCAACACATTTGATGAATAGATCTGATACTTTTTGGCGCTATTTCTTGGTATGAAACTTTGCAACTGACCAATTTTTTAGTCATTCTGGATAAACTTTTATATAGCCATTATTTAGCCAAACCACTTGACAGATTTATTTGAAAATTTCATGGATGCTTCTCAGTAAATTCTTATCACTTTTAACAATATTGTTTACCCTGTGTCTTGCTGAAAATTTGATATCTTATTCAAGGTAGATTCCTCATATTGCCCATGTTATATAACCAGTAACCATGAATATTGAAAGTGAAAAACCTCGAGTTTAATTTTAAGAGCTGGTATTTTTTATTTCACAAAAAAATAATTTGTACAATTTCAAATCATCTACATGATGAGTGAATAAGTCAAATAATTAAATTCTGTGTCTTTGTATGACATTTTGCAAATGTTCACACAAATTCTCAAATGATCAGAATGTTCTTATTTAGTCTGTAGTTGAGCCTGACCTTTCCCTTTTCTTGCTCTCTTTCTGTTTTTCTTAGCTTTAGATTTGTTAAGGTTTGTAGGTGTTGGACCTTGAGGATTCTCTGAAATCATCATATGAAGATTTTTTAATGTATTACAAACATTGTGTTCGATAAGAATGTTTAATATACTGTTTTTATGTACAATGTACATCTAATATATTTATCAAGCTGTTAAAAGGAGACTTTTAAAACTACAAGTATTTTTTTTATATACTCGTTTATAGCAGTCTTTAAGATACAGAAAACTATGAAATCTCTGCACATTATACAGTATATACAGACATTGTGATAACTCACATGTGATTCAATATTTACAATGTACACAAACAGCTCTTGCAAAGTGTATGCATTGATGTTCTCACCTCTGGGTTCAAATGTAGCAGGAATCCGATTATATTTTTTCTGCCAGGGTAAGAAGGTATTGGGGTCTACAGGTATCCACTGTCTTAAAATAGGGACAACTTTGTCTGTGTATCCCTGATAGCAATGGCGCAGGTCAAATGTTCCGCTGTAATAGAAAATTGTACATACCTTGTACTATAAATAGAGAAAGGGAAATCACAAGAAACATCTTTTGTAACACTACAATGGCTTCATTAAGGGTCATTTTCTGATTTTTAGAACAATGTAATGATATCAAATTGCAGATGTAATTGCTTATTTCATTCAAAATAACATATGACAGTTGTATTTTAGTACCATGTAGTACATTTAGTACTTGTAGTTGTAGATTAGAAAATAATACAATATAAGGTAGAGGTGTCACAGGTCAGATATTCTTAGGGTCGGGTCAGAAAAAAGTGTGTGGGTCGGGTCATTTCGGGTCGGGTCAGAAAAGAGAAAAATGAATTTAATACTAGTAACTGAAATGACTGGGTAAATATGTCGCACATTATAAGACTGTTTAAGCCTGCATCACTACATGTTATGCTTTGATAAAGGAAAATGATAGAAACTTAGCATTAAATCGTAGAGAAGAACTGTAAATTATTTTATGTTCCTAATTTCTATCTTTACAAGAAATTCCTGAGTGTTCTGACCCGACCCAAATTTGGTAGGTAGCTGTTCGTGACCTGACCCGAGCCTCCTGACCTGAGATTCAGGTTGACTTTGCTTGGCGTGACACCTCTCGGTATTAGGGTCATTAAAAGGTTCTGTGAAGCCTTTGATAAAAACATTTTGAACAACCCTAAAAGTAAGATACCTTTTCTGTTCTGTAGATGAGCTTACTGAGCAATGAGGTTCCCCTGCCTCATGGGATAGAAGGTACTCTCCAACTGGCAGTCTATACATGTAGTAAATACAGCAAATTAAATTAAGACAAAGATTCTATGATTTATTACTAATAAATGACTAATGATTCTTTCTGATCATTGTTTGAAGACAAATGGTGAAGTGATTGAGGCCTAATTGGCAATGGAAAGAATAAAATGAAGGTATTTTTGACAGAATACAACAGTGTTGGGCTATAAAGTATATTGATGCATTGTTAACAGTGGTTCTGAAAGACTACATAACATAAAGGAACAATACAAGGTAACCTGTTGGAACAGAACCTTAGAAAGCAATACACTATAAGTTGTTTTTTGCAATAAATAACATAAAATTCATCAAACTTAAAGTAATAGTCTTTTATGTTGCTTTTATGAGCACTTAACAGTTGATAACATTGGCTACTGATATTTGGGATGACAATACACATCTTGTAGTTGAATGCCAATGGCGATGGCGATAGACTAGGATATATTTCAAGCATCCATATACATATATAATTTCGCAATCTATTATGTTCGGATGAAGAAAAGATGAAATGGTATCTTCCAAGATCAAACAGTCCCTTCAAGATAAAATGGTTCCAGTTAAATCTAATTGTCCCCCAAGATCTTATGGTTTCTCCCCAACTCTAATGGTATTAACAACTCTATGCATTTATTAAGGGTGAATCTGTTTTATAGGTTGGTGAAAGTACACGTAAATAGTTATGAGTTATTTTACATACTTGCTTAGTTTTGAAAGTATTCCTTGCAATGACTCCACTCCAAGTGATGGGCTGAAAATGTCAATTACCCACCATGCAATCATAAATACATCTCTCAATTCAATATCTAAAGATTAATAAAAATAAGACAATGCAAATACCAATATGGTACTAGTATGTTATTAGTGTGTGCCAAATTGCTTTCTAAGTGGCTTAGTTAGGCTAAACCTATGTTGTGGTAGCTTACTATGAATTGACCCATAGTCATTTTAGATTGATCTATTATCTATTCATTTTTACTTGTCTGCAGTCAAAATAGTGACACGAAAGGGCTAAACGGCTTGCACCAAGGTGCGACCGTCAAAAAGATGAGTTTGAAAAATATACATTTTTTTTAAATAATACTTGTAAGTATACAAAATAAGATGCAAATTTGATATTGATGTGTAATGATAGTCCATTCGGGTGTGGTAATTTTATGAAAAACAATTATGGTAAAAAATTGGATATTTATGACCTTAAAATGCGATTTCAATTAAAAAGTTACTGTTGTCAAGGATATTATTCCTACTTTATATAGTCAATGTTTTTTAAATATACCAATAACCATTTCATTAGTTTTTGACAAAGTAAATAATTATAGGGCTCACACAAGGATCAACTTTGTTCATAGCATTTTCATATAAAGTGATGTTTTGAAAAAATACGAAGGTAAACTCAATTTTATTTTTTATTTGTTGAAGAAAAAACAATTATATGTCTTGTTTCGACTGAAAAATCTCAATTCATCGCCCTTGCTTCGCAAGCAGGAGAGTCTACACCAGTACGAAAAAGTCATCAAAAAGTTGATCCTTGTGTGAGCCCTACAATTATTTACTTTGTCAAAAACGTATATAATGGTTATTCGGATATATAAAAATCATTTAATAGGTAAAATAGGAAAAGTATCATTGACTTCTGATTTTGAATAAAAAAGTATTACGAGCATATAGTGCATCACTTAGTTTATAGCTTGCAGACAGTGATCTAAGAGGCATCATCTTGTAGTAATGGGTGTGACAGTGATGAGACGGGAATTGATTTTATTAATGCAAGTTTTGACAATCCTAGTATTGATGGTTTATTTTACGGACGTCATATTAAAAGATACCAATTTGCATTACATCAACATCAAAGAAGTTTTGATTTGTTCACAGATACGTGTCAGAGTGATACCTGTAGCAGTTGCACTAGATTGATATACAACAAGATATGTGTGAGCATTCATTGCAACATTTACTTAAGAGTTATAATTTTACTAAATCTGATGGAAGATTAGATAATCTATCTCTTTTGGTTTATTCAATTTGAATATTACTTTTGCAATAAAGATACCTTAGTTTTGAAACATTAGCAGCAATTTCATTTCAAAAAGATCAGTTTTCAACTTCGTACTATGTTTTGTTCATAAAATGTGTATTCAACATAGGTCAAAAGTCAGGGTAATTTCAAGTTTAAAATATCAATATCTAGGATAGTTGGCATTTTAAGACATTTTGCCGATGGTGTGACCCTTCACAACCGATGATTATGTGACCTGAGGTAAAGATCAACTGAATGGGTGTAGGTAATTTCAAGGTCAATATCTAGCAACTTGGTGTTTTAAGGCAGTTGAGAACAATTCTGACCCTTGAAAACCGATTATTAGGTGACCTGTTGTCAGGGTCAAGGTCTATAGGTCAAGATCATTTCAAGGTCATCAATATCTAAATATTTGGCGTTTTTGGGCTGAGGTTACCCTTTGTGAATCATGAATGTGTGACCTGAGGTCAAGGTTATTTCAAGGTCAAATATCAGTATCTAAGTATTTGGTGTATTAAGGCCCTGGTATCTGCTGTGGCCCCCTCATGATAGGGTGACTTCCAAGGTCAATATCTGGCAATTTGGAGTTCAAAGGCAATTGAGAACAATTGTGACCTTTGGCGACCAATGATTAGGTGACCTGGTGTCAAGGTCATTTCAAGGTCAATATCTAAGTAGTTGGCAAATGTGGGGCTACAGTCCTATTTAATGACCAATGATAAAATGACCAGAGATCTATAAGTCAATGTTTATGGATCAAGATCATTTCAAGGTCATAGCCCAATATCTAATTAGTATTTGGCGTTTTGGGGCTGAACGTGTTTTTGTGAAAACAATATGATTTTTCTTATGTAAAGTCCGTGTGATAAAAATGATATCATCCAACTTCTTCACTTGAAAAGAAAAAACGTCATGAATCCCCCTCAACCTTTATTTTTCAACTTATTTTTTATGATTTCATTCTGGTTTGATTCCTTGACAACTTAATGATACACTACATGATTTTACTACTATATGTACGGGTATAAGCATCAAATGTGGTGCCACCTGTTATTAATAACATTCGTAAACATAATGCTTGAATGTATCAATAAATTGAAATTGAAAATATAAATATTTGAAAATGTATCTGAAATATTATTGATAAGATCCCCACCTTGTCACTTTTTGAAAAATATTAGGTTTATTTTCTAAAGTATTTTTTGTTAATTCGAATATATCAAAAGTTCTTCTACGCTAATGAATTAACAAATTCTGAAAAGGGGACGGGTATTGAAATGCGATAAATTTAAAAACCACAAGTTCCATGTTATTTTCCATTGGAAAAACTCAAACTATCCATTGTTTTCAACATAATTGTGGTCATTGAAAGTTGATATCTCTACTAATGGAAAAGTTTTAGACCACTTGTTGAATAATATTTTCATGCAATTCAAATAAAAAAGAAGAACCTCTGTTGAGTAAATAATTTCAAAAAAATGTTGAGATGGGTTCCCCATTCATAGTTTTTTAGATTGTTTGAATGATATTTTTATAATCATTGAGAATTGAATTTTCTTGAAAGATAACATATTGTGTTTTTGAGAAATGTCATATTTATATTGAGAAAGTAGTCATGGTAAAATATATGACGATCAGATATCACTTGCCATACTATACCTGGTCCTTTGCCAATTTGAAGTGAATTGTAAAATCATATCAGGAGAGAGGACATCCAAATATGAGGTTATTAGTTTAATGACTGCAATCAGTAATCAACAGCCACGAGAGTTACTTTCTCTAGTAATTCTGAATTGGATCAGTATTGTATTGTATTGTATTGTATAATACGACCATTTAATTCACACTAGTTTCTTCATTTTGCCTGGACTAAAAAATCCCGAATCTGTTTGGGTGAAATTACCAAATGTGACCAATAATATGAGTATATTTGAGTATTGTCTCTTCACTTTCCAGTCAAAAATGTAAGATTTAAAAATATTTTTACAAATAATTGCAGTAAAACATGCAAAATATAATGCACATTGGTTATTGAAATGTAAAGATAGTCCATGAGGGTATGGTTATATTATTAAAAACAATTATGGTAAAAATTGGGTATTTCTAACCATATAATGCTTTTTATTCCAAGTTCAAAGACATTCTTCCTATTTTACCTCTGAAATGATTTTCATACCACCGAATAACCATTATATCAGTTTCTGGCAAAGTAAATAAGTGTAGGGCTTACACAAGGATCAACGTTTTTTAAGACTGTTTATGTACTTGTATATCCCCTGCCGTTCTAAGAGGAAGAGCAATGAATTGCGATTTTTCAGTCAAAACAATGAAATAAACACACTCTGTTTATTTTGTTAAACATTTAACAAATAAAATTGTGTTTAACCTTATATTTTTTCAAAACATCACTAAATATGAAAATATTGAAAATAAAGTTGATCCTTGTGTGAGCCCTATATTTATTTACTTTGCCAAAAATGAATATAATGGTAATTAAAATATTTTGAAAACATTGAATAGGTGAAATAGGAATATTATCATTAACAACCATGACTTTTGAATAAATATGGTATTTTCAGGTCAGAAATATCTGTATAATTCTTCACAATTATTGTTTTTTATAAAAATGGCCACACGCAAATGGACTATCATACTTATCAATACCAAATTTGCCTCCTATATTGTATACCCATTGCTATGATTTGAAAAAAATAATTTTTTATCAAACTCATCTTTTTGATGGTTGCACCTTGGTGCAAGCCGTTTAGCCCTTTCGTGTCACCTTTTTGAGTGCAGACAAGTAAAAATGAATAGTTGATGGACCAATCTATAATGATAATGGGTCACTTCATAGTAAGCTACCACAACATAGGTTTTTGTGATTTTCTGGGGTTTTGGCACACACTATATAGGGAGAATAAGTTAGCACTGTTTTTAAGCATGCGAATGTGAGTAAAACGATGGTCTTCCGAGCCTTTACTTTAATAATTGAGTTTGAAGGTGTAAGCTTACTTTTATAGACAATTTACCTCAGTTATTTTCTGTAAACAAAGCACTTACTTTATATTTCTTGTGCTCAACTAATAATATATTATGAATAGGTATGTATGTAGTCTTAAAATCAATCATATAAGGAGAAAACCTTACTTGAATGGACATCTTGGATAGATGATGTCTTTGTGCTCTATTTCATCAAGGATTACAATCTCATTGGTTGTGTTATTTATACGACCTGTCAATTCAAATAAAAAGTTTAAGTCAATAACACTCTGCAATTTGATCATTGATCACTGGAATGACCTTAATGATAAAAACAAATCTATCCTATAACATGTATAATTTATTAAAAAATATTTGAAAACTCAGAATTAAATAATTAATTACAGAAGGCACTAGGACTAACACTGAACTACATAGTCAATTGGCTCTTCCATATGAACACTAGCAAGTATATCTTGGATACCCAGTTTCCTGGCCTCCGTTCAAGTTAAAAGTACATGTACAGGAAAACTCATCAACTTGAACACCCCTTGAATATGACCACCTACATAGCCTCTATAGGCTTTCTATAGGTTCTCTATATCTCTATAGCCTGAACACGTTTCCTTGAGTCTCTTTTCAATTCCTCCCATTAACTTCCCCACTAGATCCCTCTCTACAATGAACAAATTTTGCTGGGTCTAAGAAGCATTTACTCTGTAAAGACTTTTGTATTGTGCATTTATCTGAATTGCTAAAACGCTTACCTCTGATAAGCCTAGCAGCAAATTGTTCTCTAATCTTTGTTTTGATCCAGTCCCGAGAAATCTCACTTGCCGTGCATTGTTCTCCACCAAATATGGTCTGGTACTCCATCTTAGCGCTGAGTTGCACATAGTATGGCTGGAAGTTGAATATCAGTATTGAAGTAGGCCTAGCATAAAATATCATAAATCAATGCTAGGCTATGTAGTTATCTCAATAAAACCAGATTTGTATCAGTAACGAAAAGCAAAGACCCATTACCAGGTTTATCTTGTAAATTTTTGAATAATCTTAATGAATTTTTGTCAAGCAAATGAAATCTTAAATATTCAACATTAAAAAGTATAGGCCTAGATATCAAAGTTTCCGCTGACTGATTATCAATAATTGTAAATTGAAAGTATAATCTTCATATCATTAAAATCTAAGGAGTTTAAAATGAAGATATATATTCAGCTGGTGTAAAAGGATGTAGTAAAGAATGCAACCATTGCTTGTATCAAATTAATAACTCGTGTACAGGCTTGTGGCTAGCTTTTGCCAATGGGGTTCAATTTTCAAAAAATTCCAGGATCTGACAACTTTGGCACAAAATCACTTGATACAGGCTTGTGTACCATATTTAATTACTTTCCAATTCTCCCTTTAATCTAACCCAGCAGGCTCACCTCTTTCCTATACTGTCTGATGAGGCCATGTAGAGCACAGCGAACCATCATGCTGAGGTCACCTAGTTTCCAAAGGCTGTATGTCAGCTGGTTGTCTGCTACTGAGTGGTAGTTCTCTGCACTCTCACATGTCTCTATTGTGATAGGATCTTGAAATGTACAGAAAATAATACACTCATAATGAGGCTTATATAGTATACTTGAATTGTCCTTTCGTATTTATGATAAATGTGAAAAATATACATGTATAAACAGGGGCGTCCCCAGGAAAAAAACAACAATACATGTCGTTCTTCTTCTTTTGTCAAAAGCTGTTCATCAAAACAGGACAACCATATATGGGTTGAGACTTATGAGGTATTCCATCTAGTCTAGACCATTTGTCATATATTTTATCTTTCATTTTAAAATAAAGCAAAGCAAAGTATCTAATACAGAATGCTGATGCGACCACTACAATATGATATTTACCATGTATCTTCTGCTTGGCTCCCTGACCAGATGTGTCAGTGTCCTGTTTGACACCTTTGGCTGCTTTGTTAGCTCCTAGCTTGTACATCTTCTCCTGATCCAACATGATCTGGTCCATCATAGAAGACACTGACCCTGTGGCAGGCTCATTCTTGATATCTAAGTATGAACACATTCAAAATTGTAGTACAGTAAAACTGAAGTGGAACAACTTTGGTACCTCTAAAAAGTGTACCACTTTGGAGGTGTTCCATTTATAGAGGTTTGTTTAACATTAAGTCAATTGGTCTTGGGACTCTGAGAGAAAATTGTTGCACTAACAAAGGTGTTCCACTTCTAAAGGTGTTCCACTTTACAGGTTTCACTGCACTCTGTTCAGACTCTGTAATAACTGAGACAGGAGAAAGTACAGAAGCAGAATACAATCCATTGTAATCAATCATGTGTAAAAATGATGTCCTGGAGGTAAATTTCGAATGTACTCTTATTCATAGTTCCCCATATATAGTGTCTTCGATATCGTCTATGACAACAGAATCTGAATTTGATTAATTTAGAAAGACAACGGCATGTACATATAGGAAGAAGAAATGAACTAAGATCTTAAAATACCAATATTACACAACATACATATACCTCATACCAATTTACCTTTTTTGATTTGCTTTACTTTTTTCATCTGCATTTTATCTTCTTTAATATTACTATCTTGGTTAATTTCACTTGGCTTGGGTTTAGATTTCATGTTAGCTTTCCTATTGGAATCCTGTTGTTGTGCTACATTGTTGTGCTCTGATGCAACGTCAGTGGCTTGGCCAGGTTGACGCATAGTGCTACGAGTTCTTAAAGAAAAAAGTTATTTAAGGATGCTGTCCAAATGTTGACAGTTGTGGAAAAATGAAGTTCATTTCATTGTGGTTTAACCCCCCCCCCACCCTCCATATAACAATATAACATTTGGAGTTGTTCATTTTTTCATGAATATGTGAATAGATGTCTTTGATACGATGAGACAACATCTTGTATTGACTTTCTTTCTACATTGCTCATTGAGTCTGAATATACAATATTGTCTTAGATATTGATCTCCCAAAAATAGGCACATTCTTAGAATTATCTGTAGCATTCAAAATAATAAACTTCATGTAACAACCATAGTGTTAATTTGTCATCCAATGATTTTACTTTGAGCACAAGGAAAATAAGGTTGATTGCATAATGTCCAAGTTTGATTTTTTCCCCTGGGGTCTTTTCATGGCACTCTGCATATAGAGAAGATTACTTACCTTCTTAGTGTCTTAACATAGGGCTCCTCTGCTTCAGTAGTGACATCTACTTCCTGTTGTTCCTTCAAATGTTGTTTTGATACAGACTGTTGCTTTTCACTGGTATTAGAGGAACTCCTCCTCTTTGGGCTTTTAGATTTGATATCTTCCATCTGTCCTTTAGCTCTACCTCTTGTTACCCTGCCTGGTGATTCGAGAACTTTAGCCACCTTTGGGGATGTCACAATACTCTCTTCATTTGAGTCAATAATCAACATTTCATCATCACTGGATCTACTAACATTAACACCTACAGCTTGCTTCTTGGGTCTACCTCTTTTTCGTGTTACTTTTAACTTTGATAACACTTCCTCTTGTGTTAAATTAGCATCCTTTGACTTAGATTTAGTTGGTATGGTTACTGTTTTTTCCGATTTGTCAGGGCTGGCTGGCGATGGAAGCTCTGATTTAGATGGTAGATCTGGGATTTCTGGAGGGAGGACTGCAGGTTTCCCAACTATTACGGTATAAGTATCCTTCCCAGATTTCTCTGATGAAGGTGGACTACTCGGGGCATCTGAAAACTTGACAAGTTGTCGCTGTGCCAAAAGACGAGGATCAACAGGTACTTCTAACTCGCTAGTTTTTATTCTAGATTTAATGTTTTCAGCCCGTTCTGTCATCTCAGGAGTTTTGTCAATTAGTTTTATTTTCCATTTCATTCTTTCTATTGCTTGTCCTTTGTCTATTGCTTGATCTATTGTTTGTCCTTTTTCTATTGCTTCTTCAGATTCACTCCCTTTCCTTTGTTCATTTGGAGCCATTTGCTGTATTTTGATATCCCCATGGTCAGGTTTAGACTTTAGGTCAGTCCCAAAGGTTTCTAGATCCTCAATTTCAGTACTAAAACTATCAAACAGATCTTCTTCCACCTCAACTTTAGCTTTAGGCTCAGGTTTGAATGGTTTATCAATGTCCTCGTTAATATCTCTTGGTTTTGCACCAAACCTCTGGTGAACCTTACTACTACTATGGTGAGGGTGGGTTATAAGCACCCTCATGGCAAGTTTATTGAATTTTGTCATTTTTTCCCGGTGACTAGGAGTCTTACTCAGGAAGGGCTTATCGATGATGACAACTTTTTTCTGCACTGATTTTCCATTGACTAAAATAATATAAGTGTTGTGCTAAGTGGTGTGTCAGAATTATATGATGCCAAATACACTGCAACATACATTAAAATTTTAAAATAAAATAAAACAAGAGTTCAGATGATTTCGTGAAAAATTCAAAAATAAGTAGAAATTAATCTATCAGATGAAATAAACTACCTTTTGTAGTGTATTCTTTTACCAATAGAGGGAGCATCCATTGCCGGGAGAACTGAGGTGCATTGTTGTCAAGGAGACACTTCAGGCCACTTGAAGATACGACAATATCTGTATTATACTGAGCTAGCAGCTGCTTTATGTTGGGGTCTTTACTACAGGGCTGTACAGAAATAGAATGGGTTATAATGACAATTAAGAATTTCAATCTGGTGAACCTTTTTGATTAAATCATGATTTTCTATCATTCTTGCAAAAAGGCCATGGAATATTTTGTTCCTAAAAATACAGTGAACTGAAGTTAGTTAAAATAAACAAGGCTAGGCTACATTAAAAGTTCAATCAAATTCAATACACACTTTATTCATTTATTGTAATCCCTGATCTGTCAGTCATCAAACCATGCCATAATTACATGCTAACACATGTGCAACTATTGTATGAAGGATAAAATGGATAATAATAAATAAATCAAATTTAAAAACATGCTAGATGTACCTGTTTAACATTGGAGTTTGATGGCATCCTGGCTGGGAAGCGTTTGTTCACCTTACTGTAGTCTGTACTACATTTGGGTTTCACCACATCTGACATATTCGGAAGTATGGCTTTGGCACTGTGACCCTGCATACATGTACATACAATAAATACAGAAGTATACAATGAACTTCAATACAACAATGACTTACTTGACTTACTATTGTAGAATGTATACAAATGGCATATATCAAATTGGGATCAGGTTTCAAAATGGTTACTAACTACAACAATGTAATGGGTGAAACATTGACACAGGAAAGCAAAAACATGTCAAGATGTTATCTGGTTGAAAAAACTGCCCTTCGAAATAAATGCCCATAATGGTTTTTTAAAGCATTTATTTTGAGAAAATCTTGGATAAAACTTACAACAGATAGAAGTGTTTTTGTATGTTGAAAGGTAACCTCTGCCTTTGCCTTGCTGGTTGGTACAATGGGAATTGTCTCTTTTACTGTGAAGTATTTCCCATAACCCAGCACTCGGCCTCTCTGGTGCTCAACATACTCCTAATAAACATGAAGATTTTTTTAACCTTTTAAAGATCTTTTTAAAGTAAGTGATGTGACCTAATGGAGTCTGGTCCTTTTTAAAACAACAACCCATATATATGAGGTGTCACGGATACCCGATTTTGTTCCGATCCACGGAATTATGCCCTCGGAACGGAACATGGAAGAATTTCGGTTCGGTTCCGGAACAAGAACATTTTACCCTTTCACAACTTCTGGCCCTTGAATCTCCACAAAACAGCATTTTTCTTTCAATATTTTGTATCAAAAGAGGTTCATTCTTTTTACTCCTTCTCTTTGAAGAGTTTTGAAGAGCTTTTCGCAACCAAATAGACCTAGATGATCAGATTATTTTAGTCTCCGCAGTCACTCTGTTCCGAACCGTTCCGAAATTGTTCCGTTCCGAAGCAAAATGTTCCGAAACGAACCGTTCCGATTTTTTTTGTTCCTTGACATCTCTAATATGAGGTGTGGACCAGACTTCCATTAGGGTATTCATCTCTCAAAATTAATGTAACTTCAAGAAAATAAACAATGAGTAAAGTTTTTTGACAAGTAAATTAGTACAGTAGAACCTGTGTAAGTGGAACACCCTCCGTTCTGCCAAAAAGCGTTCCACTTAGGAGGTGTTCCACTTACGGAGGTTTTGGGTTCGCGGGAATTTTAACAACACACAAGACTGAACATAGGGTTTATATGTATCACAGAAAATACGATTCTCCATTCATTGCAGGGCAGCTATATACCATTAACTATCCATTTGTTTTACTCAAAAAGGTATCGGACATTCATAATCCTCCTCATTCTGCCAAAAAGGTTTTCTGACATTTGTAATCCTACTCATTCTGCCAAAAATGTTTTCTGACATTCTTAATCCTCCTCATTCTACCAGACTCAGGCACAAAGATTTGGCAATTAAGTTTTAAAGACTTGTTCCTACTGCTAATAATTCATTTGTTTTTAACTGACATTCTTAATCTTACTTATCAAGTTTGAAACAAACAGCAAGGGGTATTTATTAGAGGTAGCATCACTTGTCCATCTCTACAGGAGGTTAATCCAATTTGATGAATGATAATCTTATGAAATCCTTATTCGCTAATTATCAAATTAATTAGTGGTAGCATCACATCTTGATCTACCGGAGGTTAATCCAATTTGTATCAATATTGAAATTTATGGAAAATTGACTGTTCCACTTAGCAGGTTAATTTTCCGATATGGGGTGTTCACTGTTCAAGTTTGGAGGTGTTCCACTTACAGAGGTTCAATTAACATTAAGTCAATGGGATTTTAAAACGGGACTTTGAAAAAGTGTTCCACTTGCGAGGTGTTCCACTTTCGGAGGTGTTCCACTTAGCAGGTTCTACTGTATAGGGAAAATGGAGCAAATAGGCAATATAAAATCATGTTACAAATATATTATCAAGACCTTTTGAGTATTTATACCTTATCTCCCCATCCCATAATTGTATTGGTACCCCCCAACACCATAATTGTATTGGATGTGTTCATTGAGGAAAGACTAAGGTACCTGCATGTAAGTGTGTATGCCTGGTGCCATAGATGTATAGTCCTTTTCTGCAGCCATAGCATTCTTCTCGGAGTAGCGGAGAAATTCCTCTTGCTCTGGACCGACCTTCATCTGAAGTTCCTGAAAGTGAAAATATACAGTAGAATATAAATCTGTGTTTGATGTATGCCTTGCTTGGTAGATTTATAAGTGGCTGCAAAACCTGAAATAAGTAGACAATATCAATATCTAAAAATATGTGGAGCATTGAATGTGATATATCTTTTGAATTGTCTTTGTTTCTCTGATTCACTCTTCTATATATGTCTATATCTATGTCCATGTCAATAATCTGTGAAAGGCTAATAAGCCCACTTAAAGAAGATATATAATTTTACAGTGATAGAATTTGAATAAAATAGAATATGAGCATTAATATTTAAAAGTAACCCCCAGGCTACTGCATTGACATCTCCCCTATTTACCAGTACCAGTTACTGGACATATTTTAATTTGCATAACTAATAGTAACATAAAGGTGATATGAAAATTGAACCACTAAAACAGATGAATATTAAGTTAAAGGGGACTTTCTACTATACCTGCCATGCTACATGTATCTGACCCAAGTGAGCCACCTGGTGGTGAAAGTGGTAACTACCTACTCGCATCTGATTGATTTGTGAATATCCAACCAATGGCAGAATTAATTTCTAAGTTGTAATCATATTTTGCAACTGGAAATTACAAACAACATACTTGCCAAATATTTTGTTGTGATTTGAATTGAAACCACCCTATCTTCGTTTCCAGAGTTTCTCCCCAGTCCTATACCTTACTTGTAAAAGTACAAGTTTGTGGATACATATTCCAAATAACTTATATCGAAAGCTCTCTAATGACTTACTCTAAACTTATTGATCTGAACAATCTCCTGTGGACTAGGCTTCTGTGGCAGGTATGTGAGAAACGTGTTATACAGCTCTATGTAGATCTTCTGCTCTTCCTTAGTGAGAGATGACTTCCGAGGATAAGGGACATATGGCTGGTATAGAGATTTGAACACTGTATGTGTCATTTTCTCAACATGGGGAAACTTTGGTGCAAGTTGTTGATGTTGTTGTCCTGGTGTTTTTAACTGTTGAGCAGTTGTCATAGATACTGGATGTGTTGATGCTTGATGCACTGTTGGCTTGGATGCTGGTGCTTTATTGCCAATTGTCTTAGATTCTTGTGATTGTTGACCTTTTGTCATGGATAGTGGCATTTGTTGAGATGTAACAGAGACTGATTGATCAGTTGTTGGCATAGTAACAGATGATTTTTCTCCTGAGGTCCCCTCAAGCTCAGATCCTATCTCTACACTAGGGCTGTAAGCATTTCAAATAATTTTCAGATTGTATAATTACATGAACAAGTAAAATATACGAAGAAAATGTCATGAGTTCAAAGAACTATAGCCTATATTGCCAGGAGCAAGTCAAGATTTTTGAAATTCTTTATTCGATTCATTTATAATTCAAACATGACCGTGCTATATTTGAATTTCTAAACCAATCAGAATGCAGCATAGGCAATAATGACCGTTCATTATTTCTCCATACAGGCCGATTGTGCTCTATTCTATCTGCTTCTAGGAATCGATGTACATACATGTATATTGTGTTGTGTTATGACGTCACATCTTGGAATGGCGAAGCGGCAGAAAATTCTGTTATTCGGTTCGTGCTTTGTACGACATTCTGTCCAACTCATGCTGAATTTCACCATATTGAATGGTCTATCATTATCTATTCCTTAATTTAAAGGGATGTTTTATACCAACAACTGCATGGTGATATATTAGGTAATAATAATAAATAACAATATCGAAGTACATCAAATGTACCATACTTACAAAACTTCAGATTGAAAGCCATCACCAGTTAATTCATTGATGACATCAGTTTTCTTTACTTCACCAGTTAGAGTTCGTAAGGCCTGCTGTTTAGTCTTTGTCTGTGTGGTGGTAGCCCAGGACTTACTAGCAGTTCTGTGTAAGTTCTTGTCTTTGCTATTTCTTGTCTGATCATTTTGGTTGAGTACCTCTTCATGTTTGGCAATAAGGCTATCTTTAAATGAAATGCTGAGTAATGACTTGTTTAAGGAGTCCCTTGTGAAGAAGTTGTCTTGGCCATTGAGAGGTGGTTTATTCCTGGAAAAATTATTATAAATGTTATTGCATTACATGTATATTAAGTCGCTGCTACAAGATGTTGATGATAAGTATGCGATTAAGGTCCTTAACTGACTATTGAGCAGTCAGTTCACGCATCCTAAACCAATTTTGTCATATTCAATCTCCTTGATACCAGTGATTATAATCAAATCATTCATGGAATAAGACATTAAAATTAAATGGCAAATTCATTAATGGCAAACTTTAATGGCAACATATCTTCAATATTTTTAGAAAGAGCTTTTTAAGGGACTCATCCTCGTTCCTAATTCATTGAGACTTAAAGGATGTACATAACTAACTATCTAGGCCTTAAAAACACTTTAATAGTTATATATAACCTAATTCTGAAACATGCAATTCCCACACTTTAATACTGAGATTCAATTATTTGAAAAAATTCCAAAACAAAAGTTTTTTACCTTTATTGACTACAAGTATTGACTTGTATTTCAATAAATATATTAGAATAAAGGAGAGTTCATAATGACCTTATGCACTTACAGTTTACTGAAGAGTAGAATATTCAATAGCAAATAGTTTTGAAGAACGTTACATTTTCTGGTAAATAAACATATTTTGTATGAAATACAGGAAGTTGCCTACCCTTCTCTTGAAAGCCCATGGCATACAGTAGTTCTATACATTGGCAGGAAATACTTATAATAGAGACATACATGTATTAAACATATATAAAGTGGGGTGCAAAAATAAATCTCAACCCTCAAAAATTGTCACAATGAGCTAAATTCTAAATTTCGTGTCTCAAACTCTCCCAAGCGGTAGAAAAATAATTCCTTAAGTAGTATTGCAATACCTGCAAAGTTTCATACCTGCAAATGATGGATAAATCCCTACCAAATCAAACGAATGTTTTCATGAATCGCCATGTTTGTGATCCAAGGAGGATTGACTCCCAGAATGCAACATCAGGTAACCTTATTTACTCGTGACAGATTTCAAAATGGCGGAACGGCATTTTGAAAGCTGACACGTGTAATGTTGCATTCTGGGAGCCAATCCACATTACCACGTAATCCAGCTCCAAAATCACCTCAACATTTGAAGAGTCGGCATTAACATGTGATTCCACTTCAAATGTTAAGGTTCTTATTTGTCATTATGACCACGAATTCCACTATATCTGGACTTACTAGGACGGAGAAAATAGAGCACTGAATACACTGAGGTAAGAATTTATTCCATGTGCGACAGCGGGGTCAACCCAGTTGTCCGAAACCCAGTTCTCCGAAACCCAGTTTTCCGAAACCCAGTTGTCCGAAACCCAGTTTTCCGAAACCCAGTTGTCCGAAACCCAGTTCTCCGAAAATTAGGGGATCTTATTTGAAAAATACAATTTTTTAAACGAATCTCGTTGTCGCAACCTCTGCGAATCACAACATAAAATTGGAATAACGTTGACATCATTGCAAAATTAGGCTAAATATGCTAAGTCAAGACGTTAATTGTTTAATGTTTAGCCTACGAAAGTTCATATACAGGTGATATAGATGTTCAAACAAACAAAGTTAAATTATGTTATTCTCATTGTAAAATGGCGTTTACACAACATACATAGATAGGGGTCTACAATTTTTAAACCAATTTTCTTTATGGCCCATGAGCCTTTTTTGAGAGGGAACAACATTTTTCCAATGGGTGATGAGCGTTCATAAAGGGAAAAATAGCTTTCCCAAGCCAGTGGGCATTTATTTAGTAAGTATTTAGTTATGTACATCTTTTGAAACCAAAACTTATTCTTCATTTACGTACTCTGTTCGAGAAATAGAGATTAAATTAAAAGGATGAAGTGAGCACATGGCGAAAATGAAACTTCTTGCGAATGGGAGAACATCCATTTTGATACGAGGACAGCCTGCCTTCGTTTCCAGTTTATCCCAAGTGATTAAGTTATGAATGTTTTGTTCTTTTACGATTTGATAGAATACAGAGACTAAGAAATTAAATGCGACGAAATATTTTGACAACGTAGGCTAATATGTATACTGTTTTATTCTTAAAGTACTATAATATGCGTAAACTTATTTTATCTGTTTCAAAATGATTCATTTTATTTTGCCTATATAAAAGAGATTGAAGAAGATAAGATAAACTGTTCCGTAATATATATTGTGTTTTGATAACCTTTTTTTAGAATCACAATGTAAAATAAATCCCCCGTTCCTGCCATTCTGGTAACGCGTGCAATGGATGCAATTCAAAGTGAGAGAGATCTATGAACATCAGAATGCGTCCATGCCATTAATTTGGCCAAATACATGGCATGAAACTGGCCTAAGCTTAGTACGTCTCCCCTTTCTCTGGTAAATTATGACTATATTTTTCGGAGTAATGGGTTTCGGACAAGTGGGTTTCGGAGAACTGGGTTTCGGACAACTGGGTTTCGGAGAACTGGGTTTCGGAGAACTGGGTTTCGGACAACTGGGGTGCACCCGCGACAGCATGTAATTTCCATAGCTTTTGTAATTCTTAATGGTTATGTTTTATATGTCTCTGCTTGTAAGAAGCAAGAACTTAGGTTGCTACCGATAATATTGATTGATCCTTGGAATGTGCACTGAGTGACCAATGTGTGAGTGATGCCCTGTTGTACTTGAATTTTGGTTGTGGAAAAATGGAATCATTGCTGATTCCATTTTTAAAAGGAAAACTTTGGTGGGCGATAATAGGGTTTCTAAAGTTTATCACATGCTTACCATTCCTCTGGCCACGCCATACTCGTTGTTTTACAGATTTATATATGTATTGCTTTATAATTTACAATTAGAACTTAATTCTAGATAACGTAATCCCTACTTAATGCAAGCAGTGACATTTTCATATAAATTCAGAATTTTCAATTATCTCCAACTCAACTCTTCAAATGATCTTCAAAATGGAGATTTGTTTGGGAACTTTTAAAAGTAGAATTTAAGTCTACAGAACTGCTACTCTCCCTACCCTAACGAGCTGACAGCAAGCTATGTTCATTAATAAACTCCCATCGTGCCTTGAAGCTATCTGCATGGTTGTAAAGATGATCATCTTTCCATTGATTCGTCATGTAGTTGTGTTGTAATGGCTCTCTTTTGTAGTAAGTCAGTTTTAGGGCCGGTGGATAAATGACATTATGTTGTGAGTTAGAAGAGCCGCATCGTAAGTATTTTTAGAAAGTAGAAATAGCTGCTTATCGGGCTGCTTATTACAGGCCATTGTGTGTACACAAGGCAGGCCCGTAGCCAGGATTTGCCAAGGGGGGGGGTCCGACTTTTTGAAAAATTCCAGGGGGGTTCACTTGTGACAATTTTGGTCCAAAAATGGCATAAATCACTTAAAAGTGCTCAGAATGGTGAAAAACTGCATGATTTTGAAAGATTTTTTGGCCCGGGGGCCTGCAAGGCAGATGCGTAGCCAGCAATTGTCAAGGCTCAAGGGGGTACATTACTGTGAGCATGGGCTTTCAAATCTAGTTGAAAGCCCATGGTGTGAGTGAAGCAAGCCCCAAAAGACAGGTCAGAAAAGGAGTTCGCCCCAAGAAATTTCAAAAAATTTACAATTGTATGTGGTGCATTCTAAGCATTTCAAACTTTAATTTGTTAATGTTTTTTAGCAAATTTTACATAGCTGCTTTTTTGTGGTGGTGGGAGGTGTGGTCGCACCCATCGCATCCCCGCTAAAACCATACGAAATAATGCAATCAATACGATTGGCAAAGTGAACACACACCATTCTCAATGTTGTTAATGCAGTGAGTCTAGTATAAAATATTAGATAGATGGTGCTGTGGTCAACTTGATACATTAATAACTTGATAAGTTACTTTTCAAATCAGACTCATTTAGGACTGTTGTTCAGGATTATAAGTACATGCTTTAGATGGATAGAAATATTTGACGCAAGACGCAGACCTACCACACAAAGCATAAATTTCAGAAAACCCCTGAACTCACCCATAGCTCAACCAGATTAAACCTGACAGGCCATATTTTTTAATCTGAGTTGAATTGTCTATATAACGTTTAAGGCTTGTTGAACGACACATTTAATCTTAAAAAGTAAATATGTCAGATGAAACAGAATTTGAAAGTACAAACTTTAAAGTATTTGTTGGAACATTAGTTCACTCAACATGGGACATACCAATGGTTATACTAAAAAACAAAGTAATTGGAATAAAAGGAAGGAAGGTAAATATATAATGATATAAATCTAATTTCACAGGTACTACTGTATATATAATGGATCAAATGTACTTTAATTACTGTAGCATATAACTGTATATAATATAGAAGACTTCAGCTAGAAACTCCATAAACGTTTAAATTATGAAATTTTTATTACTTATACTAATTATTTTAAAATTTAACACTGAGTTGTAATTGGGGTAATATTTATCAAGTTACATGTTGTGTTATTCTTATAATAATAAATGATAACATAAATAAAATCAAGGCAAATTAACATGATGAGATTAATGTATTTTCTATGATTATCATAATTATATAATTAAATGATGGAAACTGCTAATATTTTTTATATTTTCATGTTGATATTTATGCAATAATATGGAAGAGTAAAAGGTTCAATGAGATATTTTCCTATTTTTGTGAAAGTTTAGAAGTACAGCGCACCTTAATAAACGTTTGGTACAGCATGGGTGCTCTAGAAAATATTTGTCTAAAGAAACTTGCAAACATGATCTTATCATGTTTGATTTCTAGATTTTCTGAGTGTACAACAAACAATGATTCTTACCATTGTTATAGACTTTAAATTAACACCTGATTAATTATATTTCATAAAATTTCAAAGCATAATATTACTTGGGAAAACATATAAAGCAATGTTTAAGTAGGTGGTGATATTCAAAACTAATTCTGCCCCCTCCTCCCCCATTTTGATATTATTGTTAATATTGTCACTGAGCATGTTTGATTTAAAGCTGCGTGTACTTTTAAATATCACTTCATGATCAACTATTTAACATGAAGTAACATGATGATTACATAGTTTTATCACACAAGCAAGAAATGGTATAGTTAATGATTTATACAATTATAAATAATGCAATCATCGTTTACAAGTCAAGCAGATATACATGTATACAGTGAAACCTGTGAAGTGGATCACTTCTAGAAGTGGAACACCTCTGTTAGTGGAACACTTTTCAAAGTACCAAGGCCAACTGAATTAATGTTGAACACCTCCTAATTGGAACACTTTTTTAAAGGTACCACTACCAAAGGTGTTCCACTGAGACAGGTTTTACCGTTACATTTGTTTCTCTCATGGTAAATAAAAGTGTCAATATACTTGTACATTTTTGTCCTTAAAGAGCTGTATTGCTTTATTTGAATTATCTGTTTATTTATTACCTTTATCTCAGGATAATCTTTATTACAGTATTATGAGGCTTAATAATAAACACAAAATGATAAGACTCGACAGATGTATTTATGACTTGTGAATGAAGAAATATTAAAGTGTTGGTATAGTGGTACCATGATAGTTCTCAGGCCCTTTGCCAAAGGGTGAGATTGGGGGTTCTTTCAAAATCATGCAATTTTCACCATTTTTAGCACTTTTCAAGTGATTTTGGGCCAAACTTGTCAAATGTGAACCCCTCTGGAATTTTTTGAAAAGTAGCTGACTACAGGCCTGGTTCTATATCAATTATATCCATTCCTGCATTTACACTATGGTTTCAGGGAAGAATCTGAAAGACCTTGACATCTGTAAAATAGACCTTCTATCGAACTACATTTTTGGAATTTCATTCAGATGAATGATTATTAAAACAAAGTTACAAAATTATTGGGATTTAGACCCTTATTTATATTAAATCATTCGTAATCATTATTGTAATAATACAATAATACAAAATACAATACTAATTAATAATGTTTCAGATTGTGTTTATTGAGGAGGCAGTAAAACTTGATGAGCTACAATCTCTCTGGAAGTTCTCAATCAATAATGTGTGTCTACTCTCAGATAGGTATGTGCCCCATAATGATTAATTTGGTTACTTAAAAGCCAGTTGTTATTGGGGAAAATTTTGTTGCACTTTATTATTTTTATAGTATCATGTCAAAATATCACAATTTTAATATTTTGGACACACATCATCCATTGTATCTATCTCAATTTTAGTATTTTGGGCACATATTATTCCTTGTATCTTTCTCAATTTTAGTATTTTGAGCACATATTATTCCTTGTATCTATCTCAATTTTGGTATTTTGGGCACATATTATTCCTTGTATCTTTCTCAATTTTAGTATTTTGGGCACATATTATTCCTTGTATCTTTCTCAATTTTAGTATTTTGAGCACATATTATTCCTTGTATCTATCTCAATTTTGGTATTTTGGGCACATATTATTCCTTGTATCTTTCTCAATTTTAGTATTTTGGGCACTTATTATTCCTTGTATCTTTCTCAATTTTAGTATTTTGGGCACATATTATTCCTTGTATCTATCTCAATTTTGGTATTTTGGGCACATATTATTCCTTGTATCTATCTCAATTTTAGTATTTTGGGCACATATTATTCCTTGTATCTTTCTCAATTTTAGTATTTTGGGCACATATTATTCCGTGTATCTATCTCAATTTTAGTATTTAGGGCACATATTATTCCTTGTATCTTTCTCAATTTTAGTATTTTGGGCACATATTATTCCTTGTATCTATTTCAATTTTAGTATTTTGGGCACATATTATTCCTTGTATCCTTATTTGAAGAGTTTTAGAGATATTTTGTATATCAATACATCTATGTTCCTGTACAAAAGAGATATGATTTTCATTTGTAGTCAGTTTCTTATGCCAGGCTTAGTGGACACTCACATCCATGCATCACAGTATGTCTATACTGGCACAGCACTGGACCTTGGCCTCTTGGAATGGCTGGAGAAATACACTTTTCCCATCGAGTCAACCTTTAAAGACCTCAAATTTGCTGAGCATGCTTATACCAAAGCTGTTGTAAGTTGGAAATACTTTTTAAAGGAAAAATACACATGAAAAAACGTTTCTCAAAATTGTCAAGTTTTTAATTCAAAGTCTGCTAAAATACAAAAAAAGTTATTTATGTTGGAAATTAATTTTAAAAGAATGAAGTTACATGGGTAATTTCATTAAACTATACATGTTTACATAATATGATTTGAAAATTACAACAGAGCATCAAATATAAGATAACAATAAGCTGTTCATAATAGTTTCATATAATTGAAGTTTGATTTTTAGTTGTGATCTTTTGACAAAGAGGGTATATGTTAAAACATTAGGTGCATCCAAAATGAAAATAATAGATACATTGATATTAAAGTAATTGAACTTCAAACATAAAAAGATTGCTGAGAAGGTTATGCTATCCTGACCTTCAAAAATACACTTTTAAGAGATATGGGCAAGGACAAATTATGAACATGAAAATTATCAAGTATTTGAATGTCTTATATCAAAGTCCTTTTATCATTGATATGATATCTGACATGAGCCATCTATCAAAATATATTTAACTCATCTATGGTGTGTATGGGTCTCAAGAAATAGATAACATTGACATTGTCTCTTTAACATTTAATTGTTTGTTCATTAATATATTTACTTATTTTGTTCCAGCATAGAGTTGTGAAAAGTGGAACTACTACAGCTTGTTATTTTGCAACCATACACTTACAAGGCACAATTAAACTATGCCAAATTATAAGTAAGTTAATCATACACCTAGAGACTAGAGGTGTGTCCTCCCTCATAAATATGATAATTGACACAAAATCCTATTTGTCATTGCTCGGCCCAGTATTTGAAGCACTTGACTGTTGTACAGGGTGGGCCAATTCATGTCCATATTTTAAATGTGACAATAACTGTTTTAAAAATAAATAAACTTAACAAATAAATTTGATGCGATGCGTGAATCACTTTTGTAATCTTACTGAAATGGGATTGACATTCCAATTCAAGTGCTTGGTACAAGTATACCACGAGACAAAACATATGTTAAAACTTATTTTCATTGGAATTTTAACAAATTCATCAACCATAAATTATTATCCACCATGACATAAAACCAATATTCCTGTTTGGGACACATCATGTGTTCCACAATAATGCAACATGTTGAGTTGTGAACTTACCTATGATGAAAGATTAAAGGGTCACTATTTTAAAGTACTGTGTCTTTTGTAAAAGCATGTACCCTTTTTTCAATTCCAACTTTGGACATTTCTGCATTTTAGTTTTTCAACATCTTATGCATTTGATCAGATATGACTATTCTTCTTTTTAAATATTAAAATGAGGATTATTATAAAGAAAGGAAAACATTGGCATGATAATTGCAAAGATTTCAACATTTAAAACTATGTATTCCTTCTAATTCATTTATAGAGTTAGATAAATTGAATTTGTTATTAATTGCAGGTGATGTTGGACAGAGGGCGCTAGTGGGTAAGGTGAATATGGACTGTAACAGTCCAGACTTCTACCAGGAAGACTCTACAGATTCCATACAAGACACTGAAAGGTAAATTAAACACTGACAGATTTTCCTCAAAGTTCTTTGTTATTGTTACTTACTTAAAGAAAACTCACTTTTTCAAAAGCAATTACGGTAAACTGTAATTTTCTATGAAAAACTTTCTCCCAAAACTGATGTTATATCTCTGGTTTATTCATTCAAATATGACATCAGTTTGACTAAATTTTTAATTTTAAATGACGTAAAACAAGATTATTTCTATATGCATCTAGTCTATGAGTTTGTAAAATACTACAAAATCACAGAATTTTGTTTTTAAACACATAGCTACGTGTACATGTACCTGCAGAAAAATAATGAATAATATTAATTAATCTACCCAATGAACCCTGGTTTCTATGATTCAACTTTTGCATGATTCACTGAAAAGGTCTATTTCAAAATTTTATTAAACTTTATCATCAGACTTATCATGTTGATATTTGACAATTTATATTATTTATTTGTTAATCAGTGTTCAGTGTAGTATTATTCGTGTGTTTTATTCAATCTCTTGTAGGTTTGTTGAGACACTTTTGAATCAAGGTGTAAGTATTAATTAAATCAATTAGATCTATATTTAGTCCTCTTTTTATAACATTTATTGACATATTGTATCATAACATGCATCATTTGGTGATGTAACTGACATACTCTCAGAAAGAAAATGAACAAAATTTGTTTAAATGCATCTTGGTCAGAGGGCTTTGCTACTCAGAAGAGTTTCTGTTTTTAGCCCTTTTCTGAATTATTGTATCCATTATTAAATGGCAATATCTGTATTTCTGATCTTGAATTGAAATCTGTGCTCTTGGCTCTTTCAGTTTTAAAGACAGTTAGTTAATAAATTGTCTTCTAAAACTGAAAAATGTGAGATGCTTTATCAAGCAAGTATATTTTCAGACTAAGTCTGTTCCCTTATAGAATGCTAACCTGATCCCAGTGCTCACTCCAAGGTTTGCCCTCACCTGTACACCCAAGCTGATGTCTGCACTAGGGGAGATTGCTGCCTCACACAACTTACCTATTCAAGTAAATGAATTTAAATTGACGAGGCATTTAATTAAAATCAAAATGATCATCTTTTTGGAAGCAGATAATTTGGATTTCTTGCTTTTGTTTAATCTTTAAAGACCCTGCCTTTGGACCTATAGGTTATTTGGGACACATTTGAGCTATTTTGAATTTCTGAAAGTAGACCATGCAACACAAGTTGCCATTTGAGTGAGATTGACTATCTGCATTGTAATATTGTAGAGCCATTTGGGTGAGTCCAAGGGTGAACTAGATGCAGTGAGAAGTATGCATCCAGGCTATGATAGCTACTCTGATGTCTATGATAAATGTGGCCTGTTAACATCACGGGTAAGAACAGGATGCAAAATTTGAAAAATTCCTATGTGCAATTGATCATATATAATGTTTCCAATTGACAGGGATAACTGTTAGATGATGTTCCCCTATTTACATTGGAGTAAAACTAATTTTCTGAGGAAAGTTTAAATCCATATGACCCTTTACTGCGCTATTGCCACATTCAACAAGTTGTCATGGACAAAAGTTGAGTATGTTTTACAATATTGTACCATTGGATGATTCGTATGGATCCATTGGTCCATTTGCAGACTATAATGGCTCACTGTATATACCTGACAGAGGATGAACTGAACCTGTTGAAGACAAGAGGAGTGGGAGTGTCACACTGTCCAAACTCAAACACTAGGTATTAATTAATAAACATATTTTATGTACAATGTATAATTTGATCAATTAAAAACAGTAAACGGTAAACTTCAGTGCTCTAGTATGTTGGTATTAGTAGCAAAGACACTACTGTACCTAAAAATACATCGATGAAAAATAAATTTTGAAATTTCTTTAATAATGCTTTTTTTCAGTATACGTAGTGGTCTAATGGATGCCAGAGACATGCTGGATAGAGGGATCAAACTTGGTCTAGGCACAGGTAAAAATATTCACATGGTCTAGGCACAGGTAAAAATATTCACATTTACTCTATGAAGCCTAATTTGGCATAATCCATCGCCAATTCATGAGTGCTAAAACTCCACATGGTCATACTATGCAAGCATCTATGCATATAATGGATGGTATTTTAGATTAATTATGTTCTCTTCAATAAAAATCATACTGGTATGCAGAAACCAATATGGCATAAACGTGGCAAAAAAGTTTTCCAAAATTTCATCATTAACACTTCGTTTTCAAAAAAGTCACATCATTTCACAAAATATATGGAAAAAATTATTTGTTTATTTTTCCGATCAGTGTTCAGTATTAGGCACTCATGCTTAACTTCTATGTACTCAAGCTAATATCATATGTACTCAAACATAACTTCTATGTACTCAAACTAATTTCATATGAGCTCATACTTAACTTATATGTACTCATACTTAACTTCAATGTACTCATACTTACCTTCATGTACATGTAAAACAGATGTATCGGGAGGCTACCACCCTTCAATGTTAGATGCCATGAGGCAAGCAATACAAGTTTCCAACATTGTTAGTTTTGAGCATCATGAGGGAGAAAACTACAAACCCCTAGACTACAGGGAGGTATTCCGCCTCGCCACTCTTGGAGGTAGCCAAGGTATGTTCTGCATAATTCTGTATTAATATACAGGACAAGTAATAGTTCCAAATAATTATTTTTCAATAGTCAATTTCAATGTAAATCTTAATAGTCCAAGTATATTCCACTTGATTCTGTTTTAATAGTCAAGGTATGTTCCACATAATTCTGCTTAAATAGTCCACATATCTGCCACTTGATTCTGTATTGATAGTCAAGGTATGTTCCACATAATTCTGCTTAAATAGTCCACATATCTGCCACTTGATTCTGTATTGATAGTCAAGGTATGTTCCACATAATTCTACTTTGATAGTCCACATATATTCCACTTGATTCTGTTTTGATAGTCAAAGTATGTTCCACATAATTCTACCTTGATAGTCCACATATATTCCACTTGATTCTGATTTGATAGTCAAAGTATGTTCCACATAATTCTGCTTTGATAGTCAATGTACGACTGTTTCAAATAATTTTTTGATTGTCAAGCTGTGCTATATCTAAATAGTCAATGTATGTTTCACATGATTTTATTTTTATAGTCAAGGTTCCATTCATTTTAATTTTTTAATTTTCAAGGTATGTTCCACATTAATTTATTTTTATGGTTTTTAAAACAATGCTTTACACATTTAAAATCAAGTTAATACATGTACTTTTGATCATAATCAGTATTGAGCCCCTCCCCTCAAAATTGCAATTCAATATCTCTTGATTATTTTTCAAATTAAAAATGTCTTTCTTTTACAAACATAATAATGTTACAGCCTTCATTGTTGTGATCAGCATTTGTAACATATTGTTACACTTACACATCCATTTGCAATAACGTAAGAAGAAATGTTCATTAAACGTTACCATGGAAACAGATTTTAATACACTTCAGATTTGTCACATAACAATAAATTGAATAGTCAGGATTAGATTCGACTTGAAATTCATACAGTGACTCCTCAATATATGGGCTTAAGGCATCTTTAAGGTTTAGGCAATATTAGGTATCACATCCTCCTAAGCAGGTGTCCAGAATCTATACCTCTCAAGAAGATATTCTGCTACACTTTGCCATGTTACTGCATAGTTATTGTTTGTGTTTGGCAGGTTTTTTTGGAGTTCAGCGTCTATCACAAAAGGCAGGTTGTGACATTTTGCATGTCAATGCATTGTTTATACTTGTAGTGCTAAACCTAGAGGACAAGATAGGTAACTTTGAGGTTGGCAAGGAGTTTGATGCCCTCTTGGTGAATTTTGAAGCCCTGGATTCACCATTTGATGTTTTTGAGAGAGACACCCTTGAGGACAAAATACAGAAGTTTATATTTTTAGGTAAAGTATTGAGTATGTTAGTGAATTGCTTAGGAAGTCATAGCCTTGCAATAAGTCTCGATATCCTCTTCCCAATATCTATTATCCCCAGAATGAGGTAAATGAGAAATTTCATATGCATGAAGCAGCAACAAAGGGCGCTGATGCGGTCAAATTACATTTTTCCAAAGCAAACAGTTGTTTTAGCACCATGCATAGCTCCAGACAAATAAACACAGCTAAATGATGCTTTATTTTGAATAAGGGAATATGCTTGTGAACAGTAAAAATGGTGTAATCGACGGTTGGTGTTTGGCATTCAGCATCCATCCTCTCTTTCCTTAACATGAATATTCTGTGTTTTTAGGAGATGATAGGAACATTGAAGAAGTCTACGTTGCTGGGAAGAACATTACATGTAACAATAAATTACATTGCAAGCTTCATTGAAGAGTGCTCTTTATAAACAATGTAGAATTCTAAAGTGGAAGTTGTCCCGTAATGATGGTGAAATCCTTAATAGCTCAAAAAACAGAGAAAAAGCCTAGCCTTGGACCAAGGATGACCTTGAAGTCAGTGGACGGTGCATATGATAAAGACTACTTCAACGTCCCATGAAAACAGGTCCTATGTACATGTTTTATTTAAAAGGATAGGTATCGATATGGAGAACTGAATTCAACAATGTTTTTCTCTTAAACCAATCATTGAAAACATTCTGTAAAAAAACATGGTATTTTATGTAATGTTGACTGATTGACAACAATTAAATGCGAAAATCATTTAGAAATATTTTATATAACTGTTTTTGTTATCATTTTTTGTTTTTTTTAGTGCAATTGTTTTTGCTCCTTTCTACCAATTCTTGAGAATCAAATATAACGTCTTTCCGAACATTGTTATACAACATGTTTTTAGACCTCTCAATATTAAAGTTATACAAAGGAATTTTTGGTTGATTTTAAAAAAGTATTTAAAAAATTGAAACAAAATCCCCCCAAAATAGATAAAAATCAAGAAAAACCTTTTATTTCATTAACAAGATACTTTTTTAAAATCAACCAAAATTTCCTTTGTACAATTACAATATTGAGAGACCTAAACATGTTGTGTTTATGTCGTTTTGTTCCAATGAGGTTCGGAAAGATGTTTCATTTCACTCTGGAAACATGATACCAAGAACAAAACAAGTGTTTGATGTGTTTTTTAAAACAATATAGATGAAAGTATGTATATCTATTTCAAATTATATTGTTACCATTCAAAAGATGGCCATTAAATTGACAATTTGTAAGATTTTCAGAAATTTTTGATGACTGGTTTAAGAGAAACGTGTGTTCAAAAAGTTCGCCATATCGATACCCATTCTTTAAAGAAAACATTTATTTTGAGATTGCCTAGGAATGGAGGCTAATGGAGTGGCATTTTGTATAAATGTGTGTAATGTTTCACAATACGTGTACAGTTTGTACTTGAACATTATTAATTTATTATTCAAAGCATTCCATAGAACACAAGCCCAAAAGGTTGATTGCTCATTTAATTCATGGACGTACATTGTACTTTCTGTTACTAGTAGTCTGTGTTTAATTATAGATTAAAAATTGGACAAATAATGGTGGATGGATTTTTTTTCTATGTCGAATCAAGTATTTAGGTCAAGGGTTGGTGCATACATGTAATTAGATTATCATTTTACATTGGTTCATATAAATTTAACATTTTAGTGTTTTTAACAATACAGTACAATGGACATGAATTTTACAGGATTTTATCTTGCATATTTAATTTTGAGATTTCTATAGATTTTACTGTATACTTACTTATACTGCTTACTGAGAGACATAGACTGGTATTAAGATAAGGATAGTCTTTATTATTTTAGTCTTATTTATGTATGTAAAGTTGTGCAGACTTGCCTCCTTAAATGAAAAATTTGCGCGAGATTTAAAAATATTTGGTACCTTATGGGAGATTTTTCCATAATCCAGTAGGTTTTGCGGGAGATTTTTGAAAAAACTAGTTTTTACGGAAGATTTTGAAAATTTGAAAAAAACAGGAGTTTTTACGGTAGATTTGAAATAAAACTGTAGTTTTTGCGAAAGATTTTTTTCAAAAATCCTAAAAAAGCAGAAGTTTTTGCAGTAAATTTGATAAGCAATGGTAGTTTTTGCTGTAGATTTTTGGGAAAAACTGGATTTTTTGTGGGAGATCTTTGAAAAAACCTTTTGCATTAGACTTTAGAAAAAATGGGAGTTATGCGGGAGATTATGAAAAAATCGTAGTTCAGTGGTAGATCTCTGAAAAAAAGTATTTTCTGAGTTTTGATGCTTAATACTTTGATTCTAACAATATAAAATACAGGAGTATACATAGAGAAAACGGTATGGGAGTTTTTGGGTTTTTTCCAGGAAAACAAAAGTTTTATGGGAGATTCCCGTAAAAAATGGGAGATTGGCAGGTCTGCTATGTATACAATTTGAACAGTATTAACTTCTAATATTTATAAGAATATACATAGGCGTAGTCAGGGAGAGGAGGTGCTCCCCCCCATAACTTATAAAAGTAAAACCATTTTATAGAAGAAGAAAATAGCTTTAAAATGCTTTATATTTGAAGTTTCTAGCTCTATTTTGAAGAAAGTTACTTCGATTTTTGTAAAATTGAAAACAAATCCTGAATTTTTTGGGCTCACTTTATGCTAGATTGCACCCCCCCCCCCCCCTCTGACTGAAAACCCCAAAAAATGTTGGCAATTGCAACCCCCAAAATTGAAAGCTGGCTACGCACATGACATATAAAATATGTATTTTTCAGCTCAAAATATATACACGTGTACATATACAAGTATATGAATAATCTATAAACTAAACTCTTGTGTGCAAGTATTACTAATTGAAAATCTTCAAAAATCAAATTGCTTCAAGGTTTGTTGAGGCCTACATATGAGTTGTGTTTCAAGCATTTCAAGTGCATTTTTGATTACATGCTTTTCATAAATCTAGTAATGCAAGTCTTTACAGAGACGTTACAGTCCATGCCCCATTGCTGTCTTTATGGTTTGATTTTAAAGCTTATTTGGCTTGAACTTGAAGAAAAGTAGACTTAATTATAATCAATAGAATAGTTTCTAAATAAATGAATAAAGCTGACATAATAGATGTCACCCTCGTCATTCTTCATTTTCCTTGGGCCAGACTGCCATTGGCTTCCATGTTATGAACTTGCAATAGTCATTTAATTCAATTATTTATGAAAAAGTGTTGGTTGAATCTGTCTGACACTCTGATGGCATACTATTAGGGATGACCCTGTCAATGTACCTATTGTGATTAATCATGAACGTTTTGGTTGTCAAATGAAAAAAAAAAATTTTGAGAATCTTAGCATTGCATCAATGGAGATTTGGCCCAAGTTTTTTTTTTAAACTTCATGGAAAATGATTTAAATGACATAACTCTATAAAATCTCTCAAAGTTGATATTGTGGAAAACTTTTCACTGAATTCAAATATGCTATTAAAAAGAAAAAAGTTAGTTGGAGATCAATAGTGCGAATCTCTTAAAATCACATGAAAAACAAAAATTAGCGAGATTTCAAAAGTACTAGTATAATAGTATTATAATATAGTAAATGGAAACTCCTCTATTCGGACATTTATGCATTTATGCATATTTGATCAGATACCTCAAACCCTCTTCAGATATTTAAGGGAAACAATGTGATAAATATTGTTTTCATTCCTTTGGTGCCACTTTAACGACCCACACTGTCACTGAAAGTAGGTTGCACCTTCTACGTCATCAAAATATATTGGTATGAATTCAACTAAATCCAATTCTGATTTAGCCAAACAACGAATCCTAACTGACTATTCTCGAACTATCCTCTTAATCATAATCCCATTATTTTTGAGGGGTATTGGTCATGATTGAAAAAGCGAAATCCCCTCCTTAATTCCAACAAATCTTGACATTTCTGCATCTTTATATTAAATTTTTCTCATTAGATCAGATACTATCTCAATTCCTTTTTCAGAAAATAAGGATTGTGACGAAAATATTGCTTATGCTTTTTAGAAGACTACTTTCAACATTTTACACTCTGTTCTTTGCTGCTACCTTTAAGATCAAAACAATTAGAAATGAAGCTTTCAAATCCATGGCTTTTACCATACTCGTTTCCCAGTTTGATTTTCATTTTTCCTGAGATTTTAAGAGATTCAGACTTTTGATCTCTAACAACTAACTTTGTTTCTTTTTAATGGCATATTTGAATTCAGTGAAAGCACATCATACCTTGGAAATCCAAGATGGGCTTTTACAGGGAGTTCGAATATCAAATGATTGTTATGTATCAATAGGACATTAACACTGTAGTACGCACTGTAGTTATAGTTTAAATGTTAAAATGTTCATGATATGTCATTATTTAGTTCCTAGATATATAGATGAAAGTATCGCTTTGGTTGGACTTAACAATATGGCAGGGTATACTATAAATAAACATTATTCTTTATCACTTAAAGGAACAAAATGCGTAAATGAAGTCTCACATTTGATCGTCATAGTATTTCCAATGGATTAATAAGTACCTGATCTTTCATTTGACACCAAAAACAGATCAAACAGATCACATCAGAGTTGACACTAGATCATGAAAAAATAATTTTGATCTATCAATTTATATATTTCAAGTTTTTAGCAATGCCATTGAAAAATGGCATTGTTGTTTGCATTAATTATCCATTCATTTTTGATAGGATTTTCAACCATACGCCATTTTTAATTCAAGAGTTATTTAAAACATACACTTTGTGAAAAGTGGTAGTTCACTTATTTTGATCTCTGAACTTCAAATGCTGTTTTCTATGCAAGTATTATTTTCACTTCAGTATTGACCCAAATTACCCAAATGCGAGTAGGTAGTTACCAGTTTCACCACCAGGTGACTGATTCGGGTCAATTAACATGGCAGGTATATAAGAACGTTCCCTTAAACTTGAATATTATCAATTTAAGTGGCTCAATTTTCATATAACCCTTATGTGTCTGATACTTATACTAATGCAAATATATCCAGTGAAGCAAAATATTATCTGTCCACTAAAAGAAAAGATATTTCATTTTTTGTGATTTTATAGCATGGGGTCTATGGGGAATCTCCCCGAGCTAGAAGTGACATTTTCAAAGAAAATTAATTTTTCAAAGTTAATAAACACTTTTTAAAACCACATTTCTAGATGTAATTTTACATGTAGATTTCAAATATGATATTACTTTGACTGAATTTTGAATTTTTAATGACGTAAATCAAGATTATTTCTACTCGCATCTGGGTTATTAAAGTTTTTATCATTTGATTGAGTGTGTGAGTAACATGTCTCAAATAATATTTTGTCCCCTTTCCTTCAAATATTTTGCACTGCGCCCGCAAACAATCTGATGCATGGTAATCGCATCTTGATTCACTAGGTTTCAGTTGCTCCTATGTATTTAGACCCGGTGGAAAGTGACGATGTGGAAATCATACGATGATCACACGATAAGATACTGCACCTGCCGTCTGGACATCCTTCCAACAACCAACCAGTATGTGTCATTTTCTTCATTTGATTTAAATTTTATAATACTAGTATTTGTAATACATCTTAATTTGTGAAAACTTGTATATAAAAGTTATATAAAGTTTTCACTTTAGATGTATTCTCGGGCTACTAAGAACTTTTTCATATTTTATCAATATCTTAGCGTATTCAATAGATGAGATGATTGGCCTTTGAAAGAGGTGAGGTAGATATACAGTAGGTCTCACAAATCTTCTGATATGTAACTATAGGTAGGTATATAACTATTTTCTAAATTAGAATCAAGTTTTATAAATCATTAAGTATGCAATATTGAACGATTTTATTACCTTTCAAAATGGTCATGATTACTCAGTCATCCGTAACAATTACATGGTGATCTAGGTATCATCTGATGGAGGATAAATTAGGCATTTTACTGCTATTTTTGTATTTCAAAAAAAAAATTGCTTGAAGGATTTGAGTAATCTTGCATTTGGTTGGGTATACTTTTTGTGGACGCCCTGTAGTACCAGAGGGTGAACACGTCAAGTGCTTAATCATTGAAAAGACACTATTACAAGGGTCAACTTGTCACCTTTACAACATTCAGCATTTTCCATTTGACCTGTATGAACACATGGCTTGTCATTCTCTCGTATTTATAGATTTTTACTATTTTACAATGGAATTGATCAGCTTATCGGTTTCATTAGTTTCACTAGAATCTAAACATGACCTTGGTTATAATGCAGTTCAGTTATATCAAATAGCGTGTTATGCTCGGCTGAAATTGGACACACCATGTCTGGTTATAGTGTGAATATGTAATGTCATACTTTGATATAATATTAAATAATATAATTTTCCATATATGTATAAACATGTTTGAATTGTTTAACAACAACACTTAAATTCATTATGTAGACGTGTCGCAAAAAGGTGGCGCATTTGTTTTTTAGGGGTATCGCGTGAATGTAGCTTTGATTCCCCGGATTCTAAAATAATATTCTAATTAAAGTTGTATATCATTTTAAAGCTGTTTCGATGAAGTTTTTAGATCAACTACACTCCGTTCACAATTCTTGCGCGTTCTTTTTTAAAAAAGAGTTTTTTACCAAAACATCTGGCAAATATCCCCTGTTGACACGTTACATTTTGAATTATTTTTCGTCTTTAAACGCTCATAACTCAAACAATATATGACTATTATACTTATTTTTCGTCTTGATAAAGGTAGATAGAAGTTTTATTTCAAAGGATGAATTTTAGAAAGCGTCCCATATTGTGACGTCATAGAGTCTGAAAAATAGAATCTGTTGACAGCGACCTTTTCTGCTCATTTTTTTGTTCCTTCAACTTTTCAGGTGTACATTAAACAAAAAATACGAGATCAATTTTTAATAAATCATACATGATTATTTTGCTCCTAAACTCTAGTTTATTAATAAATAGTTGATTTTGTTCGCAAAAATATGTGTTTTCTGTTGTATGTGGAAAAGTGGAGGACGAAAGGTTTTCAAAATTCATCAAAATAGGGCTAATTAACGCCATTCGCCTATTTTCAAGCACAGCAACGCGTATATTTATTTCACCTAAAATATCAATTGATTCGTGTTTTATGATGCTCCTAGCCCATTAACAATATATATATGATATGAGAGTTATTCGTCTAAAATGTTTTGAGATAGAGAGGTAAATGTGGAGGACGAAAGGATTTTCATTTGTATACATTTTTCTCAAAAACGTCACATTCTACCATGTTAAAAGCGAGGATCCTCTGGATTACGCCACAAAATGTGTAACAATGCGTGCGCGAGCTTTTTGCGATACATCGTAATAAACGTGTATACTTTTATAATTTTGTAATAATAAACGGTTATGAAATAGCACGTCAGATATACCAATTATCATTTGTTGTTACATTTGATTGGGAATTCATGAAATATAATATAATACATCAAAACAAGCATTGTCTTAAAATATTGTTACGGTATGGATAATTGTGTTCTGTGATCACCTTTAATCTGGTTTGTATTCAATATTTTGATGTTTGTATTCATTATTTTAATGTTTGTATTCAATATTTTAATGTTTGTATTCAATATTTTTTAATGTTTGTATTTAATACTATAAGACTGCATTTTTGTATGCCTGCGGTGCTAGTGAATTGGTAATATTGTAATGAGGTTTCTCCCCAGGTATCACTAAAAAGAAGAATAAGCCTTGCAGTGCTCATTGCATGCTCGTGTGTTTTCAACAAACAAGCTCATTCAAGCGCACTCACGGCAATTACATAATGTAATTTGTAATGTGTGGGCTCATTGTTCTTTTTTATCATACCTAATGCCTTGGTCACATTTGCTACGATTTTCACTACGGCGCCCGGCAGATTTCAAGTATTTTGTTCAAAATTGAATACAAATTTGAACAAAACACTCAATCGGCCGGGCGCCGGCCGATGGATCTGAGCAAATATGACCCAGGCATTAGGGGGAAAATATTATGCAATACTTGCAATGCTGGCAGTTCAAAAATGAGTCTTAGTCTTGTTTATTAGAGGCGACAAGCTCAAGGTCACAATGTTCTAAAAATAACCTGTTTTTGTACACAAGACTGGTGAGTCATATACTTGTGACTTTGGGATATGGGCTAAACAAAACATGTAAAAAACTTTTATAACATTAAATCATGTGTCAAACGCTACATGTGAAGTTAACTGGCAAATTTTGCATAGACTAAACTCAAAAGTTGAGTTTACATCATATATAATAAACTCAGTGCGCTAAGAACTACAGGTAAAGTAGTTAACCCATGGCATAAATGGTAACATGTTATAGAAAGCTACTCAAAGTGTCGAACTGCTAATAGTGGCATGGGGGAGTGTTCCAAATGTGTAGTGTATTATAACTGAGGTAATCCAGCAACGATCGAACTTTCAATTCCACATTCATCTTTTCCTCTCAAGATCTTAAAGTAACCTGCAACATAAAGCAATAATTAGTTTTCAAATATGGAGTCCAACACAAATGACATTTTCAAACATTTGTGAATTATTATTTCTCAATTGTTACCTTTATCTCCCCAGGTTGGGTTCCATGAGTTAGCAGCCAACCAATATGGGGTTCCATTCTCCTCTCCCCAACCAAGGATCTTAACAGCATGTCCCTTTAGAGCAGAGCCAGACATATGCTGGTACACACCTGCAAATACACCACTTGTAAGCCTTATTGCATGATGATGATGTATTAATGAGGTTGACAGATCAAAGTTATCGATGAAGCAAATAATGAAGAGAACCAAACAAGTATTGAAAGGAGTAGAATATGACAATATGGCATAACATTTTAGTTTTCCTTTGAAAATCAAGTTGTTAAAATGAAATATCCAGCACTTGCCATAATCTACTCCAAACATACGCTTTTAAAGTAAATGTTTTAAATTAAAATAATTTCTACCAGCTAATCAACCTACCAGATTTGTAATTTGGGAAGTCAGCGAAAACAGTAAACGAGGCTTCTACTGGTCCATTGGTCATGATCTCAGTCTGAATATCCTTCACACTGGAACCCACTGTGTATACACTCTTTCCTGGAATATAATATGCCACATTCTGTGTTGTATGAATACTATTTGAAATGATTGTGCTCCTATAGACCCTATTAGTCCATTTCATGGCGTAGAATAATGGAAACAACGTCACAACGCATGCGCGTAAATCGACATTTCATGGTCCAAAGATTTCAATGTAGAGCAGTCTTCATCAAAATTTAAAATCTTAATAACTTTTTAGCAAATAATTTATTTTCTTAGGATTCAACGGATCCTTGTTAGACCCAACGAAGTGTTCATTTTGATATATAAAACAGCAAAATCCATCCACAGATCTTTCGGCCTTTTAATGATTTAATTTTCGGGATATTTTGCTAAAATCCCCCATTGGCCGCCATTATAGACTTTGAAAAAACCCAAATCCTCATCATTTCATATCATTCGTTAAGTGATCTAAACAACTCCAATCGCTTAGGATTCAACGGATTCTAAGAGATCAAAGCTAATACAATATGTTGACAACCCCCGTTTCAATATTTGCCGCATAATCTTTCGGCCTTTTAGGTTATAAATTTGTCAATATTTTGATTTTCGACCATTAATGACGTACTTGGATCCAAGATTCATTGTCCCTCTACGACATGCCATTTTCTGAACGTATAAATATTTAAAAGTATGATGTTTTTCTGTGTAAATACTATCATTATTATTGGAGTGATTTAGCTGGGTTGCCAAAAAAATAACTTTGGGGAAATTTTTTGTATCTATTACCATGGTAACATACCAGGTATATGGTGGTATCCAAACGCTAAGTCAATAGTCAACGCCATGTTAAGCGATTGCACCCCTCCCTAATCAGCCTATATCATTTTTTCCCCAAACAAAATTTTTGGGCAACCCAGTTAAATCACTTCAGAAAACCCTTATTATCATAAATCGACCATAAAACATCGTACTTTTAACAATTTCTAGGTTCACTATTGGATGTATAGGGGTGACAAATGGACTATATAGATTGATCAGGACAAGTCATAACTATCACAAAGCAAATAAATACTTGACTTGACTACATGTATTTTGAGAAAACAGATATGGAACACTAAATAAACCCCTGATCTGCTTCTAACATCCAAAAAGTACATCTGGATAAAAAACATCGTTAAACTTTTCAAATATGGGCTGAGCTTACTCGAGTCTCATAGAGAAGGCTTTGGACCGAAGTAAGGCTGAGCAGATGTAACAAAAATGTTTCAGGTATTCATGATATTAGTTTTTAACGTAAACATAAAAATCTTGATTGGGAATTGAGTATTGTCACTCAAAATTGAAACCTCAGATTGGGTTCGGAGCCGAATTAAAGCGACAGAGCAAAAGCCGGAATTCACACGATTATTCTCGAAGAATCTCAATAAATCTTGCTTAAACTCCGCCTTTGTGAGAGTGTCAATCCCCTGATTGTAAGTAACTTCGCCTTTTGTCCTTATATCGAGAGGCGATACAATGTCGGATTGTCGGAAGTTTGAACTGTGAGAGATTCTAAATATTCTTGTGTCCATTACTCGATAGTCGATACTTCATTTGTACATGTATATTGCACCATTCTTCCGTCATATATACAATATCATGAACATTTATACATCTGAAATCTATTGCCGAGTAGTTACATTGTACTTGTATTGGTTTTGACAGAAATTCTATCAGAAAACTGAAATATTTCTTGCAAATTTTTGATTTTACAACCTACTCATAAAAACTTGTTGAATACTAAAATATTATAGGTAAAAGGGGCTAGCCCTTAAATTGCGGAATGGTGGTAGAATTTTGGAGAGTGGGCGTGGTATTTAAATGTTTGATCAAACCTACTTAACAGTAGATAACTTCAATTATATAGCCCGTACTATCACAATTTCAACAGAATGTAGGATTCTAGTGTCATTCACAATTCATATTTTTTATGAGATTATTATAATAGGTGACATTAACAACCTTTAATTTAGCGGCAGAAAAGAAGGTTTACAATATTACCTGATCCTTAAGGTTTCTTTATAATGCTTTCATTAGATTCCATACCCTTTTGTGTTATGGGAAAATATATGAGATTAAGGGATCGAGGACATACACAAAGAATCTTAGATATATGCGGTTCAATTGATGGTTGTGGGAAACATTTCAACAAGGCCTTCAGAGTTCTTAGAGTCATGAATGAGGAATTGGAATCCTTGGTGATTTCAAAATTCCATGAATCGGGAGAATATTCAGCTTAAAAGATGCTCTAAATCTCCTTTAGTTGCTACTTTAGTTATCACAAAGTACCAAACATTCAAGAATGACATGAAGAATGGAGAGTTTGAAAGGACTGCCCAATACTGAGTTAAATATCAGAACATAATTGATATATCACCGTACTTTGAGAATGGAACATCGGCCTCTTGACGAAATGTGTTTGGAAATTTGGCTAATTGGTAAAATGACATGTTGCCACTAATGCAACTTTTACTGTTTAAGCCCCAGATTTTTGACGGTATCCTCCCCATGTAGGATTTTTTCAAAATACTACTGAAGAGATAATCTTCCTATTTTAATCACAACATTTCTAAAAGGTTTCTGACCTCGATCATATTCCTTGTTTGTATCCAGTTTTATGTATTTTTCAAGAGTTTTACCACAGTTAATGTGACAAAAATGTAAAATAATCTCGGGAAAAAATATTTTAGACTCCGGAAAAGCTATTAGACTGGAGCAAAGAGGGTCTTAAATCATTATACTCTGAAGAACCTTCGGAGTCTAAAAGCTCAGAAGTCTAAAACCCCGCATGGCTCTCCATGAGTTTTTATTATGAACTGACTTGGTTGTTTTGCAATAAATCATTCTTTAACAATAACTGACCCCTTTGTTTTCTCTATTCAAACCTCATTTCTTACAAGAGTTTCTCAATTTGCAGTTAGTGCACAATCTCTACATTGAAAATATCTTATAATTAGAATTCGTCTCCCATCAAAACTATGTGAGAAATTCAGTTTCAGTTCCTAGCTTTTTACACAAAGGCACTGTTCTGAAGATAACATGGTTGTGTTTTTTTTTTATCAAAACTACAAAGACAACATCGTTTCAACACTTTGCCAAGTGTCTTTATTTGTATTTTTGATTTGAATTGTTATTTCAGTTAATGCAGTACAAGCATGTACTAGTACTTCTTTTGCAAAACATTTCATTTATCGGTCAAGCCAAGTAACTTAGTCAACATTCAATATTCGTATGTTCATCAATATTGACTAAGAATGGTGCCACAATTGAAGTAAACCTCTGTTTAATTATTTTCAATAAACCTATCATCAAACGTGTAAATGATAAATTTGATGTTCTGTTACATATTGGTGAAGCAATCTTGGGGATATGGCCTAAATTTCTGAATTTCCACTATGTCCCTGTATACCCCTACTTCAAAAGATGTATGTTATTGGTCATTTTTCATTATGAATCAACCATTATGTATTTTTTCTTGTCTACATACAGAATGAACTTTCTGTTTTCAAATATTGAAAGATGGTACTGCATCTATTTTTTCATGATATGGAGCAAACAAATGCGTGTCAATTTACACTGTAATATCCCACATACTTATATTTTAAGGGTAGTTTTGAAGAATAATCAAGAAAATCCATGTTTTCAAATGAATTCATCCTTGTCAAAGAACGTAAATGAGGATGTGCGGTTTGAAAAACTAACAACATGTTTTAAGTTCTTACAACTCTTGGTTAAAACAAATATTTCGAAAGTTGTGATTACGAATGTAATATCCAACTCAATGAAATTTGTTGATATTTGTGAATTTTTTCTTTCGGAATGCACATTGCTGGATCACAGAACATTGCCTCTTTCGAGATGCACGAAAAGTGTATTGCTAATACTTGACGTCGTTCGGATATTTGGATGTGATTGACGTTTTTGTTAATCTCCAACCACTGTAACTTCCAACTTAATTTTTGAAAGCCAAATATGATAGTCACGAATTGATATTTAAGTCACACGTTGATGCATACATCATGTGTGTACATTAACTGTCAAATGCATGCCGACTTACATTTATATAAATATCCACAGTTAACTCAAATCATCAATTCTCGAAACGGTTTATCAAATAACCTGGTGAGTTTGATATTTCATTTTAATTCATAATTATGGTATCGGATTTGAGTATGATATTAGTCGAGGCTTAAACAAAGCAATAAAATTGCGTGAAACCTTTTGTGAAAATTTGAACAATTTTTCAAGAATTCTCCTTCAAAGTGTTACCACAGTGCTCCCCGGGAGTAGAAATTTCGTCTTGTGTAATCAAAATAATAGCGGGTGGTTTGAATTTTTGTTTGAGTTTATAGCCCAGCATCTATAAATTTAAAAACGTGTCGCCTCATTGAGAGGTACATGCAGATTTTGGCGATCTATCATTCTAAAAGGCTAAATTTTGTGCAAAAACAGGAGTTGACACGCTTACATTTGGAATTGAAATTTCCTACATAATTGTCGACTCATGTTTAAAAGTCATGAAAACAAGGTTGAACACAAAACAATGACCTAATTACTGTCTATTTAGCATGGGATCACTTAGGGAAATATTATTCATGACTTAAATCGTTAACAGTTAAGTTGTATCCCAAGAAACTTATCAATTTAGAAATGCAAAATGTTCAATTTTGTTTTTCAATTATAAAAATGGCACCTGTAGAGAACAACGTTTACAAAATTATTTAAAACGGAGATATTTACTATGCATATGATTCTATATCTTGTTCCCAAAGGAGTTTGTTAAGGAGCGGTATATCTTAACGTACTTTTATCATCCCAAACTCAAATATTTCGAATACTTATTTCGAGAACGTTTTGTTGAGAATGGATTCGAGATGTACTCAAAATTAATACGTTAAAATGTGTATTATCGTCTTAATAACCACCTCACAAATTATTTTGGAAATCAAAGATGTACGATTTTTGAGATTTTTATTTTCGAATGTTGACTTACTTACTTGGCTTGACTGTTATGCTAAAGGTTAAACAAGCATTTCTGTTTTCAACCTCAAAAATAATTTGATGTCTAAAAGATTAAAATAAAACAAATTAATTATACTTGCATGGACGTGTCGCAAAAAGGTGGCGCATTTGTTTTTAAGGATATCGCGTGAATGTAACTTTGATTCTCCGGATTATAAGATAATATGATAATTAAAGTTATATATCTTTTAAAGCTGTTTCGATGAAGTTTTTAGATCAACTACACTCCGTTCACGATTCTTGCGCGTTCTTTTTTAAAAAAGAGTTTAACATCTGGCAAATATCCCCTGTTGACACGTTACATTTTGAATTATTTTTCGTCTTTAAACGCTCATAACTCAAACAATATATGACTATTATACTTATTTTTCGTCTTGATAAAGGTAGATGGAAGTTTTATTTCAAAAGATGAATTTTAGTAAGCGTCCCATATTGTGACGTCATAGAGTTTGAAAAATAGAATCTGTTGACAGCGACCTTTTTTGCTCATTTTTTGCTACCTTCAACTTTTCAGGTGGACATTAAACAAAAAATACGAGATCAATTTTTAATAAATCATACATGATTATTTTGCTCCTAAACTCTAGTTTATTAATAAATAGTTGATTTTGCGCAAAATTATGTGTTTTCTGTTGTATGTGGAAAAGTGGAGGACGAAAGGTTTTCAAAATTTATTAAAATAGGGCTAATTTACGCCATTCGCCTATTTTCAATCACAGCAACACGTTTATTTATTTCACCTAAAATATCAATTGATTCGTGTTTTATGATGCTCCTATCCCATTGTTAATACATATACGATATCAGAGTTATTCGCCTTAAATATTTTGAGATATAGAGGCAAATGTGGAGGACGAAAGGATTTCCATATGTGTACATTTTTCTCGAAAAACGTCACATTCTGTGGTGTTAAAAAGCGAAAATGTGTAACAATGCGTGCGCGACCTTTTTGCGACACGTCATGACAATTAAACGCAGGAAGGAATTTGTATACTTTAATATGTTAATATAAATGACTAACGTAGATTCAAGAATAACCGAGTATTTCCATTTTTGATCTCATGACTTACTGTATTATATCGCACGTGCGTATATAAGGGTTATGTACTGGGAGGTTTTGGATACAGGGTTTATCCCAAGGGAAATATGTGTATCTCACGAGGGACCGAAAACCGACCGTACATAACTGGTGTATCTCATACTTGAGTGGGTTTGGGGTAGATATAACCTTTACCACCTTTTTCAAATGACAAGATAGGCCTATACTGTAAAAGCACAATTTATATTTAACATTTTCATAATATTCCTTCAGCTCAATACAATAGAATTGTAACATTTAAACTTTTTGAAAAATTTTAAACTTCTGAAATTTAAATTTTTAAAATTTTAAAAACTTTTGAAAAAATTCCCGGGAGCGGGATGGATATATTATATCTGCCCGCATTTGGCCTAGAGCGGGACATATACAATATATCCTGCCCGCTCCTCAGATATGATATATATTCCCGGGTGATATCTACCCCAAACCCACTCAAGTATGAAATACAATATTATTATATGGCCATATTATATATACTATACATATAAAACCCCGTATCTTGCCCAGTATTTTGCCCAGTGTTTCTCACATCCAATGTTTACATCTGGATACAAATGAAACAAAGAAAATGCCGGATGATATAAAACAAATAAATCATCTTGGAAATATTATCTTACCATAATGTTTATCCTGTCCGTATGTCAAGTGGAATCCCGCCTCACATTTTCTCACACATTCAGGTGTGGGGTACGGCTGGGTACAAAGGGGGTATGGTTCACGGATTCCATGGTGGCCACATTTTGGGAGGGTGTAAGGACGGCAGCCCTTTAAACAATAAAAAATACAACAATAATTATGTGAGATACATTTTTGTGTGGACTGTAGTGTACTCAAGGTTTCATTAAGTTTATCTCTGAGAAAATGAAATGTCAAATTGTTGATTTTATAGAGAACATGTTGTATGGCATTTTCATTCAAGGTGGGCAATACCATCTTTGGCATGTTTCCACCTTACTGATTTATAAGGAAGAAAGACACAAATGGAGCCTTATTGAAGAGAAGGGGAAATTACTCTGCATCGAGTGTATAAATAAGTAACTTACATGCTTGGAATTGTACTCTCCTCCTGAGACAAGACCATGATATTTCCAATACTGCCAGGCTGCTTCTGGGTAACCTCCATTACATCTAGAACAAATAAACAAAAATAAATACATATACAGAAGAACTGTTCAATTTCCCAATCATATAAGTGAACTTACACATAAAGGGCATTGCTCAGAATCCCAACAGTCCGAATTCCATTGATCCAAAACCTGATCTTCCGAATACTAATAATCCAAATCCCATTGGCCCGAAATCCGCTCGTCCAAATCCTATTGGTCGGAATTCCGTTCGTTCGAAACCTAGTGATCCGAATTTGATCTGTTATGTTTGTTGTTATGTTATGTTACGTTATGTTAATGTTATGTTACATTTATTTCCATATTATAATTACAAGTAAAACAAACAAAGTAGGCACATGACGCATCTGCGTATACTGTGCAGGACACACCATTTTCAGTCTTCCACTGGTAATCTGCTCGACATGATTACGCTGGTTACCGAAACGGTTTGTTTCGGTAACACAATGTCGGAACGTCGAAGGTACGATTTTTCTTTTTTCCTTATTTCACGAGTCGTAGGCAGAATCCTCACGACATTTTTTTTCACAAACGTATATCAGTATCATATGTTTTAGATAGAAAATGTACATGATTGCGAAAAAAATAGCTCAGAAGACAACAGAATCGTCGATTTAATTCCTAACTTAGTTACATAAACGGTAGGGGTTAAAAGTGCAGATATTAACTGTTTTTCGAAATACCGTTTATGTAACTTAAGTGAGGAATTAAATCGACGATTCCGTTGCCTTCTGAACTATTTGTTCGCAAATGTGTACATCTTCTTAAACATATGATACTGATACACGTTCGTGACAAAAATGTCGTGGGAATTCTGCCTACAACGTGTGAAATAAGGAAAAAAGAAAAATCGTACCTTCGACGTTCCGACATTTTGTTACCGAAACGGTTTCAGCGTAATCGAGTGGATCACCAGTGATTTCTGCATTTTTACATTGTATCAGTACTGTATTATCTACATGTTTATAGTTGAAGCATGGACGTATATTATGCCCCCCCCCCCAAACACTGGTGATCCACTCGATTACGCTGGTTACCAAAACGGTTCGTTTTGGTAACAAAACGTCGGAACATCCGGAAGGTACGATTTTTCTCGTTTCCTTATTTTACACGTTGTAGGCTGAATTCCCACGACATTTTTTAACACAAACGTGTATCAGTATCATATGTTTAAGAAAGTGTACATATTTGTGAACAAATAGTTCAGAAGACAACAGAATCGTCGATTTACTTCCTCATTTAAGTTACATAAACGATTTGGGTTAAAAGTGCAGATCTTAACTGTTTTTCGAAAAACCGTTTATGTAACTTAAGTGAGGAAGTAAATCGACGATTCTGTTGTCCTCTGAGCTATTTTTTCGCAAACATGTACATTTTCTAAAACATATGATACTGATGCACGTTGTGAGAAAAAACGTCGTGGGGATTCTGCCTACAACGCGTGAAATAAGGAAAAAAGAAAAATCGTGCCTTCCACGTTCCGACATTTTGTTACCAAAACGGTTCGTTTTGGTAACCAGCGTAATCGAGTGGATCACCAGTGCCCAAGGATCCGCCAGTGTATAGTATCCCTTTTCAACTTTATTCGTTGGGATAATTAGGCTAATCTTGTACGGCGACTGTTTGTTTACTTTTGAAGAATCCCCGGGAATTTTGTACGTAGTATGAATCCTACAGGAGAATTTGGGAGATGCATTCTGAGACAACAGTGTAGCAAAAATAATATACTTCATACATATTTTCTGATGAAAGTAATGAAGTAACGCACCCAAAGCCACATGAAGAGCAACAAGTCACCAGATCCTCTGCGGAGACACGTACATTCACTTTGCCCATGGAGGCGATACAGTAACGGTCGGACATTGCCTCAACTGCTGCAAAAGCCTACGAATAATTTTTTATCCTTTATATGATGTACATTCAATATCATTGTGTGAAATATATCAGAGTTACATTAAATGTTCACAATTAACTGTATCAAATCTTTAAATCGGAAGATTCAAACATGAACAGTTTTTTTTTATGTACAATGTATAATTTGTACAATGACTTACCCAACTTGATCCACAGGAAGATTGGTCTCTAATCTCTGCAATAGTGGGGCAGTTGGGCCACTTTGTACGAGAGTCAAAGGAGTCAGGGATGGAATTGTAGGTAATATCACGGACTTTCTCCTCCAGGATAAGTTCTAGTTCATCCTTGATAACACCACATAGGCGCTTCACAAACTCCACACTCTTTCCCTTGAATGTGGGTCCTGCCTAAAACATTATAAGCAATATGCTCATATTATATAAGCCTAACCCTTATATATTGTTTTCACTCAAATAACAGAAACGTACCTTGCTTAGTCTTCAATATACTCATTTTTAGAAAAATCAATAGACGGATGCAAATATTACCTTCCGCAAATATAGCTTGATAAATTGGTCACATTTTTAAAAGGCAATTAAGGTCGATGTGTACGTTCGAAATTTTTATGTCTTCATCGGGGTCATATTTTATTTTAAGGAATTAATCATTAATTAACTCGTTTCACATGGTATAATCTTTCACATTTGCACAAAGAGTGCATTAATGTATCTAGAAACTAATAGTGAGTGTGAAGAAAATTCTGTTTATAAAATGTATGAAAAATGAAAAAAATCAGTTACCTACTTTTTAAAAGTACAAAATAAGTAAGTCACTTTATTTTCTTATTTCTTATAGACCTTATGAAAGAATATTATTCACTATTCTACTGGGGAGCTGTAGTGTAACGGGCCAGATACCAGGCATGCCCCCGTGCGTGAACCGAACCCTGGACCCTCCGCTACAAAATCTGATGCTTTACAGCTCGAGCCAGAGGGACTGGCCACTACATTTAGCCTGAAGCAGCAGCAGGTGTAATTCAAAAAATAAGTAGTCAGAGTTAGCTATATGATTTATTCAAAAATGTATGTAATATATTGGCTCCTTTCCTGTTTTCATTCATTCAGAATCGTTGTCCTCCTTAAAATGATTAGCCATGTGAACGTATTTTTTTATGTTTATCCCTTAATTCATTCAAATCCTATTTTTTAAATCAATGTAGCTTTGAGCCAATGTAAGGCAAATATGATGACCGTTCTCACGTCTATTTTAAAACTTGGAAATAATTATTGTATAGTATCCCACACAAAAGGCTGTCCCTTACAGATCCTCATATTCTACCACTCCCCCTCCCCCCACAGCTCAATCTTAATGAAACTTGGTATGCTTATTCTGTGGTATATTTATTTATACACTCAACATTTTTAATATAATTTGAGTTAAAAAAAACCAGAAAAGTTATAGGCTTGAAAATATAGCTGTATTTTCTTAATATGTTAAAAATCACTTCATAATTATGCATTAAAATTCACGGTGACCAATTGTTAACAGTGGTGATTGTCCCGGACGTATTTTTTCAAACAATTTAGACGTGATTTTTGGAAATCCTGAGAGGTAGGTTGATAAATTTGGTTATGAAATTGCTGTCACTTGACTTTAAGTAAATGTAAGTAATTTATATTGCTTACCATACTATATATCCTAACTTCAGGTATCCACAAACGCGTTATTTGCACGAATATTAAGCTATAGCCTTGTTTAATCGGAAAATGAGCGATTCTGGCAGTGTTACGCATATTTTTGCCTGGAAATCACTTGCCTGCCTTGTATTCAATGAATACAAGTAGATCGTTTCATAAGGAAAGTACTCACAATATCACAGTGTATGTGCGAAACCACAAATTAATGCCTTGGTCACATTTGCCAAACTAAAATTTATGTACTATACAAATACTACTATGGTCAGGAACTTGAATGCTGGAGGTGGCTGTGGCAGAATATCTATTTGAGAAAAAATATTAGACGATACAGTATCCGAGCCCAACATTTTAAATTCTTAAATGCTGATGTATTGCAAATAGGATAGTCCCCGAGCTCCTCCAAAGAATAAAGTGTCGTTGTCCGGTACTGCGCCACAAAAATGAATATATCGTTTGAAAGTACTGACATTCCTTGTAAAGGAAAATATTTTCTTTTTGATTGAAACGGGGACTTTTGCCTGTATGGAGTATGGTGTTGATGCTTTCCAAAATTACCCAAATTTTGCTGGGGGTTAACAAAAATATAAAACCTCTATTTATTTCTGAATATTCAAAATTCAAAGGTTAAAGGTGCTCACCTTCCATGTAGTTTCTACTTCACGGTTGACATAGTTTATGATCTCATTTGAGAGAGCCTCGTGGTGTGTGGGGATAGAGTTCAGAGGAGTAGCGGCAACTAGGCCTATCATACATAATACTAGAGCTAGCATCCTGGAAATGAAAAAAAACACAATGCTATTATGCAATGCATGTTGCTAGCTGTGACTCGATAGGGAGATTAAGTTACACGTTTTTAAGAGAACTTGTACGTGAGTGTGAAATATTTTGACCCCCGGGGATTACTGCCCCGCTCTTTTAAATCCACTTTTCCAGGGACCCAATTAAAATTATTTTCCGTATACCTTTATATTCAATCGGCCAAGTAAGCTTAAACAGCACCAATGGGAGAATTACTAGGCTAGATATAATCCACAGAGGACCATAATTTTACACGTTCCAGGGGCAGATCCAGGATTTTGTCTTGGGGAGGGGGGCGTGAGCGAAGCGAACGCAGTAAACGAGCGGGAGAATTGAACATCATTTGGTGCATTCTGACCGATTCCCGAGCAAGAATAGGGGGTCTGGTTCCCCCCCCCCCCCCCAGAAAAAGGCATTCTGACCAATTTCAGAGCGTAGGTCCAATCCCCGGGTCGGATTTCAGCTTCTGCAAAGCGTTATTGATAATCCATAACCATCTATTTTTTGATTTCCAGTTCAAATTCCGACTTTTTAGGGGGGATGGGGCGTGCGCCCCCATGCCCCCGTCTAGATCAACTAGTGCGTTCACGTACAAGTTTTTAAAAAACATCTTAACCTTCCTGTTAAAAAGTGAACCCCTGCAATGGGCCATATCATATCATATTTCCCTTATTACTTGCAGGAATTCTTTTGTTTTCGCGTGTTGTAGAGGAAGGTCTCAAATTTATGTTGGCCCCTTACATTTTTCTTAGTCTTGAAATTTGCAGAAATGTTAAGCCCTAACCAAATATTACTGAAAATGGATAAAATGTGATTTTCAATATTCGCAGTTCTTCAACCCTTCAAAACCCTTTCCCTGACATTTTTAAAGCTGCAGTCTTAAAGAACTAATATTTTCTCACTTTGTTCAATCTTGAATCCCACACATTATGGCTTAAAACTAGCATCCTACCTTTGTTCGTTGCAAAGTTCTTGTGATCCAAAGAAATGTTCTAAGCTTCCATAGACGATAACATTTTCCAATGAAATCGCGAACATATCCCTATAATGATCTTGAAATGTCAATATCTAATTCATAAATCATGGACCGATTCAAATGAAATGTGACTCAGAACATTGAATATTGGATTTTATTTTGAATTTTTAAAGATATTTGATGAAGGGCTTCTCAGATTCCTGGTCACAGGGGCAACTTCCTTCTACAAGAGGCCCTCCTCTAACTGTTGGTGTAGGTAGCATATATTGCCCCTCAACTGTTGAACGGTTAAAACTGCTTCAAAATGATCAATGAAAGTGAAAGTGTGAAATGTGTTTTCTGCTTTAAATTGTATCTCTATCCGAAAGCTGTTTAAGATCATCTAATATGTTTCAATAATTTCTGTGAATCACATTGGTAAAATTTTGCACAATATCTAATTTTCAGGCATGTTTGCTAAACTCTTGTAATTTCTTTAAAACTTAAGACTGAGATAAAATTATGGCATCAACCAACATTTTAGACCTTTCTCTACAACATGTGATAATATGAGTCTATTCATGCAAGTATTAAGGAAAATATAGCCTGTTCCAGGGGTTCACTTTTTTGGACCACCCTGTATAAGGTATAAGGTATAAGGTTCTGACCTAAAAAATCATAAGAAATGTTTTTTTGACCATGTCTGTTTTTTTATAAATCATAGTTCTCATTATTAACGAGAAAATTTTTCTTCCATTGCAATGAATTTTTTGATAAAATATGACCATCCTGCAAAAAGATGACATACTAAAACTGTAGAAAGTTGAAGTAAACATTACGACAAATTGGAACTGTAAAAAACATATCTCTGTAATGCCTTGTTCACATTTGCTCCGATTTTCACTTCGGCGCCCGTCCGATTGAGTATTTTGTTCAAAATTGAATAAAATATTGAACAAAACACCCAATCGGCTGGGCGCCGGCCAATGGATCGGAGCAAATGTGACCCAGGCATTACAGATATATGTTTTTTACAGTTCCAATTTGTCGTAATGTTTACTTCAACTTTCTACAGTTTTAGTATGTCATCTTTTTGCAGGATGCATTACGTAGATTACTTACGTATACTTGAATTATAACTTGTCGCCCGGTCAAGTCGTCTTCACGTCTCCTATACAGATACGCAGTGTAAGTTGGCAATAGATTTGAACAATCAGATAAATCATAGGGGATATTAAACGGTCCTTCATAAAGCTCAACCTTGGTTGAACCATGGATGAATAGCAAATTGGATACCTAATAGCCGGTTGACTAGGTACACACATGCACCTGTGTATGGAATGTTTTCTGTTTCATTATTCATATTTTACAATATGTATTCGTATTTTGAACTTTTGAATTATGTTCGTAACTTTCAAGTATTTTTATTCATTGTTTGTATTTAAGTGACACATTGTATATCCGTATTTAAATAAATTTAAGTTCATTTAGTACCTTTATCGTTGAATAAGTACTTGTCTTGGCATTTCATTTTTTAATTGTCGAATTTATTTTCGCAACAAGGTAATATGTTTCCACATAAAAGTGCACATTTACTGTTCGTAACTATCGTCATTTGTATTTGTAAATTACACTTATATATTCGTTTTTCATTGGTTCATTTAGATCACGTGATCATTCTCAACGAGACATGGTCAAAGTCATCCCCCTCCCCTCACACACCTCAGGATTTCATTCTGTTCAATAAAAAAGTTATATAGCACCCTACACAAAAGGCTGTCCCCTTACATTTCCTTATCCTTCCACTTTCCCACAGCTCAATTTTGATGACCTTTGCCTCGAGACTTGCAGTTTATATTCGTTAACTCACATTTGTATTCGTAAAGTCACATTTATATTAGTAGTTTCATTTTATTATTCGTTAATGTACAAATATGATAGTAAAATAGCAATCCCACTCTCTGAAAAATTATGGATTAGGATTCCACTTTGTCACTTTTTTAAAAATGCAAGGCTTATTTTCTAAAAAGAGGTTCTTGTTTTTCTCAATTTAAATGTCTCAAACGTTTCTTCTACACTATATTAATAACTTCTAAAAGGGGGATGGGTATTGAAATGCGATAAAGTTAAAAACCACATTTCCCGTGTTATTTTCCCATAAGAAAATGCTATCCATTGTTTTCAGCATGATTTTGGTCATCGAAAATTGATATCTTCAAAACTAAACTTTCAATACCTTTCTACTTTTGAAGATGTTTTAGACCTCTTGTTGAATAATGCTTTCATGCAATAAAAATCAGAAAAGAAGATCCTCTTTTGAGCAAATAAGTTCAACATTTTGAAAAAGTGTTGACGTCCCTATTTATAATTTTTCGAATTGTTCAATTGATATTTTTATCATCATGGGGACTTCACTTGAGAGAAAACATATTGTTTTAATAAAAACACTGTATTTATGCCCAGAAACTTGCAGAAAGTATTCATGGTGAAATATATGACCGTCTAAAATCACTTGCCATCTGCACATGCACACCGGAATAGCCTGACTACGGTAAAGTCAGATACCGATGTCACAAATGGCGGACATCACCGTCGCTTCAACTGTTTAATCACCTGGTCCTAATTTCATGGGATTTTATCGTCGCTAATTCTGTGCATGCATTAAACTCTTGTGAAAATGTATCATATGAAAATATCCCATCTTCGATCAATATGGGTCGTGAATCGCCACAATATAGCGTCTACGATATCGTCAATGACAACGGAATCTGAATTTGAGAAAGGACAGGTGGCGGTAAACCCCTCTTTTAGCCCCCCTACAAATCAAGTATATATTGACATGGAATTGAAGAGGAAGTATGACTCATTACTCAAAATGTGAATTCTGAGAGTTTTGACATTTGACCTTAACACTAGGGTGGTTTAAAGGTCAACTTTGAGAGTTGCTATTTTTGTCAAAATTTTACTGTTTCCAATCCAATCCAAGAAATAAGAGCAATTGGCTTTATTTTGATTGTGACTGATAAAAAGACATGTGAATAGAAATAAAAAAAATTTTAATAAATTATCACGGGCAATTAAAATCTTGAGAATAAATACCGATATGGACATTTTTAGAGGGACTAAATTTTCTTGTTTCAAAATGATTGCTCTTGTTGCCTTTTGAGACTCTAACAGTATCCTAAGCATGTTTTAAGAGTTGAGATGTGATTATTATTTTAAATGCCCATGGGCAATTAGGATAAAATAGCTTAAATTAAATGCACACAAGGGCACTTCAAAAAGAATGGATTTTCTTATTTCCATTGCTTCTCGCAAGTTTTCTAAACATGTTTGCCATATTCTAAATAGTTATAGGCACACTTTTACTAAATGCCCATTGGCATTTGGCATTTGAAATTAAAATGTTTGAATGTACACTTATTTGCCAATTTGCAGTTCCCATATTTGAAACACAAATAATTCAGAGAAATCCTCTCTCAAAATATATCATAAAATATAAGGCAGCATCATGTATGAATGGCATGACACTCAAAGGATTGGCTAAAATAATTTCTACTTATTCCCTATTTAGAAAAATACTTAGGCCATTCAAATATTTTCTTCTAATAATGTCACTAAATTCTATGTTTTCAGAAAAAACAAAATGTCCCCATGTACTCTCTACTTGTAATGTATATAAATGACAAAGGGAATTGTGATCTTGGATTATATTGTAGCGAAATGAGTTCCAAGATTGATTAAAAACTACATGTATATAAACTTCATTAACAAGGCCATCTGAACTCAAGAGGTGTGTTACTTGCTTTGGTACAATGTGTTATTGCATTTTCATTCTTAAATAATATAACCCTTTAAATAAATGAAGGTTTTGTAGTTGTTAATATAAGGCTCTTCATCAGAATGCCAACATATAATTAATTTTGGATGGCCTAATCTGTACATGCAGTTATGTAGTGTACATGTATGCCCAGGTTAGCTGCCATATTGAAAACATAAACCAGTCAGGCTTATTTTCATCACAAAAGTTAAGTTTTAGTGGTGAGCCCGAACTCCCACAAAAATGATATTTGCAGAGAAGGTACTTTACAGTCTCTGCATTATACAGTTTCAATATATTTTTTGTGGGAGTGTGGGCTGACGGTTAATTTTTCAATGAAAGGGAATGAGCACCATGCTAAAACTTGATAACAAAGTGAACGAAAAATGACAATGTTTTCTAGATTTCCATAGGTAAACTACATACATCGCATCACTGAGAAACTATACATGGTAATTAAATAAAATATGAGAAATCTGCTTGATGTAGACTATATACTGACATAGAATCATTTCTGTCATTATTACACGTTGACCTTAATTAGCTCTACAGCTTTCAATTCTAGTCTCGGTTTGAAATCTAAAAAATTTGGGAAAGGGGGGGGGGTGACGCCAATGTAATGCGGAATGTTACTGCAAAGACCCACTACTACATCAAAAAACACAAGTAAAGCTTCCTTATCCGTTTTGACATGAAACTTTCTGAGAAAATCAAGTCGTCTTGGACGTAACTCGTATTTACTAGTATATAATAATCACCATCATCATCGGTTTTAGAAGTTTAAGGTTGTGTTCCTGTGCATTACTCCCTTCCAGTTATCCAATTTATCTATCATGAGCTACTTTGGTATTTTATTTCCCAAATGTTTTGAATATATTTAAACTACATGTATATCAAATCAATGTTTACATGAAAGCTCTAAAATGTGTATTTTATCTTAAAAAATTATTTATTTCATAAAACATTAAAAATGACATATATAAATTCATTCTTACTTGAAATATTCACTCACACAAAAGTAGTTGAGCAATACATTTAATTATGGTACATTGCATAATAGAAAGAACTATTTCATCTCTTTGACATCCTCTTAAATTAACAGCACGATCAACAAAATAAGTTAAATACATGAAAACAAGCATTGCCTTGGATATACTAAACATAGCATATGTCAATAGACTCAATACAGTATTGCATTCGATTCTATGTACATCATTGTTATTGCGTATTGTGTGCTCGAACAAATTGAAGACAAAAACCTCTGTTAAATGTCTCCATCTATAGTTTATATTATTATATTTAGAGTATTTTGTCACTGTAGTCTGTAAAATATGGCTGGGAATGGAAAGTTGAGGCATGTTCAACTCCTTTCATGCTCCATTAAGTTAACTCATTGTGTCAAATGTTACATGAAGTTAATTCATTGTGTCAAAATGCTGAATGAATTTAACTCATTGTGTCAAATACTGCAAGTAGTTAACTCAATGTGGCACGTGGAGAGTATCCCGAATGTGTAGTTTATTATAACTTAGGTAGCCCAGCAGTGATCTGACCTTCAATTCCACATTCATCTTTTCCTCTCAAGATCTTGAAGTAACCTGCAAAATAAAGCAATCGTAAAAAATCATTTTTTGCTTCATATTAAGTTAACAAACCCTATAATAAATCAAAATCAAGATCAAACTAACTATCTACATTTGTACAATTTGTAGAAAAAACATGTACAAATATTAATTTGGAGATTTCGGATCCAGTGGAGTCAAAGCTTTTACAGTATGCTGTAAAAGTCTGCAAATATTGATTCTAACACAAACATTTTTGTACATTTGTATAACTGTAAAACCTGTTATGTGGAACACCTTTGGTACCTCTAAAAATGTTCAGCTTTGGTTCCACGTGTACTTTCATTAACATTAATTCTGTTGATCTTTGGACTCTGAAAAGTGTTCCATTTACAGATGTGTTCTACTTCTAGAGGTATTCCAATTTACATGTTTCAATGTATTATTTCTCAATTGTTACCTTTGTCTCCCCAGGTAGGGTTCCATGAGTTAGCAACCAACCAATATGGGGTTCCATTCTCCTCTCCCCATCCAAGGATCCTAATAGCATGTCCTCCTAGAGCTCTGCCAGACACATGTTGGTACACACCTGGAAAACCACCACTCTTGTAGGCATTAATGCAACTAAATGATGATGTATTGATGGGATAGATATGTTTAAATTAGCAATGAGATAAATTACGTAGTGAACCACTGTTTAAGGGATGAAAATATTCAGATAATGACAATATGACCTAACTTTTTATGGTATGATAAAAAGCATTGACAAATACGAATTCGCTTTGAAAATCAACTTGTTAAAATATTCAGTATTTCCATTTGTTATACTGTAAACGTACGCAAAGGTAAATGTTTTAAATTGAAATAATTTCTACCAGCTAATCAACCTACCAGATTTGTATGTTGGGAAGTCAGCGTATACAGTAAAAGCGCCCTCTACTGGTCCATTGGTCATGATCTCAGTCTGAATCTGCTCCACAGTGCGACTCACTGAGTATGCACTCTTGCCTGGAATATAATATACCCAATTCTGTATGTTGTATGAATAATATTTGAAATATTTGTGCATTAATGGTTTGCTCTGGAAAATAAGTCTCATAGAATTTATTTAGTATAAATAAACTATTTTAAGAAAAAATGATATTGAAGACTAAACAATCCACTGATCTGTTTCTAACATACAATGTGTATATCTGGACAACTGAGGAAAAAATGTACAAATGATACAAACGCACACAAAACATCTTGGAAATATTATTTTACCATAATGTTTATCCTGTTTGTATGTCATGTTGAATCCAGTCTCGCATTTTTTCTCACACTTGGGTGTTGGGTACTCAGACTTTCCACATGGGGGGTATGGTCCACTGACATGGTGCTCACATTTAGGGAGAGTGTAAGGACGGCAGCCCTATAAATAAACAATGAGCAATAAAACGATACAGATGTGAGAAACATTTTGATTTTGGTTATATGGTATCTAAAGCGTTTTTCTCTGAGAAAATGGCAAATTGTTGAGTGTTTATAAGAGAATACCTTCAATTAAGGTGGGCAATAACATTTTTTGTATGGTTCTACCTCACTGATTTATAACGGAATACAGACCCAAAGGAGCCCTCTTGAAGAGAAAGGGACTTTGAATTCAAGTGTATAAGACAGTGACTTACAGTCTTGGAATTGTACTGTCCTCCTGATACGAGACCCTCTACTTGCCAATACTTCCAGGCTGCTGCAGGGAAACCTCCATTACATCTACAACAAATAAACACAAATATACTGTGGTTCAAATTCTTCTCGGAGGAATTTTCTTCATTGTGTTGTGAACCTGGACTACACATAACAATACAAGAACCCATATACTTCATCTTCTACAATCTACGTGTATCAATTAACTTACCAAACTTTCAATTGCCTGTATGTTGGCTCTTGAAAATTTTCTGGCAAACTTTGTGATTTGAGATTTATGCATTCAGCGTTAAGACATGTAAGAGAGAAAGGATTGTAAAATATATGTCATATACATTTTTCTAATGAAAGATATGAAGTAACGCACCCATTACCACATAAATGGCAACAAGACAGCAGATCCTCTGAGGAGACATGTATGTTCACTTTGCCCATGGATGCAATACAGTAACGGTCAGACATTGCCTCAACTGCACCAAAAGCCTGGAAAAAAGAACAAATTTGCTTCAACATGATATAGACATGCTACATTGTATGAATCATATCAATGTATCATTAATACATGAAATATATACTAGCAATGCTAGTCTTTAAAATATCTTTTAACCATGAACAGACATTTTGTGTCACCCTGCATAATGACTTCAGAAAATTTTAATATGAACAGACATTTTGTGTCACCCTGTAAAGTGACTTACCCAGCAAGATCCACAGTCAGATTGATCTCTAATCTCTGCAATGGTTGGGCAGTTGGACCACTTGGTGCGAGAGTCGAAGGAGTCGGGGATGGAATTAGGGGTAATATCATGGACTTTTTCCTCTAGGATAGGTCCTAGTTCACCCTCAATAACACCACATAGACGCTTCACAAATTCCACACTCTTTCCCTTGAAAGCTGGACCTGCCTAAAACATATGATCAACAATATGCTTAAATTCTTTTTTATAGCAATACTTTCTTCAAATTTTACACTGAGCCAATTCACATGTGCAGCAATAGATGTCCTTGATTATATCATACAAGAATTACAGAATTAATTTTTTACATTTCACTTTTTGCTTATTAGTAAAGTCCCCAGGGGGTTTACTCACCTAGGAAATCTAAAGAAATCACTGATATATGTATATAGATTCATTCAATTGTAAAATAACTGATAAATAACTTCATGAGCTTCACTCTTATTTTCAAACCTTGACAAACTGATAATCAACATGAGTAAACATTAAATTTGGATATCTCATTTATCTGTAAGTGTATGTTGACCTATGTTAAAGTCACCTCAAATCTTGACAATCATTGTGTATTTATGATAGTATGAGTTGAAAAGACCAATTTCAACCCCATTGTCTTTAAAACAAGTGTACTTCTATGTTAACAGGTTGTTTGAGAGATTCTTATTGTATTCTTATTGATATCTTACTTTTTAATTTATAGGTTCATTAAGTTTGAAAAACCAGCTGACAAGATCTTACATATAAAACACATGTAAATGTGGGGAGGTAGTATTATAAAAAAGTTTCAATCTTTTTAAAACAAAATGTCAGAATCCTAAAACACACGTTTAAGCACACACAGTTTAGTAAATAACATGTTTTTTGAACCATATCATGTATACATTGATACATGAACATGTACATGTACATGTACAGTACACAGCCACATTGAACTGAACTTAATCCATATTCAAAATTCAAATGTTAAAGGGGCTCACCTTCCATGTAGTCTCTACTTCATAGTTGACATAGTCTATGATCTCATGTGAGAGTGCCTCGTGGTGTGTTGGGATGAACTTCAGTGGGGTAGAGGCAACTAGGCCTACCATACACAGTACTAGAGCTAGCATCCTGGAAATGAAAAAAACACATTGCATGTTGCTAGCTGGGACTTCTCAGTAAGATATCACACTCATAGACTATAATTTTGTATAAATACTGATTTTTACAATTTGCAAGTGACTTTGGCTAAGATTCAAGTATCAAAATAATGTTTAGGGTATCGAGAATCAGCTTGGCCCAAAAGGTAAGGTAAAATACAGTATAACAAATCACTGAATATGAAAAAATAAAATTCGAGGTACATGTACAAAGTGGAGTAAAAGAAAATCATCTCCCATTCAAGGTATAAAGATATGCCCCTACTCCGCAATAGGGGACAATTCATAAATTGCAGTTCTCAATCACAGACACGGGAACAAGAGTTCATCCCCCTCCCACTCACTATGTATTAGGTAGATTCTTTTTACATTTGCAATACAGTGACGGGGGGGGGATTTAAATCTTCATGTGCCTGTGTTCTGAATACTAACAAGAAAATGATTCTCCCATGCAAACATGTTTTCTTCATAAAAATATGAGCATAATGCACAAAGGGAGTCAATCTGACATGCTAAAAACTGAAGTAAGAAGTAAACATTGCGACAAATTGGAACTGTAAAAAACATATCTCTGTTACACAAGTAAATTACTAACCTGAATTATAACTTGTTGTCCAGTCGAGTCCTCTTCACGTCTCCTATAAGCAGATAAGTTGACAACAGATTAGAACAATCAGAGAAATCATGTGATTCACTATCAGTCATGTGACAGAGTCTTATGACTTCCTGATACAGATAGAAATGTTTCAAAGTTGAAAAACAAAGCAATTAAGCAATTAATTGTTCTTATCTTGTATTAAATGTGTACATGAGGATCTCAAGTACTTAAAATGCATCATAATTTGTCTACCAATACCACTGCTAGTCAATAAATCGACTCAACAGAATAAACATAAAAAAATCTTACAAAACCCAAACAGGAAGTAAACAATGAGAAGTTGCTACTTGTTAGAAATCATAGAAAAGCACAAGTGGCAACCATTCTACTGTGCATGTAAAGAAATTTTATTCTGATATTTCAAGCATATGCAACAATTCAAAGATTCAATGCAATGTTTTGATTTTTATTTCAGATGTCACAACTTACTTTGGTGAAATATATAGCTATACATCTGTTTGGACTTGGCTAAGTGTATGGACTTTTAAAGGTCCCATCCAAAGAAAATATTTTTTAGATTCATTTTCTATTTTCAAGTCATTAAAGTTATTTGAAAGTTTTTTGACAAAAGTTAAACTTTCTAATCATCAAATATTCAACTTTACTTTACATACTTTTGAATTTTTAATAATTTTACACATACTCCCATTTTATCAATTACCTTATAATGTTCTCCATACTCCCATTATATCAATTACCTGAACATAATGTTCTCCTTTCTCCCATTACATCAATTACCTTAACATAGTGTTCTTCATACTCCCATAATATCAATTACCTGAACATAATGTTCTCCATATTCTCATTATATCAATTACCTTAACATAATGTTCTCCATACTCCCATTATATCAATTTCCTTAACATAATGTTCTCTATATACTCCCATTATATCAACTATCTTAACATAATGTTCTCCATACTCCCATAATGTCAATTACCTTAACATGATGTTCTCTATATACTCCCATTATATCAACTATCTTAACATAATGTTCTCCATACTCCCATAATATCAATTACCTTAACATAATGTTCTCTATATACTCCCATTATATCAACTATCTTAACATAATGTTCTCCATACTCCCATAATGTCAATTACCTTAACATAATGTTCTTCATACTCCCATAATATCAATTATCTTAACATAAAGTTCTCCATACTCCCATTATATCAATTACCTTAACATAATGTGCTCCATACTCCCATTATATCAATTACCTTAACATAATGTGCTCCATACTCCCATTACATCAATTACCTTAACATACTCCCATTATATCAATTACCTTAACATAATGTTCTCCATACTCCCATTATATCAATTACTTAACATAATGTTCTCCATACTCCCATTATATCAATTACCTTAACATAATGTGCTCCATACTCCCATTATATCAATTACCTTAACATAATGTGCTCCATACTCCCATTACATCAATTACCTTAACATACTCCCATTATATCAATTACCTTAACATAATGTTCTCCATACTCCCATTATATCAATTACCTTAACATAATGTGCTCCATACTCCCATTACATCAATTACCTTAACATACTCCCATTATATCAATTACCTTAACATAATGTACTCCATACTCCCATTATATCAATTACTTAACATAATGTTCTCAATACTCCCATTATATCAATTACCTTAACATAATGTTCTCCATACTCCCACTATATCAATTACCTTAACATAATGTTCTCCATACTCCCACTATATCAATAATCACCTTAACATGATGTTCTCCATACTCCTATTATATCAATTACATTAACTAAATGTTCTCCATACTCCCATTATACATGTATCAATTACCTTAACATAATGTTATCCATACTCCCATTATATCAATTACCTTAACATAATTTTCTCCATACTCCCATTATATCAATTACCAACATAAAGTTCTCCATACTCCTATTATATCAATTTCCTTAACATAATGTTATCCATACTCCCATTATATCAATTACCTTAACATAATGTGCTCCATACTCCCATTATATCAATTACCTTAACATAATGTTCTCCATACTCCCACTATATCAATAATTACCTTAACATAATGTTCTCCATACTCCCATTATATCAATTACTTAACATAATGTTCTCAATACTCCCATTATATCAATTACCTTAACATAATGTTCTCCATACTCCCATTCTATCAATTACATTAACATAATGTTCTCCATACTCCCATTATATCTAATATAACTGTTAAGATCGCAAAATTGTAGTTCTAACAATCCTCATTTTATTACCTTCACTTTTTCTAAATAATTGTCAAACAAACATAAAAATCAATCATTTATAAAAATAAACTGCCAGAACGGATGAACTTCTTATTTTAAGCAAAATAAACTAGTAAAATTGGAACAATTTTCTGGTGTTTGCTAGTCTTTGTTGTCTATTTAATACAGACATATTGGTTATTACAGAACTACATTCTTGCAGCAAATAGAAAGATGGCAGGATGATTCAACTAGACCTTTACCATAGAGATCACAACAACCTTTTACTCCACAGGCGGTTTGTAAATATATGAGATAATATTCTAAATTCTTGGAATTACCATTTGAAAGTGAGTCACAAGTCACGAGCTGAAAGTAAATAAAAGATAAAAATGTAGGAGTACGGTGCTCTTCATAACAATAGAAGCTCAGAAACGAGAGCATACTTCAATATTGAATAGAAAGGGTGAGTTCACATTTATCATCTCTTCTACATTCTATGTATGTATGAGCATATCACCTGATGTGACATATTTATGTCTCTTGTATTTTATGTTTTTGTTAAGAGTCACTTGTACTTGTATGTTAGTTATGAGATTAATTATGTTATAATTAATCACATATATTTTTACTAATGGGATCAATTATAAATGGGATCGCAATATGGCAATGATATGTATTATAAGGTGAAATATATAAGGGTTATGTACAAGGAGGTTTGGGATATACTCTATATCCAAAACCAGTCGTACATAACTGGTGTATCTCATACTTGAGTGGGTTTGGGGTTCCACCTTTTTCAAATGACAAGATAGGCCTATACTGTAAAAGCACAATTTATATTTATAACATTTTCATAATATTCCTTTAGTTCAATACAATGAAATTGTAACATTCAAATCTTTTAACAAATTTCTAACTTTTAAATGTCAAAACTTTTAAAATTTTTAAAACTTTTTAAAAATTCCTGGGAGCGGGATGGATATATTATATCTGCCCACATTTGGCCTGGAGTGGGACATATACAATATATCCTGCCCACTCCTAAGATATGGCATATATTCCCGGGTGATATCTTCCCCAAACCCACTCAAGTATGAGATGCAGATGGTTACTGGTATTCCCCTTTTGGTCATCACTATAATAATCTGTGCATGCAAAATTTAAGGTAGTTCTGAATGTTCAGAAATTTGAATGATTTCCTAATTTGAGACCTTTGCTCGTATATGAGACCTATATCTTGCTGTAATTATGCAAGCTTTGTGCAAAATTGAAAACTGTATGGAATAAATTAATATCCACCTGACAATAACATGGGACTCCAATCAACATATGGTACTACCTTAACGCCAAATGAAGGTATAATAGTAGTTCAAACAACAAGAGGTTCATTTGAAAAGAAACCCCAATAACTGATATTTATCATGTACCTGGAAAGGGTTGGTGAATGTTCTACATTTCTGATCTTACCAGAACAAATAAAAGTTGCAGGATATACATCTAGGCCTATTCAGAGCTTTTCCACCCAGACAGATTTTTTATTACAAACATTGGAAGAAATAGAATAAAACATATTACATATTGATCATGAGGTAGAATACCTTTCGTCAGAACTAGCCTACGAGATCAATAAAAACATTGTCGTTGTACAGCAATATTTGCAATATTCAAAGCTAAGGTCACATTGACATGGTAGAACTTGGTCAAGTGAGATGAACGCCCTTGCCATAAACCATATAAATTAGACTTCTAATATGATAGATATTAGTGATTTCCTGCTATATTATATCAACGCACAGTATAAAAACATTTCAATCATTTACTATATCCATACAGTCATTGATGAGATAAAGCTATAATGTTATGTTATCAATCTACCTAGATGTCTGCAATCATTGGATTAATTATGCTAAGCACATCTAGGAACTTGTTTTTTATAATTCTAAACATCTGTTTTGATATGACTGTTTTACTTAATGAGGAAGTTGTACTTGAAGGAAAAAGTAAGCCAGAATAAAAACAGAATAGTATCAAAAATGAAAAATTTAATTTCAGATGAAACACTATAAAATGGGAACAAACGGACATATTCATCTCAACGAACACATGGCCTCGAACAAGAGAGTGCTGCCAGCAAATGCATAGTTCTGGGAACATTGATGTTATTAAAAGACACAGAGGCATTGGTACCCAGGTACCTATGTAGTCTTCAAAGCATCCATATATCTTGTGAGTAAAAGCCACATAGTAACATCAAATCTAATTGGTAGGCTATTCTATTTCTTCACTGTTTACATTTTACTGTATATACCCTTTAAATATCAAAATCTTTGTTTAAATCTAAATGACTGACACTGTTTTGTTTTATTTTTGATGGTAAAACTAAAAGTACCTATATAAAAGAATTGTAGATTTGTTTAGGAAATGAATGAATTGTGTAATTTCTTATGTGTCACTTCCCTATGTTAATTGACAAAACACTACATACATTTTAGAACTAAGAACACTGTCTGTTAACAGGGATGGTTTTGATACCATTTGATATTTTTACATCTTGAGGTGCAAATCATATTTATTTATTGACAATCAGGTTCTGGCTTTTATCTTAACATGAAATTTTAAAATATGGTTATTTAATTGCTTGTTTGATTTATTTTGTACAAATTGTTATATAAAGTTTTGTTCCTGCTTTGATTCTAAGAAGGCATGATTGAGTGTAGGAGTCATTATGATATTTGAGCATAGAAAAAATATACACTGATACATACACTTTGCAACTTGTGACCTTGGATTAAAGACTGTTCTTCATTCTTGGCAGTTTGAACTAGCTCAATAAGAAAATGTATTTATATTTATCTGAGTACGAAAATTTATAACAAAAACATATAAATCTATAACAAAAACATATTTGAATTTATTTCATTTTGACAATATGTTGATCAAAATGACATTTTGACCTGCTTATATTGTTTTCACGAAATATAGAAATTCCATGACTCATGGCACAGCGTAAGTAGGTCAAAATGATGTACTTTTACATCAGTTTTTCTTCCATTCAAACCAGGGGGGGGGATTAACCTAAGAGTTTAAAGATGACCTACGCTTGTACTGAGGATGACATATGTCTCTAATTGGTCAAAATTGACTAACAAAAATGGCACTCTGCAAAATTTTCGAAATACTTTTCGAATAATATTATGTTAATTCCTGTCATGTTTACCAATATCATAGCTTCTTATTTCATATCAAGATAAAGAAAGGTGTATGGAATTTACCTCAGAATATACCTACATTAATTAAAACATCACATCAAAGCATAGTATTTGGAAAATAGCCAGTGAAAATTTGAACAAACGGACACGTGGTAAGCAAGAGACGTAATCTCCCTACTCTTAATTTAAACAAACCTCAATTTCCTAACTATACACATGCTTGATACCAAGTATAAAATACCTACCCCATATTACTCAGTATCTTAAAGAGAAACCATGACTAACAGAAAGTCATAAGTCCATGCTATAAAGTAGCATGAATCAAAACTGATAATTCATGTATCCTACATCTATCCTATTCCATCTTAATTTCAGAAAACAAAGCAAATCATAACAGTGAAAGTGTCACAAACCAGTAACAATGTCTATCAAAAGAATATCCAGCAAAAATATACTTGATGAAAGTAACAAACAGCTAACAGAATTGCCACATGACATTTTTAAACCAAAGACATCAGTAGTGAATCTTTCTAGAAATCAACTGATTGCATTACCAGATCAGATAAATGAACTAGAAAAATCACTTGAAAAACTGAACATTGAAAGGAACCAATTTTCAAATGTTCCAGAACAAATAGCAAACCTCAAAAATCTGACATGGCTACACATATCTAACAATCCAATAGATGAGATACCTGAAAACATTTGCCAGCTTGTGAAACTTCGATCCTTATTCTGCTGGTCAACATACATCACAGATTTGCCTTTCAAGTTTGCACAGTTGCAGTCATTACAGCAACTTGATATATCCCATAATAAACTGACACATTTGCCTAGCTGTGTGTATGAACTGAAGAATTTGATCTGGTTGGACTTTGATGATAATCAAATTTCAGAGATTGATCCTAAGATAGGAAACCTAACAAAACTAAAGACATTGCGTGTTCATAAAAACAAACTTACATCATTGCCAAGTGAGATATCAAAGCTGCAATTGAGGGAGCTGAATGTATCACAGAATAATATTGACTTTAAATCTTTTGAGGAAGTAATAAGCAAATTGAAGTCATTGGAAATATTAGATTTTGAGAGATGTGGTGTAAGCAGACTTCCCGAATCTATCACAAAACTTGTAAACCTGAAGACATTTGGTTGTTTCAACAACCCTCTGCAATACCCTCCAGAAGCAATATGCACAGATGGCATGCAATCGATTAAAAGTTACTTCATTGAAACAAAGAACCACGCAAGGCTGACTTCCAAGCAAAAAGTAGTATATGTGGGAGAAACATTAGCAGGGAAAACATCCCTCATCCATGGATTAACGAAGGGTGTTTCTCAACTCACAAGAATTGAAGACAGAACGAGAGTCCTTGAAAAGACCAACTGGGACATTGCAAGTGAACACATCGAAATTGTCAACTATGATCTTGGTGGAAATGAAATATATAGGCCAACACATCCTTTGCTGCTGTCACAAAGAGCAATCTATATTCTGACCACTGATATCTATAGCTTCATGAAAGAAGATGACAAAGATGATGCTTTTAAGGAGAAAATCTGGTTCTGGTTACACAAGCTGCAGGACTATGTACCAGGCTCGAGAGTTATAGTGGTTGCTACACACTTTGATCTCTGTGAAACGGACAAAGAAAAGGAAGATGCCAGAGATACACTGAATACTATCAATCAAAAGATAAAAGCAGAGGTAGAAAAAATTGAAGTGGATATCGATCGAAAACTGGAGGATGCCCAACGTGAAATAAAAGAAATAGAAGGTAACATAAATGAGAATAATGGAGAAGATATCAAAGCTTGGCGAATGAAGGAAGAACGGCTGAAAAAACTACAGGGGAAAATTCTACATGTAGAGGATTCCTTTCTCATCAGCTCTAATGAAGACCTGACTGGCGTGTCAGATTTGAAGAGATGTATTTTGAAGTATTCAAGGGAAAATCAAGTTTATGTCTCAGAGCAAATGTTCAAATTCATGAAGGAACTTACACATCAGAGTTTATGTGAACCAAAAAGACTTTCCATGAGAGAAAAGGATCTATCCAACTTCATGACAACACGAAGGAGTTCTCTAAAGAATCTGAAGCATAAGATGCGACAGAAACCTGAGGCTTACAAACAGAAAAAGGTTCTCACTCTTCTGAGCCTCATGGGGGAAATCCTTTACTACCCTGACCAGGATGCTCTCCAAGATGTCATCTTTCATAACATTGATAGGATGATAGAGCTACTTAGGGCCATCTTTAGACATGATAGGGAACTGTTCAATAACGTCAACTATGACAAAGACCATATTATCATAACTTGTTGTGGATCCAAACAGAAATTTGAGGACATGGAAAGAGATTTCAGAGTAAATGCCATACTCCACAAAGGATTTTTTCTGTATCTTTGCCATAATGTAGCAAATAATGAAGAGGCAGAAATAATGCTGGAGGTCCTACAGAAGTTCAACCTGTGCTTCAAATTTGATAGCAGTAATGAATCCCTTTATCATTTTCCATGGTATCAAACCCAATCTGATGGTATCTGCATACATCAACAAAACAGATACCAGTTAACGCTTGAGATCCACTTCACACGGTCTATCCCTGATAAGTACTTCAAGAAAGTAACTGTACTTCTTCAAAAGTACATCGATCCATCTGGGCGCAGAATATCCACACATATCTCATGTGGAAAGAAAGACTATACTGAAATATGTGTAGCAAGAAAACACTCAAATGGAAAGTACTTCATGCCAGTTCGCTTATATGGCATAGACATTGAAGACATCTGGAGGACACTAATGGACTTGTACAAGGATATGATTAATCTCCTTGTCCAATGGCCAGGGGTTTACTATGATGTCTACTTAGTATGCCCACATTGCCTGAGAACCAACCAAGAAGATCCTTTCAAGTACAATGCGGAAGCGGTTTTGAAGTTGCAGTATCCCAAGGGTAAAAAGAAGCATTCATGGAAGACCTGTGAGAAGGAGGGTGTGAAACTTCCTGCTGCTCTGGTGTGGCCTGTATTATATGATCCTGGTAAGCAAACATGATTCATAAAGGTTTCTTTTTCAAAATACCCTCACAACGTGGAGAATGGTAGAGTAGAGATTGTTAGAATTGCAAACAGCCCCTACAATTTTAATGTTTTAATGTTTGTTCAGCCTGGTCACTTATTCTTTTTTCAAAGGTACATTCAGCTAAACAGAGTGAGGCAATTCACCTGTACTAGCCTACTAGATTATAAAATGTGCCAGATGTATTTTTAGGTGTGGAAAACAAAGAGAAAGAGGATTACAAGCAAGACCTCAAAAGCTATGAATCTTTCACTCGTAAAACAGAGGGTAAGTACAATAACATTAACAATATAACATCCATGTTTTCTAAGTACAATAACATAAACAAAATAACATCCATGTTTCCATATCCTGTATGTGTTTAATGATTGAAATTATTATTTGCTACCATTTGTTACTTTTTGCCTGGAGCCTTGAAGCATTCAGCTTACTCCAAAATGGGTTTACTAATAATACTCAATAATAATGAAAATATCAAATCCCATATCACATATGAAATTCAAATTACTAAATATATCCTGTTATTCTGTATATAGTTCTGTGTACAAATGATGACCTACAAGTTAAAAACGGTAGTAATAAGGACAATACATCAGGAGACGTACCTATCAAAACCAGACTTCTGTTGAAACACTCTATATCTGCCCAAGACTTTCAGTCATCTGTGAAACCCATTTACAAGAGAAAGAGACTATTGTCACAAGGTGACAAAACAGAAGCCCAAAGGGGAATCCACATTAATGTACATGAAGGGGCTACAATGCAGTTGTCTGTTGGTGACAAGAGTGGAAATACAATTGTTTCTACGAGAAATGGGGACAGATCTCCAAGTGAATATGGCAGTGGGTATGTTCTGGATTATGATCCAAGTTCAGAAGATGATAGATCACCTATATGGAGCTCAATTCAGGAAAACATTTGGGAGATACCATTTGTAGATGAGGATACCTGTGAGGACAATGATGGAAAAAAGTCATCTGAAGAACTAGACCCAAATGGAAAGATGCCAAAAGAACTATTAAGAAAGTATGTTATATAAATTTATATTCATTTATTTAGCTGAAAAGGAGAGCCCGTGCTTATAATAGAAATGATCTGTATCAGTTTCCACAGATATTTCTGTGCTCTTGTAACAGGGACATTAATATTTTATATTTAGGTTTGTTAAAGGAGGACAATCACAAACAAGACCCTATAGCATGTGAAGCCTTCATTCAACAAACAGGGGGTAAGTGGTAAGTACAATAACATTAATGTATAACATGTATGCTAGTATGCTCCTTGACAGATTATTAGCAAATTTTTGTACACCATACATGCATTTGTATTAATTCTAATTAAACGATAATGTTTTGGATATGGAATTCATTTACCTACTTTTGTTACTTTTTGATGTTTGTCTTTGATTGTCTCTACTTCAGATTTCTCTTGGGTATTCAGCTTTCAACTACTATTGCTTCATTGCTAATGTCCTCATTCTACAGTTTTTGTAATTGGGTTTAAATCCAGATTGATAGTTAATCAATTTCTGCTATTGTATTTAGGAAGAAAATGACCAAGGATATAGTGTTAATATTCTGTTGAGGCACTCAATATCAACCTCTGAAGATACGGAATCTATAAAACCCAATATCTACTGGATTTTACAATATTTCATACATGAGAAATAGGCGTAGATTCAAGTCAGATGAACAAAAACTCTTGACAAAGAGATATCAATATACATTGTAACTCATAAGGGCAGTATGCACTTATCAACATTGTTTCTCCAAAATATAGAGACAATTCTCAAAATGATATTAATATATATGATATTAACATTATAGATAAACTACATGTATGTTGAGATGAATTCATGAATGGGTAAGCATACATGGATGGGAGAAGAGACAGTGTTTGAAGATTTAAACAAGACACATTGAATGTGTATTTTTGTATGTTGGTTGAATCTCATTGTAGAAAAGGAGTTCAAAATTTATGATTGATGAATAGAGTTTGAGTTTTTAAGGATCTCGGTAAGGCAATTTTTGTCATTAGTCAAAACTTAAAGATTCGAGAGTGTTTATCATATAATTACTGTAATATGGGAAAATCTGGTGCAGGATCTATTTTGGTTAATTCAGCAATTTGAAAAACTTGCTAATTTATTTATTCCCAAGTTACAGTATGCCGAAAAGAAAGTTAGTAGTGTAGATTATGCCAAACATAGGAGTGCCATATTTAGTTAAATAGTGTTCAGATCTCAGCTTACAGCAATTTTTATTCAATTGTACCTCAAGATATTCGAGGAAAATTGTGCCATATGTATTTTAGCCATATAAAAGGAACTAGATTTATATGTATAATAATTATGTTATTTTGTATAAATTGGATTAATTCTACATTATGCTTAAATGGGAAATTGTGCTTAGAAATGCTATATTAATTGTTAATCATGTTGGTGTCAGAAAGTATAGCCATCAGCTATCAATTTGATTGTTGCTCCAACTGGGATAATAAATTTATCTGGTGATGTTTTAGGCGTGATTTTTGTAAAAATGTCAGTTAACATGTTTGTTCATTTGAGAAAGGTTCTCTACAAAGGCAACCTATAATGTATATAATTAAATTATAGTGAGCAACAGTTTACATTTTCTTGATGGTTGTTTAAAACAGATATATAAATTCAATTGTAGTATCGTTGTTTATTTATTGTTACTGTATTGTAATACAATGGGATGTATTAGTTATTCAAGGTTAATTGTATAATATTTGAGACTGAGGTTCTCTAATAAATGTTGCTGATTTTGATTGATTTTTCTGGTCATTGTTGAAAGACCTAAATCAGGAGTGAGGTCTTTGGCAATGTTCAAATAAATCAAAGGTAATATATATTTGCCATAAAGCATGGTATCATAGATTTTGTTGTGATTCTAATATGATAGCAAACCAAAAAAACCAGCTAAATTGTATTTTCATTTTGAGGTTTCAATTTAGGAGTCATACGGTACTCGGCGGTACTCCTTTACAGACCTCAACTTCATTTATTCTTTCCATTATGATGTCATTTATCACATAAGTGTAAAATTTTGTACAATATCAATTAAATTATATTTTAGAACTCTAGTGATTCAAATATTTATTTCATTGATTGCATCAATATTAATGGAGTAACCAGCATTGCTACGATACAGCATAGTGGTTTCAATTGAAAAGGATAATAAAAAATAGCTGAATAAAAGTTGTAATATTAGACACTGTGGTATCATCTGTACAAAAGCACACTTACTGTTCAGCTTGAAATGCTTTAGTTTTCCCATATGCCTGGCAAACAGTCACATAAGCTCTAATTCATCAGCTGGAGCCTGGTAGATTATTTTGTTCAGCATCAAGCATTGCATTCATTTTTGAACAAAATACTCAATCCGCAGGGTGACTGGCAATGAATGGGAGCTTTTGTGAGCTAGGCATCAATGAAAGCTTTATTTTTAAAAACTATTATTCAGTACATATCATTTTTCTTAATGTAGTTCATAATTCAATTTTTAAGGCTTAAAGCATTATAAACAATACTATATTTTTTAGAGTCATGGGTGTATCTATACATGGCTTCAAATTTTAATTCATACTTTTTGGATTGAAACTGAATAAAAATAGAATGATCTCATGAGTATTATTTCCCCCCTAATGCCTGGGTCATATTTGCCCCAATCCATCGGCCGGCGCCCGGCCGATTGAGTGTTTTGTTCAATATTGTATTCAATTTTGAACAAAATACTCAATCGGCCGGGTGCCGTTGTAAAAGTCGGAGCAAATGTGACCACTGCATAACTGAAAAGCAAGCCAGTCATTTGTCTCATCTATTTCTATATCCTATTTACATCATGAAAGTAAAGTGAAACCTGTAAAGTGGAACACCTCTAGAAGTGGAACACCTCTGTTAGTAGAACACTTTTCAGAGTCCTAGGACCAACTGACTTAATGTTAAATGAATCTCTATGTGTGGAACACCTCCCAGTTGAAACACACAAAGGTGTTCCACTTAGGCAGGTTTTACTGTACTTGAATATATGTAATTGGTGATTTGAACATACTGTCATTTTGCAGATAACTGGAATTCAAAATGTCATGATGACCTGTCTGGTTCATGTGTAATACTGCATACTGTAAAAATGCCATATTGTAAGGGTTTGAAATAGAATTGGGGATGTATTGTACTTGTAGGCTATCGTATTTATGATATAACTTAAAGTATACCTGGTTTATCAGGACAAGCAATAGTAAAGCTATATGATTTCTACCATGCTTATACTGAGGTAATGTCTCAGTCACATTTGATCTATGGCAACCATAACTTCTCAAAATCAAGAGAAATATGCAACATAGGATATAGGAATAAGCAGTAAGATGTAGATTTTCTACATCAATTTTGTGAAGCAACGCCTGCCATATATCTGCCATAGAGCAAATGTGACTGAGGCATGATTTAATAAAGGAGCAATAATTGTACCACCCCCCCCCCTTATCTAAAAAAACATTTCCTTAGGAATACTAGTATGTATAGAGATGAGGTGTGTAGAGGGGGGTACAAGAGTTTGAGGCAAGACTTAGTCATAATATTCAAAATCAAGAGGTTTTCTTATTATTTCACCAGACACGGTTGATTTGAATCCTTTGTTGATGTGAACATGACAATTTATTATGGCTCTGTGCCCCTAAAGAAACATCAATAAATAAAATGAAAACATACAAAAAAGTGAATTTATGAAAAGCAGTACACAAAAATGATATAAAATGAATCATATAATAAATGAAGTTGATCAGTAAAAATTTGAAGTTAATTTTTATCTACTAGTATGTTAATTTAATTCATATAAACAAATCAACAATTTTGTATGCATTATGTGATGTTTTATGAAAAATGTTCACATTATTATACAGGTTGATTTTTCAGATATGACTGCTCACTTTTCAAATTGGGAGGTGTTCACATTTCAAGGTTTCTTTAACATGAGAGTCAATGGGAGGTAAAAATGGGCCCAAAAAGTCTTCAGAATTGGGAGGTGTTTACTAAAAAATCTTTTTATTTATATTATTAAACTATTTTTTAGGCATTTAATTGTAGAAAAAATACACATGTGCCTGGTAGTTTTTGTATTCTGAGAACAAATGGTAAGAACAAAAACAAATGTTATGGTTAATATTGGGTTATTTCCCTGAAGATCTTATGGCCGTGTCTCCAATTATTGATCTCTTGTGTTACTGAGATTCAGGATCTTTCAGAATATCTAAGGTATACAATATTGATTATTTAGCATGATATTTACTGAGGGACTGGGGAAAATGAAAATGGACTCAATACCTTTCACTCCCCATATTGGTAATTTCTAGAGTCAAATCATGTTTGGGAGTGAAAGCTCGCATGACCAATGATAATCATTGCATTTGGTGATGAATATTGTAAAAAATATCAGTTGAAAATACCAATGTGGTATATAATGGTTAATGATGTCAAAGATTTTACTGACAATGAATAATGAAGATGTAAGGATATCTTACATCATGATGGCTTTTTAACATTACTCCTTCAATTCTTTCCTTATATGGTTGTATTATAATTGTACAAGACTTGTCAACTTCTTGATTTGCTTTGATGGTAATGATTCGCAAAGAAGAATTTCTGAGCTCATCGAGAAAATCTTGTACATGTACAAATTCATTTATATAAGTAGCCTATTACCTGAGCTCCTTTGTAGAGAAGATGCTTCTTAATGTGAAAGAAAGCTCGCTTGTTAAAATAAATGTTAAGTTAAAATAAAATAGCATTAAATGAAAACCAGTTGTTTTTTCTTTATGAGAGGGTTTGGCGCCATCCAATAACAATAGGCAACAACCAAATCACATCAGAAATATTAATGGTATAATTAGATGGGGATTTGGCAATAATATAACTGCATGTGACAGTATGATATTTCAAATATTCAACTGACAACATTTTTAGACTTTAGAAGCTAGATTTTATTAAGCTAACAAAACTGTATCATTGTGAAGGATATAAAGCTTTCAAAAATGCCATATTCCAACACAACATGGATTACATAGTATTTTAAAATCAGGGGTAAAATGATATGTGATTGAAGTATAATACATTCACAATGTAAATTCATAATTTTATAATAGTACAGTAGAGTATACAGTACTAAATAATATGTACATATAATCATACAAGGTTTATGAGATTGCACTATTATGCTTTCATTTTGAATTGCACATTCCCAACAACAAAGCCAACAATTTTTCATCATATCATTTCGCCAACTAATCCTGTTTACCTGTCCAATGTTACATTAATATCATTTTTCTCATATACCCTGTAAAGTAATAATCTATCAGGCATGACAAGGAATGTGTGCTATTAAATTGCAATTTTCGAAAAGCTGCTCAGTTTACAGGGTGACCTAAAATTCTATGTCCTGGGTTATCTCAAAGAACTTCAAAACTATACAGACCCGTAGCCAAGGAGGGTTCAGAGAATTGAGCAAACCCCCCCCCCTCCCACTGGCCAAAATTTATTTTACAATGGTACAGTTTTTCACCATTCTGAGCACTTTTCTAGTGAACCCCCCCCCCCCCCCCCTTGACAAATCCTCGCCTGCTATACATGGTCTCAATTAAATTCCTCACATTCGTCATCTCTAATTTGTGTCTGACAAAGTCAAACTAAAACTATAACAATAACATATTTTTCACAATTCCATGGACATATAGAAATCAGATACATGTACATCTCCCAACATTGATCCTTTGCGTGAATGTTTGGAGATATTCCAAAAAAATCTAATCTCAATAGATCTCAAGCAGACACCTAATTTGACACCATTGTGTTGAATTCAAATGAACACATGAATATGTAAGAACCTGAAAAATTAAATTGATTTCATCTATAGTTCAGTTATTACAGATCATGTGAGGTCCACTTTTTGGGTCACCCTGTATACCAGTGGGGCAAAATTCCGTATTCAAAACTATATATTTTAGCACAGTACAAACATGACAACATGACTTTTTCAATAACTTTGCATTGGATCATAAAAGCTTCCGATGAATTCTGTGCAGAAAAACATTTTCTCTGTGAATAAGCAAGTTTTGAGTTCAAAATAAATTGCATGAAAATCTTAAAAATTCTTATAAATTAACCTGCTCCGCCGTATTGACCAAATTAGGCAATGATATCTCATGAACTAAGTTCAATATATAATGTTTGTTGATTTCTCATTAATAACAGTTTGTGAGAACAGTCAACAAGTACATGTACAAAAAAGAATCACATAATCAAAATAAATGTTTCTGTTAAACAGTTATTGAAAGTCCATTCTAGTTTATAGTAAGGTTATCTTACTTAGTTATCATAACTTTATATTGCTCATGAAACACCAACTTAAAGTTTTGAAATGTTAGTATTTCTAATCATATTTATGCTTTGTATGACCATGTTGGTTGCGTCTCTGGCACAGCCCCAGTGCAATGTCACCCCAGCTCCTCCATGACCATAGTTATGTACCACCTAGAACAAATGAAGAAATCAAATACTTATACTACAGCCTGTATATATGCACGATATTGGAAAGAGGATCCTAGTGATAATCAGGGTTTCTATACACCATGTGGCTCCTTACAGTGTTCATCATGTTCAGACTCAATGTATACAGGTGAACACCCCCCCCCCCCCCCCGTTGTTAAATGTGAACCCACCTGGAATTTTTTGAAAAGAGCACATCCCCCTGGCAAAGCTGGCTTCAGGCCTACAGGACTTGCCATGATCATGTTCAATTTTAAAATGATCCTCATAATCAGGGTCACTGTTTTTATTATCAATGGCCATGATCAGTATTACAGATTACAGTGATTCCCAATGATCACAGGATCACTGTTTACATTGATCAGGATCACTGTTTACATTGATCAGGATCACTGTTTACATTGATCAGGGTCACTGTTTACATTGACCAGGGTCAGTTATCAGTGAATACCATGATCATGGTCAACGTTTTCAGGAGTTACCATAATCAGGGTCAATCTATACAGTAGTTACAGTAAAATCCCAAGATGCAAATACATCTTGAACTTCTACATATCGTGAGTAATTTACTCATCCCTTTCACTAACACCCTTCTAATGATTGAATTGATAAAATAGCTTGCTTGTTCTTGAAGTATTTGTAATACAGAGGAGACATCGCTGGATTCTCTATTTGTAAGACTTAACTGACTAAGGTGCATTTATCATTAACTAAAGTGTTAAGTAAAGCAGGATATGGCTCCTTATCTACTTATTGCATATTATGCAGTTAGCAGTCTCACAGTTCCTTGAATGGTGAAATAGCACCTTTTTATAATGTGATATCTAAAAGATCATGCAGTCCCCAAAGTAAAAGTGAAATTAAAAAGAAAATAGTTTGGTAGCCAAGATGTTCGCAGAAAACAAAACAAAACTACAAATTGTTGAATGTGGTAATTACATGTACAAGAAAATACTGAATTTAGTTCAGCAAATAGAAAATGCGTTTTATCAGTATTAGCATCATTTTGATCAAAAATCAACAATACAGGCCTCAAAAATGAAGCAGCCAATGTTAACAATACAGCAGCTAACATTCACATGAACATATGAACATTGCTAGAGATATCTTAGAATAAGGAGAGGTGCTCAGTCTAGATATCTGACAATTTGCCCAACTACTAGTATGGGCCCAATGTCAAGAGTCATTTTAAGGTCAAAGACACAAATATGCAAAATTCAAAGGTTATCCAAATCAACACTATTGGGCTTGAAGAGGCTCAAGGTCACCTGAAAGGTCAATATATGAGAATTGCATAATAGTCCCTGATACATCATGATAAACCATGGCATCTCATTTCTTCTCAGCCCTGAGATGCCATGATATAATGAGCTTGGTTTGGCGATCCAGCAGAGCCCAAAATTGAGGATTTTAAATACAATGCCTATCGTGATGTATTAGATACCCAGCGAAGCATTTGTATTGAAGTCAAAGGAGCTGAAGGTCGGCTATATATTCCTGTATAGCCGCCAAACCTTTTACCATGACAATCTTATGACGTCATCGGGACGTCATGTTTCATTTCTTCCTGATTTCACTCGCACAGACACGTGGCGTCATTGATATAACGTAGCCATGATATAAAAGTATGTAATACAACAGTTATGTCCGTATCATTGAATATATGCCTTCGGTCTGTCGTAATATAACCCTCGCAAGCTCGGGCTATATTGGTGACAGACCTTAGGCATATATTCAATGATAGGGACATAACTGCTAAGTATTGTCATTAGGTAAATGATTACATGATAACTATCACACTTATTGACAGTCATAACTTTTCCCATCTGATTTGCTCAGATCACAGAATATGGCTCATAATATCAGAGCATGTTTCAGGTGAAACAGAAAGATGCTATGAGTATCAGAATGTCCCTGATACATTATACAAGTATGTAAAACCTATGAATATTGAACATTTCCTGCCGAGAAGAAATGCTCAGTGTTGGTAGGTGTTAACTGCAGAGAGCAGTGGCGTAGCCAGGATTTGGTGACCGGGGGTTCTATTTTTATGTTATTCACAAATCCCCCCCCCACTTCATTAGGGTTCCTCAAATAATGTACAATTACACCCCCTCCAAAAGTTTGGCAATCCTAACTAACCCATTGGATTATGTATTAAAAGCATCTTTAAGTTTTTTGGGAGGGGAAATGTAATTCATTTTAATACCTTCATTAAGTGAAGTAGACAATTTGATTTGAATTTTATTTAACAACAAGGCATTAACATGACAAAATGTCACCACCTAAAACAATTTGGTCAATTTAAAGCAAGTTGGAAAATACCTTTTGACCTTAAGAATGTTTTTGAAGATTTGAGCTTCTGGGATCTTGTAGATGATTTTGAAAAAAGAAATTGTTCAATCTGAAGCAAGTTAAAACTAGTTGCACACAAATCTTAAGTCAGATTTGAACTTCTTAGAACATGTAGATGATTTTGAAAAAAAAATTCGTCAATTTGAAGCAAGTTGAAAAAATACCTCTTTGACTTTTTTTGACATTGAAAAGGTCATTGAAGGTCAAATGTCAAATGTAAAGTCAGATTCGAACTTCTGAGAACATGTAGATGATTTTGAAAAAAAATTAGTCAATTTGAAGCAAGTTGAAAAAAGACCTTTTTGACCTTGAGAAGGTCATTGAAGGTCAAATGTCAAATCTAAAGTCAGATTTGAACTTCTGAGAACATGTAGATGATTTTGAAAAAAAATTAGTCAATTTGAAGCAAGTTGAAAAAAGACCTTTTTGACCTTGAGAAGGTCATTGAAGGTCAAAGGTCAAATCTAAAGTCAGATTTGAACTTCTGAGAACATGTAGATGATTTTGAAAAAAAATTAGTCAATTTGAAGCAAGTTGAAAAAAGACCTTTTTGACCTTGAGAAGGTCATTGAAGGTCAAAGGTCAAATCTAAAGTCAGATTTGAATTTCTGAGAAAATGTAGATGATTTTGAAAAAAAAAATTAGTCAATTTGAAGCAAGTTGAAAAAAGACCTTTTTGACCTTTTTTGACCTTCAGAAGGTCATTGAAGGTCAAATGTCAAATCTAAAGTCAAATCTAAAGTCATATTTGAATTTCTGAGAACATGTAGATGATTTTGAAAAAAAAATTTAGTCAATTTGAAGCAAGTTGAAAACAGACCTTTTTGACCTTTTTTGACCTTGAGAAGGTCATTAAAGGTCAAATGTCAAATCGAAAAGGCAGATTTGAATTTCTGAGAACATGTAGATGATTTTGAAAAAAAAATTAGTCAATTTGAAGCAAGTTGAAAAAAGACCTTTTTGACCTTTTTTGACCTTGAGAAGGTCATTGAAGGTCAAATGTCAAATCCAAAGTCAAATCTAAAGTCATATTTGAATTTCTGAGAACATGTAGATGATTTTGAAAAAAAATTTTAGTCAATTTGAAGCAAGATGAAAAAATACCTTTTTGACCTTTTTTGACATTGAGAAGGTCATTGAAGGTCAAATGTCAAATCTAAAGTCAGATTTGAATTTCTGAGAACATGTAGATGATTTCGAAAAAAAAATTTAGTCAATTTGAAGCAAGTTGAAAAAAGACCTTTTTGACCTTTTTTGACTTTGAGAAGGTCATTGAAGGTCAAATGTCAAATCTTAAGTCAAATCTAAAGTCAGATTTGAATTTCTGAGAACACGTAGATGATTTTGAAAAAATTTTTTAGTCAATTTGAAGCAAGTTGAAAACAGACCTTTTTGACCTTTTTTGACCTTGAGAAGGTCATTGAAGGTCAAATGTCAAATCTTAAGTCAGATTTGAATTTCTGAGAACACGTAGATGATTTTGAAAAAAAAATTTAGTCAATTTGAAGCAAGTTGAAAACAGACCTTTTTGACCTTTTTTGACCTTGAGAAGGTCATTGAAGGTCAAATGTCAAATCTAAAGTCAGATTTGAAGGTCAAATGTCAAATCTAAAGTCAAATCTAAAGTCAGATTTGAATTTCTGAGAACATGTAGATGATTTTGAAAAAAAAATTAGTCAATGTGAAGCAAGTTGAAAAAAGACCTTTTTGACCTTGAGAAGGTCATTGAAGGTCAAATGTCAAATCTAAAGTCAGATTTGAACTTCTGAGAACATGTAGATGATTTAGAAAAAAATTGAAGTCAGTCTAAACAGTATTTGTTAAGTTATAGGAAGTTGTAAGAAATTGTTACAGACGCAGGACGCCAACCTCTAACCGCCGGACGCCGTCGCAAAAAAACGGAGACCATAACAATATGTCACAATATGTCACCACTTTTGGTGGTGACATAAAAACGATTCCTTTATTTACGTTAAGCAAAGTCTGAAAGTAATAGGCTTTATCAAGAAACCTCTCCCATTGAAATAACAGAGGACGTAAAAATGATTTTCAAAAATGACCTTGTAGCTTTGTAACTTTAATGTTCACTTTAATGTTCAAAGTAAAATAAACAGGCAACGTGCAAAAAAGTCAGACAACTTATAATTAATTTTCTGCATCAAAATATATTTCGGTGAATCTTTTACTGAATACATATCCTGAAATCTGATTTGCCCCGAATCCACCATTATTACGTCTGATTTCTGGAAGACTCTGGAGCATGATTTGTTTCCAAGCAAGGATATCAACTATTTTGCACAATTTATTCCCTGACTTAAGCTACTTCATCTAGGACAAAATAAATCACCTCGTGCAATGGCTTATCATAATTTTTCAGGAATTTTGTCGGAGTCCAGTTCGGATCAAACGCAAACGCCCTATACTCCGAAAGATCGTTCTTCTACGATAACTTTTCACAACGTTTACACGAAGGCTTTTTAAACTACCCGGGATAGTCGTATTACTGATGAAAATATCTATTATTCAAATAAGTGGGTCTCGGTTATGCTTTGTTTTAAAAAGTTAAAAATATTTCTTTGGACGTCCACGGAGCTAAGTTGTAAGTCCCCAGCAGATCGTAGCAGATCAACTGCAATTGATTATAAAAACGTTTTGGTGGATATAAATCATGTATAAATACAAGCGACTGTTCGAATATAAAACGTATTTTGTTAAGTTCAGACGGCTTGATAACAAATTAGGCCTTCATTATTTGAAGATTAATACCATATGATTTTTCAATGTTTTTTATTATGTAATTTATTCGCTAGACATATCATGACATTAACATGAAAATGGAGAGCAGTTAAACTGGAACGATAACAATTTGAATTCTATACCATCTCTAAGATGAGTGGGGTGTATCTGAAAAAACAAATCATTTTTTGCAATGATTGATTTTTCTTTGGAAAAGTGATTGGTAAATAAATACTGAACAAATGAAAGAATGAATAAATTGAACAAATGCGTGTGTTTATAAATGATATACGCTTTTAAATAATTCATTTCACAACGTTTTTAATTATTTAACGCAATTGGTTTCGGGGACTTGCCAGCCCAAGGGACGTCCCAAGAAATATTTTAAATTTTAATTGAAATTAAACAAAACAGAGATTACACATTTGAAAGAACATGTGTTTCATCAATATTACGACTATTCCAGATATTTACTCGTCAATTTTGTAAAAATCACTCGGAGTATGGGACGTCTTAGCATTGTTTTCAATAACTTTCAATAACTTCGTATTAGACCAGAACTGGCTTAAAACAAAATTCCTACAAAGGACTGATTCAGCCATTGCCCAAGATGGGCTATTTTGTCCGAGAAGAAGCAGCTTTTAAGTTAATTTTGCGAAATTATTGTTATTTCTAAATGTAAAATCTCATGCTCTGGGGTCTTCTCAAAATCTCATACCGTGCCTAAGGTTGCCAACCGTTTTGAGGGAAGTGTAACTTCACACATGATGACATGTTTTTAACAAAATAAGGCTATCGTGTTCACCAAAACAAACATCAATTCATTTACTGCTCATATAATTATGTAGTTTTCAAACAGCACAGTGATTTAATGTTTCTGGTTATAAGCATTTTTCCGCAAAATTATATTTTGGGAAAACCCAACGAACCCCCGCTGCCTACGGCTATGAGAGAGGGTAATATAAACAGAAGTCAGTTGAGTATGTGTTGAGGAAGGGTGTTTACTAGAGGCAGGTGTTCACTAGGCAGAGGTGTTCACTAAGACAGGTTCTACATGTGCATTAAACTCAAGCTCACATTATCAAAGTCAATGTTATATAATCATCATATCAAAAAATGGTATTTCACAGTTTAGCAATGTTGGTATTCCTGGAAGGTCTCCAAAAGCTACTAAATGGATCACATACTGAGACTTCCAAAATAAGCAATATTTTAGGGTCCCTTGAGAGTCTATGAAAGTAAAGTTGCACACTGAGATTTGTCAACCAGTATTCTAATAGTGTAGTGTATGAAGGAGGCTGCCATGTAATGAATAACATGCAATATAATAATGAATACAATGTAAAATTGCTGTGAATGAAAGGTTATCATATTCAACAAAATGCAATGTAGTAAGCATTGCCATTAGCCTACATATAATATCATGCAATGTGTAAACTGCAATTTCATCCTGAATTTCATCCTAGTGAACACAATTGGTTGAGAATGTAGAAGACTTTCATTATCAAGTGTGATGCTCGTAACAATCCCTGCCTTCACAGGCGCGTCAGACACTTTTCTTCAAGGGGGGGGGGGGTGGTTTGTGTCTTGCAAAGATTGCACTTTGAGGAACTGATAGAAAGCTGTGATGTCTCTAATAATAATCAAACTTTTGCAAAACTTACATTTAGCTGCTTGTCATTTTTGCATAGAATCTCATGCTCCACCCTAACACTCGGCCTTCCTGGTCTCAGACCCACCCATTCTCCTAGGATCTCGGCATTCTGAAACATATAATAACACATACATGTACTACACTTGCACAGCAAGAATTCACTAGAATTGTACATATGAAACTGGCATCATTTTGCAGGAATAGCATTGGTACATTGATGGATGGTTGGATGAATACATAGAAAGATACATGTACTTCTTTTAGAAGGACATTAAAAGACATGAAAACGAATCATATTAGCGTCCTTCAATTCTATATCAGACATCAAAGCTGCATTAGGCATTCAAAGTCAGAATATGTCATACTAATTGTATATCATAAAAGAATATAATGCAGCTAGATTAAAGAATTATTGATAATTCAGAGTACAGTTGAAGTCAATCTCTTTACTCCTTATGGAGGATATCACATTAATTATAAATCACAATACACTGCTCCTATGGATCAATACACTTATGATGTATGGTATAATATGTCTAGTCATAAGCAACGATGATATCATCACATTCTATTACATCTGCATATAAAAAACATATCTATACTAACCTTTGAATTAAATCGAGCAATAGCGCCACTCAAAAATAAATAAAAAATGTGTACAAATAGATAAATTGAGGGTATTTGCTTGGGAATTCAAGAGGGGTTTTATGCGAAGGCTTTGCATGTCAATGAACTAGAATTCTGAGAAAGCAGGTCAAAATGATTTCCTGTTCTCAAAATACCTCCACAGCTATTTTCAAATAATTCTGAAAACGGTAATGACACATTTAATACAATGTATATGTTGTGCCTGGTTTGCATTTAAGTTAAAGCAATAGCAATGTGCCGTTAAAAGGTTTAACCATGGGTCAGGGTAACTTGTTTTTTATTGTAGAAATAAACAAGGATGATTGGCTTCCATTCCTTGCAAACCATCATGCCAACCTTGCATGGGAGACTGAAGGTTTACCCAATACTACAAAATAAAGAAACAGGGATGCAGCACAGATACATGATCAATATAAAGAAGTGTAACCCTTCCTTTAGCTAGATTTAATGCAAGCTTTTTTCAATGATGATGAATGACTTCAAAATCAGAAATAGATTATGTAAACAATGTTATTGATCAGATGGAATTTTCCTATACAAAGTAGTAGAATAAAGGAACAGACAAAATGAATCATTCTGGAATATTCCACGTCTGATAAACCAGATCGATTAATGAATTTAGTATGCATAAATGTACAATATGTGAGTGTGTAACCAATTGTTTTTTCAAAGTAGTACTTTATTAAAGCTTACAATATTGAGGATAGAGAACATGTTGCCTGTATCATCATTCTATAAATGAAAAGCACCATGACCTTATGGTATAAACCAGATTGGCAAGCTCCCAGAACTGGAATGATTTAGCAATATTCACACAGCTCTTCTAAAGAGGGGGTCTATAATGAAAGTCCCTGAATTCCTCGTAGCTTATTATTTATATCCTACCTTACCTCATATTAGCATTACTGGGGTGGTACCCCTGCCTTATACTTATTTTCAATAGACATGACATTGTAGAGCATATATGTGAATTCTTACGCCTTATGTTTTTGAGCCCTCATACATCACTTTGATGCATCCGCCTTTAAGCCTCGAGGCCTACTTTTAGCAATTCTCAGAACATCTATTTTTGACTCAAACAGTTAGATAACAGCAAAGCTAAGGCATAGCAAATCCTATCGAAAAACCAATGAGTGTCAGATTATATTGCTTAAAATCAATTTCATAAAATGGTCACTACAGGATGAAGTCAAATGATAATATGTCATTCTTGCATGTACAGTACAGCATGTATTTACATAAAAATATCAACAAATTCTTCCTAATACTTTTTCAATTATGGCGAAAGAAAACACAAAATAAACCATATACAAGGCATTATCATGTCAAAATGTCACCAACTAGTTGCTCACAATATTATGAGTTCAATCTTATGTCAGATTTGAATTTCTGAGAACTTGTAAATGATTTTGAAAAAAAAATTGATCAATTTGAAGCAAGTTGAAAAATGACAATTTCAAAAGTGAAATCTCAAATCTCAAGTCAGATTTGAACTTGTGAGTACATATAGAAGATTTTGAAAAAATTAGTCAAGTCAATTTGAAGCAAGTTGAAAAAGACCTTTTTGACATTTTTTGACCATGTGAAGGTCATAGAAGGTGAAATCTCAAACTTCAAGTCATATTTGACCTTCTAAGATCTTGTAGATGATTTTGAAAAAAAATTGGTCAATTTGAAGCAAGTTGAAAAAAGACCGTTTTGACCTTTTTTACCGTGAGGAGGTCCCTGAAGGTCAAGTCTTAAATTTAAAGTTAGATTTGAACTTCTCACAACTTGAAGATGATTTTGAAAAAAATTGAAGTCAGTCTGAACAGTATTTGTTAGGTTATTGGAAGTTGTAAGAATATGTCACAGAAGCTAATTCCTGATCGCCAACCACAGATCACCAACCGCCGCCACAAAAGAATGGAGACCATAACAATATATCACCACTTTTTGGTGGTGACATAAAAATGCCCCAATTAGCCAAATGTGTCATAAAATTATAAGACATTAAACTTCTAAGTATCTATTCAGACAGAAGGTAGGACAGATGGACACACACCGGCACAGACACAGGCATCGTTAATTGATTGGATACAATAACAAGTGAATACAATAAGACAAATTTATGGCTATACAGAGAATGCAATCAATGACAAAATCACAAATATCTGAAGTGGTAAATAAACATATTCTATTTCATTGGACTTTTGTTGATAAAAATGTTATGATATTAAGTTACTTTTTGTGCATTCTGACTCTTGCTCATGAGTTATTCTTAGTAAGATATTTTTATTAGTTTTTGTTCAAATAATCTAAATTGCACTTCCTTGTTCAACCCTACTGAGATTCTTTAGGTAATCTGGTAAAACATTATCAGGTTATTATGAGCTTACATAGTACATGTCATTGTGCCCAAAAATTGCGTTTAAAAATGCTTACGTCTTGACAGCATATTTCTGCCATCTTTTGCCAAAGCATGAGGATGAATAGTAAGTTGAAATGCAATAATGCAGATGCGAGTAGGTAGTTACCCGATTCACCACCAGGTGGCTCGTTCGGGTCAGATAGCATGGCGGGTATAGTAGAAAGTTCCCTTTAACTTAAATTACATCTATTTGCGTGGTTCAATTTTCATATAACCCTTATGTATCTAATAGTTATGCAAATTAAAATATGTCGAGTAAAAGAAAATGTTATCTGTCTAATACAAGAGAAGATAATTCACTTTTTGTGATTTGGTAACATGGGGTCTATGGGGAATCAACCCGAACAAGAAGTCACATTTTCAAAAAAAATTAAATTTCAAAGCTGATATACAATTTTCGAAACCATGTTTCTAGATGTACTTTTACATACAGATTTCAAATATGACATCACTTTGACCGAATTTTGAATATTAAATGGCGTAAATCAAGATTATTTCTACTCGCATCTAGTCTATTAGTTGATATTTGACAAATAATAGAGAGATTTCGCATCTCACTTATAGCATGTTTATTATTCCCATATAACGTATAACTTATAAGTGTTTGATTACTTCATCATTTATTGCGCAGCTCTATACATCCATAAGTGTGAGATTCTTATGGAGAGAGGATGTCACAATTATGGATGTATAGAGCTGCGTAATTAAATGATGACATAATCAAACGCTTCATAAAAAAGTAGTAGCTCTTAAGAAAAAGTAGGAGCTGGACCAATGATGTAAATTACGAGGACTTTTCATTTGTTTGTTGTTGTTTCACTGTCGACAGACAGATGGATGGACAATACTGATGGATTAACAGGTGGATGGACTGGTGGACGGACTGGTGGACAGACAAGCATTCTCACCAGGATTTTTTCTCAAGTGAATGCAAAATTCTTATTTCCACAATTTAGACCAAAAATATATGACTATTTGTCATGATTTTTCACATTTTCAAGTGACAGCAAATGGATTTTCAGATGGGTGCAAACCTATCATTTTAAAATCTCAGGTGGGTGCAGCACCCACTTGCTTATATGCTAGAGGGATAAATTGAGACAGATGGACAAATTGCCAATTCTAACTGCTGTCTGGTTTTCCAAATCTATCTTTCTGGAGCTTCTTATGAGTAGTTCTGGGAAGTATTAATCACTGAGACTAATTGGATGATATTCCATCTCAAAAAATTCCCATGTTCAATATGCTCACAAGATAATGATTAATAGACTTTCCAATAAATCCTGACCTCTATTTGTGAACCATGGAAACTAAGGTATATTGGCTAGATTTATGATGTCATACTTTACAGGCACTGCTAAGTTCAGTTTCTGATTTTTGGAAAAATCTCACTGCTTTCACCTAACACATTTAGTGCATGTTACTTTTTAAATAAGAGTTGAGGCAAATTTCCTTTTTAAGTGACGAAAATAGGGTAGAAGAATTTGAGTGATGTATTTTATAGCTAAACCCCTTATGACAACCCTAATGCTGGAAATAAATACCATGAAATAACAAAAAATAGTCCTGAGCAATCCACAAATGTTCAAGCAAAATACATCTACATCAATGTCAAACACTTAAAACTGGAAAACACCTCACAGAAATAGAAAAATTAAATTGCTAGATTTCTATTTGCAACAGTGAAGTCCTAGCTGGGAATAACATGTAAATTGGGAATAACAATGTTCAGTGACTTCCTAGATGGAATAATTATGATGATTTCACATAGTAATTCTATCAAAACAAAAAGACTCACAAAAAAAATATGACACACACTTGAAGAGCAGAATGACTGCCTTGAAAATTACCCAAGATGGCCAAAACCTGATAGAGTTAAATGTAGTTTGATTTTCTAAATAACATTTTGACAACAAGAATTCTTGTGTCACATTTTCAAGTTTCATGTTAAAAAAGGAGCATGTCATTTTATAAGCAACCCTCTTTGTATGTTTAATGGTACTTTCACTATTTCACCTCCTATCCTCAGCCCCGCAACAGGAGATTAAACACATAATTGACTAACTACCAGAAGATGACCATAAATTTCAATACCACATCATTTCTTGTTTAACCCTCCACATCCTAGGATTCAACAAAAAGCATCTGTCTAACTCTTACCTTAATACTTGGCATGAGACCGCAACAGCCCTCTATAATCCTCTGTTTATCTTCTTCTTTGGGTGTTGTGTCATACACTCCATTTTCACGGGTCCCACCCAAGACCACACTCTCCACACTGGAAAATAATTAAAACTGACAGTCAGAATTATGATCTGATGGTTCAAAGGGAGGGGAGAGCTAAGACACATACATGAGCTCACAGAAGTCATTGGTGTAAACATTTTGCATGTTTTTTGAAATACTGTACCATAGTGTTCATAGTGGTTATTAAACACATGGGCCAGTGCTTCACATATTTAAAGTGCAATTAAGTGTAAATTGAAAAGGTACTTATAGTTCATACTATTCATAATATTGGAATATATGGCTTAACATATTTTTATTGTTGGATTGGGTATTCAGGAAATTTTTTAGAGCAATTTAAAGTAATGTTTCATGTCAGGGAAATCTAGAAAAGCTATTATTTAGCTACATGTATGATGACAACATGCAAAGAGGCATTAACATGCTAAATGTCACCACCTGCCATTCATTACAGATGACAAACACTTACTGCCAAACACCAACTGCCGAACATCATCCATAAAATAGTGGGAGATCATAAAAATATGCCACGACTTGGTGGTGACATAAAAGAGTCTTAGTAACTTACCCTGGGAGTATATAGAATTCACTCAAGTTCTCTGAACTTATTGCTAATTTCACCCAAGGGGCCTTCACCTAAAAAAAAAAAAAATGTAAATTCAGTATTTTGCTATATTGATGACAATTGATGACCTCCCCCGAGCAGACAAAGATGACTACAATTTCGTGCAAATTTTAAGTTTGTTTAAAAAACATTATCAGTTAGAAAACACGATTGAGAAAATAATCAGTCAAAACATGCAGAACTTTAATAGACATGACATGATGCAGCATGGCAAAACATACAGGTACATACACATATCATTATCAAGAAAAAACATATGTCATGTAATATGTCTTACTCTTATAACATGACCCCTAACAGGTGAGACTAGAGGATCACTGACTAACTCCCTTGCACCCAACCCTGCACTATTCACGACAACACTGTACTCCCCTTGCAACTGGAATAACAAAACAATTTATGTGAAGACATGGAGTGGAGATGACAATGCTGTATGCTCCAGGGGTATGCTTCCCTTGGAATCCACAAGACTGCAAAGAGTGCAGCTATAAAAGTAGAAATTTCCAAAATATGCTTTAATAACATCAACATCATAAACAAAGTTAACAAGGCATTTACATGCAAAATGTCACCACTTCTCATTTGTTACAGAAGTCGAACGTAGAACATCAACAGCTGAACACATACTGCCGAACACAAACCACCGCAACAAAATTGTTGGAGACCATAACAATATGTCGCCACTTCTGGTGGTGATATAAACATAATACTAGAAGATATATAAATCTAGTAAAAAATCAACATCCAAAGAAGAAAGTTAATTTAATTAATAACTTATATTACTGTATTGTTACAAAGTAAAATAGAATGAGGTCCAAGGAGCCATAATTCTAAAAAAGTTAATATCAATAAAAAGTTATTTAATATCGAAACAAACCTCATGTAAACTATGCAACTTCTGTTGGATGCAATTTCCACCTTGTGACTTAAATCTGCAATAAATTAATAATTGAATAAACAAGGGAGAGTTGCATTGGACAAAAAGTCCTGAACTGATGTCTCATACAAATGCACATGTACCATAACTATGTTATCAATATAAAGGATGGCCTTTCAAGAATCATCTCTCTATTTTTAGTGGCAACAAGTAAATGAACATGTACAGTCATATGCATATGTTAATGAAACACTGGTTACTTCATAGTTGCTATGGTAACAGTACCTTGAAGTATCCAGTAGCAACCTAGTGATGTTTAATTTTCAGCTTAACAATAGTGTCAATTCTTTTTAACTTAATGTTGACGTAAACTTACTTTTCTAACAGCCACTGTGTGTATATTGTGCAGTCAGCAGCAAATGAGGTGAAAAACCAGCCATAACTGAAGAGAAAAATGACAGACATGTACATGGAGTTTTTTTGTGACAATATATCTGAAAAGGGCATGACTGATGAGGTTTTTGCATACTAGTTTTAACTTATGTTACCGTTATGTTAAAGTATGCTATTTTGCTGGTTATCAAATCATGTGTGTTTAATACGTTTATTTGTGCTTTTCAGAGCATACTTAATGTAGGCTCTGGTACTCAGGGTAAGTGAAAGTATGCATTCAGTCCTCAGTTGATTTAGCCCTCTTGAGGTCAGTGTATGCCTCTGTAAGGTGAACGGCTCTACAAGTTGAAGTCCTTTTTCTCATTCACTTAATGTAAAATGAACCTCTATAAGGGGAGGCATGAACAGTTTGATGTCAGACCAAAAAACTAAATAAATATGTTTAGGGGGGAGGGGGTTCAAAGCCATTTCATTTTGTTATCTGACAAATTTCAACATTTCAATTTTATGCAATTTTGATTCGGAATGCCTTGGAATGGTTTAAAAATAAAGATTTTACCTGATGCTTTCTTCGTCAAGGTCATTCCAATGGATTCTATTCTATCAATAGTTGTTAAAAGCTGCAAGTTACGCTAGGAACTAAATCGTTTTAGATTCGCAAAAGCAAAAGTAAAGGGTTCTCATTTTCTATCGCCCGGTAATTGATTATTTCATTGTATCAATGGTATTGATCTAACTTGAACACATTTTATCATATGTTTATGATAATTCTTCACATAATATTTAAATGATATATACAATGAGAGTCTATGTGTAAAAACTATTATAAAGTAACAGGCCTATTGCGTTTTTTGTTTTTGTTCTGTGCAGTCAGCGATCAACTTTCATGGTACTGTATTTAGTTTTTTGGGGGAGGAGCGGGGTCAAAGTCAAAACTAGATTTATCTAGTTTCTGATCCAACATTGAACTTTTGATGCCTCCCCTAAGTGGACCACTTTTTTAAATTCTGTTTCTCATTTACTTAAAGTAAAATGAACCTCTGTGTGTGGAATAGTCCTAAGTGTAACACTATTTTGAGCTACCACAGGTATTCCACTTTCACCAGGTTACTGTACATAAACCCTATATAAGGTCCTTATATCAACATCCCCCAGAGATGTATCAACTGAGGACAATGGCAGTATCTTCCATGACTAAACTACCAACTACTGTTAAGTCACACTGATTAAGATTTCTGATTCAACATGAAAACATTAGATACAAGAGTTAGTCTATACTGATGACTTACTTATATTTTGGCCATTTTTCTAATTCCCTTGGTGTCATATGCCTGAATCCAAACACAGTATCCTTCCAATCTGGATCCTGGATAAAAACACAACACACATGCAGTGCAAAAAAATTGATCCAAGTCTTGTTTCATAAAAATTGGGCAATTAACCCCTGCACGTGATTATTGGGAATCTACCAATAGAGTTGAGTATTTGGCAATGTACTTAAATACAGTTGAAATTGATGAGTGACATCCCTATAACATATTTTGAGAATTTGGCAAACTGGTGTTTATTGGGCGATGTGGCCAGTGACCATGCAGTTGAAAATTGGACAATATACCCCATACTACAAAATGAAACTTGCCTGACACATAAAAAAATACATTGTCCCAGTTAGGAAATACTGAAACATTTCGATATTCTTTGCAAAGATAGTATACTCACTGCAGCAGGTTCATTGAAGAGCGCATAACTGGATAACATTTGGATGCCTGTCTGGTTTGCATTGCTAGACATAAACACTTCGAACATGTGCTGGAATGTGTCAGAGCCCCATTTTCTGAAAAATTAACTCAAAATGTGAAAAAAACAACATTTTAAGGTCATCATTATGACTTTGTCTTAAATAGCTATTTGTACAATATTTCAAGGCAAACCAAAATATGTTTCATTTCTGAAGACAAAACTTAAGTCGGTATCTTCCTTTTTGGAGAACTGGGGACCAACATTGATTTAGCCATTATTGGTCACTCCAGTAACCAATATAACTCTCTCAAAAGAGAATTCACTTCAACTACAGTGCCAAAACCTACTTTAAAATATTTAAGAAAGGAATATCATACAGTGCTTGACATCTTTGGAACAAGTTTGACAAGACGTTTAAATAGTCTGATTCTTATGTCATGTTAGAAAGTGAACATTTATGTAAATGTATTCATAAATAAGGTGTTCTTTATATTTATGTAAATTATCTTTAATTAGTTGTTCTCTATATCCATTCATGTAATCAAATCAAATCAACATAAAATACAAATGAAAGCATAAACATTAAAAATAAAACTTAACTTTCATTTAAGTTTAAACCACTTTGGCTTATACATTATACTATAGTCCTACCTAATGTTATCAAAATGTGCAATGTGAACTTTTTGTTCAAAAATTAGTGAATCTATTTCAAATAAAATTTTAGTTATCACGCACATACATTGTTAAGCAATAATTTGCGCCAGCACATAGCATTCATCCTAACCTGTTTTGTGTTGAAAAAATTGGTAAAAAATATAAGCAAGAAATTAAAAAATTATGATCATTGCCTCATCAGAGATTATACAAGGCTTATACTTGTAACTACATGTCTCTGGCCTGATTCATTGGAGTAGAGAAAAATCATATTTGAATGGGTAAAGTTATATTTTCAAATTTTGCATGTAGTTTAGGTTTTCCAGTAGATTTCTATATTTACCTTTGGAGGAAAACAGGAGTGTCCTTCAGTAAATAAGGCTGCCAGAAACCTGCAGGGTGGTCACTGAGTGTATAAGGGGAGAACTTATCAGCAATGACTGTCACTAGTGCCCCGGGTACATGTTTCTGTATATTTAGGGCTGTAGACAAGCCAGATATACCAGCACCAACAACAGCTATTTTCTCAACCATATCTGAAGATACATAACAAATGATCTTAATGCCTTGGTTTTAAACAATATTTATATATGCAGGAAACAACACAAGAATCCATATATTAAATGATTATATCTCCTAATTCCTACATTTGAAGGCCATATCAAATAGCATGAAATTTTATTAACTATTGATTATATGCTGACATCAGAAAAAAGGGAGTTCCCCTTTTTTGTCTGCTCAGTGCTGGAATTTACATGTACATGTACTTCCTTGTTATCTGATCAAGGAGGATTAGCTCCCAGAATCGCAACTCAATATTTTCCAATAATGAAAACGTCAGAATGTATCAATATTATGATCTTTTCTTGTACATGTAAGTTATTGAAATTTTCATTTGGAAATAAGACCAAAATTCACAATCCAAATGTTGAAGTGAACAAATTGGCGGCTGTTTGAATTCGAATTTTGAAAGCACGAAATCTCCATATATGGCAAGAATATTGATTTTGCATTCTGGGAGCCAATCCTCCTTGCTATCTGATATAAGGCCTGCAACTATACAGCTAGTTCACTTTTGTTTTGGCCACACTTGTCATGCCATCTTTCTATGTTATTTTCGCATATTTCAGCTTTGTGTAAATCCACTTTTTACTTTCTAAAACTACAGTAAAATTTGGAAGTACTTTGAATCTAAAAAATAAGCAATCAAAGGACCATATTGAAACACAATATGTAAAAAATAAAACATAGCCTAACTTTTGTATATTTTAGTTTGTTTTGTAGTTTGGCTATCACATGTATGGATACTTCTATTTTGTCATGTTATTTTTGAAAAAATTAACGCAGATTAAACTCCCTTAACTACAAAAGGCCATAGCTTTGCTACACATTAAGCATATCAACTATCTTAAATATACAAAAGTTAGGCCTTGTACATATGTTTCTATTTTTTTATATACTGTTACAATATAGTCATTTGATTGCTTATTTTTTAAATTCAAAGTACTTCCAAACATTTAAAATTTTACTGTAATGATTTTTCAGTTTTGATGCTGTTTAGTTAAGATCTTCGTGATCTCAAATGCAAATTTCATTAAAATTGCAGAAGAGTTTAGATCAGAAACAAAAACCCAAGGGTTTTGTTTTCAGACCACTCTGCTTCCAAGTACCCCCATAGTAGGGTTGATTTTTCAAATCATCCCCACAACTACTTGTATTTTGAGATCTTGCGGTGGAAAATAAGCTGGATAAGTGGTTATCTAGATATAATTCAGCTTTGTGCCAACTACTTACAACAACTTACTGTTGTACGGTACAACAACATACTGTTGTACGGATTCCCCAGTTACAGTGTACTTCCTACCCTCTGTGTAGCTCTTGGAATACAAAGAGTGTTATCAGGACATCTCTACCTGCGGCCCAGGAATATGTTAAAAATGTTATAAAAAGTCCCTATTCTGAGCTCTCTTTTATACTAGAGATTACTTACATGTATAAGAATAAGACTGTTTTTTTTATTAATGACAGTATACCCGAGCCTCAGATCTCTACTATACATGTATGCTCCAATACCTGTGGACTCATAGGTCATTTTCTTCATTCTTGCTAAAATCATGGACTTCTATGCTTAGTGCTATAGTGTATAAGACAGGTATAAAATGTCTCTTGAAAGCCCATGATCATGATAACTAGATTATAAGCGGGATATAAGGGTGTTTTGTTGAGATGACGGACATATACAGTTTGGAACAAAACAAGTGACAGGTGGATTTTCTATCACCATATCCAAACCATGGTGTTTTGAAAGCCCTATAGTCTCAAATATTGTCTAGATACATTTCCCTTAAAATTTGTATATTTTACATTTTGTTTACTGTCATCCACTGATGTATGATCTCTTGAAAAATTTTAACATGGGAAATCCTCACTTTAGCAAATCCATGTGTCATTATTTTTGTTCCAAACTGTAAACACTGAGTTACAATGCTGGTATATATTAATTGATCAGTCGTTTAATTGGCATATTTTCTTGAATTTTAACATTTACGGAGTGGCTCCAGGACCGACAATTGTCGGTACTGGAGACTGTCCAGGGGTATTTGCTGGGGAACCGACAATTGTCGGCACTCTATCGTCAACTAGTAGTGCCAGATAGAGAACCGGTACGCAAGTGGCTGCTACGTGTTTTTGCTAGAGAGCCGACAATTTCATAAATAAATCCACTACTTTTACTTTTAGAAATAACCTCATCACTGGTAGCCTAGTGGTTAGCACACTTGGTCCCGAGTTCGAATCCCGGCAAGACCTACTTTTTTTCTTTTGAGGGGGGGGGGGGTATAGTGCTTCTTTTGCAGTATGGAATCGTACAGGCATTAACTTGTAGTGAGCCATAATTTATTTCGACAAAAATTGATTCAACTTCCATCAAAATTGTCCTACAAGCTTCAATTAAAAAACATTTTAAAGCTCTTTTCTTGTTCTATCTAATGGGTCGATATATACAGTTAGGGGAGGGGATGCTTTCGACCCCGTCGCTCTCTACCCTTACTACGCCATGGCACAGGAGAAATATCTCATTTGGAATATATCAATGTTTACTTTGCGTTTGGTAGCTCTCTCATGCGAGATGGAATCGTGGCCATTAACTAAGGGAGCCAAATGCAACTTCCATCAAAAATTGTGCTATAAGGTATGAGTACCGTAATCCAACACCAAATTCGAAAATTCATAACAATACTTTGCACATATGGCGTTCGTGACCAACTATGAAACGCTTACCCCCCTGGTGTTATATATCAAAATGCACCTGTCCATATAGGGGTTCGATTGACCTACATCAAATTATAGGGAGTCAGGTTACTTTTTGAGATATCAGCGTCCGTTTATTGTAACTCGCGTTTGCTACCACTTCCTCAATTCTGATATGACGGGCAAACGCGTAGTAAACATGCTCACGTTCGGAACTATTTTGACCTACATCGCTATTTTCGTAATTCAAATGAAAGTTGAACTCCTCTTTATTTTGATACCAAATAGTGGCATACTAGGTACCCTAGAAGCCAACTATGGGTTATTTAGAACGATACCACAGGTTTTTAAATGGACTATATAGGGGTCATACCTTTTGGCGGATGGATATGGAACCTCATACCATAAGCTTCAAATAAAAAACATTCTAGCTATTTTCTTCTATCTAATGGGTAGCAAACGCCCCTTTCTACGCCTGATCGGCTCAGGAGAAATACCATGTCTGTTTCGAATATATATAGCCATTTACTCTGCATTAATAGCTCTCTAACGTCTTACTTGTTCATGTTTTTTATTGGGTTTTCAACGTTTACTACCATTCCCTGTTCCCGGGCTACCATTTTTTGACTGGGTTTGGTAATCCCCGGGTAACCGGGGCTAATGCCCTCCCCGGGTTTTGCACTTGTTCCCAAAATATCCGTATGATATCTGAAATATCCCCCGCGCATTGCGCATGCGCCAGAAAATTCGAAAATCAATATTTGTCGGTCCTCTAGCGTGTAAACACAGCATATCTCCCGTACCGACAATTTATTTGTCGGTCCTCTAGCGTGCCACCACATCAGAGTCTAGAGTACCGACAATTGTCGGTACTCTAGCCTTTATGTAACATTTAATGTTCCAAACTCCCACAAACTGCAGAAAAGTATACCCCATAAATCATATTTACCAAAATGAGTGTCTCCAAGGCTTCACACCAGCGTATGCATAATGCATTTGTCACGAGTTTGAGCTGAAATTTCGCCAAAATGGAGTAGGCTAAGGGTAGTCTCTGCCAGGTTTGTTTATTGTGGTAAGCTTGTAAGTGCTCAGAAGCAAATAATTCATGTGCGCAAAATAATCAAATAATCTGATTGGTCTAAACTTTGCTGCACATGCGCACAATGTGTGCCATGTTTTTTCTAGTGATTTCGTTTCGTTTCATGGAGTTTGCGTTTCAGTGTAACTTCCGCAAAAATGGCGGACCATGGACAGAATTAACAGGTAAAATCACTCCGAAATTTCAAGAGAACTTTTTACTTTTTAAATAAAACTTTTGTTTTATTTGTGCATTCTATCTATCAGATAAGAGTCTCAGGGGTATGTAGTCCAACAACATTAGACCTAGCCTGGGCCTCGTTTCTTATCTGACATGTCTTATGGCCCCGGCTAGGTCTAACTTCCATGATGATTTTGCCCTTGATGCGATCATTTAATCGTTCAGCAGGTTTCGACATGCGGAACTAATTAAACCGTAATAATATGGTATCGTTACAGAAATAATGTGATCAACGCATGCATACATACCTTATGAATAAATACAAATCATCACATACCCCCCTGTAACCTCATCGATGTATAATTATGAAAATGTTGGGAGAAGGCTTTTTCTTAGTTTAGAAAACTCTGTTCTGGTTCCGGTAACATCGAAATGGCAAATCCTTTTAGGAATAAACCGCCGTTAGCAACACTGAACGAAACAAGTTCATAAAAGGAAACGAACCCCGGTTATCCTATATATAAGTACAAAATATTGTAATACTGTAGGAGGCTTGCGATAAACATGATTAAGTTTCCTACTTTTTTTCCTGTTTTATTTTCAGAATTATGGTAAATTTCTGGCTAAAATGCTAAAGCTTTCAACATCTTTGGACAGACGCAAGCATGTGATACTGAATAATTAGATATTTTTCTTAACAATAACATGTTTAAATATATATTGTGCCAAAGTTTTCTCTCCCAGAAAGTCAGTGATTTCCCATTGTAATAACTCAGATGCGAGTAGGTAGTTACCAGTTTCACCACCAGGTGGCTCATTCAGGTCACATAGCATGACATAGTTATGCAAATTAAAATAATGTAAAAGAAAATATTATCTGTCCAATACAAGAAAACATATTTCACTTTTTGTGACTTTATATGTTGAATCTCCCCGTAGTAGCATTTACATTTTCCAAAACAAATTTTTTTCAAAATTGATCAACAATATTTGAAGCAATATTTCTTGATGTAGTTTTACATGTACATTTCAAATACTAGATAGTATGACATCATTTTGACTGAATGTTTAATGACGATCAAGTAAGGTTTTTTAACATTAGAGTAATGAGATCGAAAAAAGCTGAAAAGTGTTGATTTGAAAAAATCAGATTTGGAGATATCGAGATAAATCAGGTGTGAAGTATAGGTTAAAAGTACATTTACTTGCTCCAATATCGTGATAAAACACATGTGTTTAACTTTTCTCTCATTGAGTAAATTTATAAATGAAATATCATTGTAGAAAAATATGTTTTATAAAATAGCATAAACAAAACTTCTGTTTAATTTTATTAAGAACATCATACATTTAAGAGCTAGGAATAAAACAACCATGCTTATACATCAGTGTTCTCCCCAAAAAAAAATTTCAACTGGGTGCAAGATTTCAAGTCTAAAAAAATCAGCACTCGCTACGCTCACAATATCTCAGTGTAGGTGCTTACTTCACTCATTCTTTAAATCAGAAGTTGAAGTGCAGATGCCAACTGGGTGCCAACTGGGGGGCCTTTGGTTTCAAGTAGGGGGAGCCCCCGGTAAAAGTGACATGGGGAGATCACTGTACATGTAATCTTATCACAATACATCACCACATTGAAGTTATTAAAATGTAACAATTGTTACAAAGCATGTATGCTGAGTAAAATACATGATCCCAGTTATAAACAATTGAGTGTATTCCTAGGTACGTTTTTGCAAGCAGAAAACCATGAACAATTACCATAATTTAATATTTAGGCACAATTATTCAACACAATCACAATCTAGCACAATCAATGACATCTATATTTCTTTGAGCTGAAATTACCAGTAATCAAATGCATCAATAATGTTGCGAGTATTGCTTTTTAAAGTTTTTATAAATAACAATAGAGTAAACTTGGGTGAATACACGCGCTGTTTGAATAAAGCAAAGATTCGTGTCATACTGGATGGTTATAATAAATATCAATATTGAAGAACAATTTCGTTTCGCTGACCAAGTTTACTTTGGCGACGCACAGACAGACATTGCCGGTTGAAATATTCGTCTCATAAATTGGTAAGAATAAGACTCATTTTACGATTAAAAATGAACATTTAACACAATAATATTATGTGAAATTGCCTGATGAAATGTGGTTTTATATTATTGTTAAGTATCAGTGTCATATTAGCGAGGAAAAGTGGTTTCGATAGATCCACAACTTGCATCAAAGGAAAGAATAGCATGGAGGTTAAACTCAATAATGGCCCCAAGAAAATTCCTAATAATAAAGAACGCCGTTATTGAGTTTAACGACGTTGAACTAAGGGGTATGTAGGCAAATTCATTTTGATAGGAGCACTCTGTTCAGTTTGAAAACGCACCCTTAATTATTATATATCAGCATTGTAGAGATTTACCATATTCTATGGCCACTGAGTGTGGAATTGGCTAGAGACTCGAGTAAGTAGAGATCTACTTTCCCATATTCTATGGAATTGGCAAGAGACTCGAGTAAGATCTACTAAAGAAAATGTGATGTCATATGTACCTGAGACCGAGATGATGTCAATCAATGATTATAGTTTAGTGAGAAATTTTATTGAGTCAAAAGTCAAATAATTTTTTGAGTTTTGACTTTGCCAGTTTTAGATCTTCGAGTTAGAATTACTAAGTTTATTCTGAACTTACTTGCGGTTCCCTTTACTTGGATGTCATTCGAATTACAATCTACATTCGCATTGTTTCACTTCGATAATTCATTGGGTAGATCTATTTGAACTACGTGCGAAATAATCGTCGACCTCTTGAAAAACTGAAAAACCAGTCTCCGAGCCTTTCGTCCAGTGCCATCCGTACCTCTGTGAAGGTACGCAACGAACGAAATGAATTTTGAGAATGCTGAAAAACACACCTTTCAACTTTCTGTTTCGCATATCCGGTTTGGATATGTAAACGAAACAACTAGAATTTTTACTAATTAAGTAAATAAGAAATTTTTTGACGGAGTAAAAACGAATTTTATTGTAAACTTGGGTTTTGTTTTAAATTTCTATATGATTATATTGCGTTTGAATGGTTTTGCTTTAAGATTTCGTTTCATAAAAAATGTGTTTGTGAAATCCAACATGGCTGCCCCCATCAACATGTTTTTGAAATCAAAATAAACTTAGTATTTCTGATAATATGGCGTGTATGAAACTTCAAAAGCTACAAGGTTACTTAGAAGATGTTGATATATTTGAGAATCCCAAAATATTACTAGAGCAATACCACACATCACCGGAAATTGCAGGTATAGCTGAATCTATGATGTGAAAATAATGTTTGATTTTATTATGGATTTTATTTGTTTGTTTATTATATAGATTACATGTTTAGCATACTGATACATGTTTTATTTCATGCTTGTCTACTAAGGTAGATCTCGTCTTTATATTAAGTGTAGTCTATCATAACTAGGCCTTAAAAGACTCTGAATTTGTCGTTATTGGATTTGAGATTTGGAATCAAATTGAGAGGCGATCAATTTGATTTGAAATCTGAAATCAAATAACGACAATTTGAGAGTACTTTATAGGGCTAATTATCCCAACGAACAAAGTTTGGTAGGGATATAGTGAAGCCTCCCTCCGTCTGTTAGTCCGGAAGATAACTCAATTACTGGTGAACAGATTTGCTTCTTATTTAGTGGAAAGGTAATGGCCGCTGAATATGGGATTTTGCAATAATTTGCAGTAATTAATTCAATTATTTCCCACTTCAATAAACTAGACGTGAGTTGAAATAATCTTGATTTATGTCATTGAAAATTCAGTCAAAGTGATATCATATTTGAAATCAATGTACATGTAAAATTATGCCTTGAAATGTTGTTTTGAAAAACTTCTAGGTTGGGGAGATTCCCCATAGACACAATGTAATGAAATCACAAAAAGTGAAATATCTATTCTTATATTTAACAGATAATATTTTCTTTTACTGGACATAATTTTATTTGTGTGACTATCAGATATTGGATTTGAGATTTGGAATCAAATCGAGAGGTGGTCAATTTGATTTGAAATCTGAAATCAAATAAAGACAAATTGAGAGTCCGTTATAGGGCTAATTATCCCAACGAATGAAGTTCGGTAGGGATATAGTGAAGCCCTCCGTCCGTCTGGAAGATAACTCGATTACTGGTGAACTGATTTGCCTCATATTTGGTGGAAAGGTTAATGGGCGCTTAATGTGGGATTTCGCAATAATTTTCTGATCTCTTCAAAGTATGGCTACATTGTACTCAAATTGAAGGGAATTTAGAGTAGATCACAATGATGGTGTTGTTTTTCTGATTCATGCTTCAGAAAAATCAAAATAGCTGCCTGTAGAGCAAGAATTAGCTATTATGTAGAGAGCTCTTCAAAGTATGGTTATTCGTTACATTATGCTATATTAGATCTCAATTTGTATTGACTTTGTGATTTGTACCTTTGAAACTCTTAAATGGTCACCCTAATGCTTAATTTGGAAATTCTGATATACAATTTATCTCTAATGTTTGTCTTTTAATACATGTATATGCCAATTTAACCAAGGGTAGAGTAGATGGTGATTATTACATCGTGACATAAACAGATTCATGAATATAGGGTTTGTTGGGATTTGCTACTCTGTGGAGTTGTCAATTTCTAGTTATAACATTTCGTGATGGTAAACCTTACCTCTTTCAAAGGCTGATCAATTTTTTTTAAAGTCAATACTACAATGTGTTTACAACGATACCTAACAAAAACAAATAATTATGATCTCTCACCTTTATTTGAATCGTAAATAAGGCTCAACATGTTGAATATTTACAAATAATAATGATTCTCTCGAATTTTTCGACTTTGTTTATTTTTAGATTTGAAACCATGACACGACACAGTTTTTCCTATTCAGAAACAAATATTGGTTATTCATGAAATAAAATGTATTCATTGTCGAATGAACGAACATGCATTTATTCAGTCCGTACTTAACGTTAACTTCCGTTTTAAATTCGCGGCAAAAAAAGTTATACCTCAAAACAGGCTAGAAATAGGGGACACACTTTTTTTTCAAAGGACACACTTTTTAAAAAATATTGCGTCCTTGGGACTCACAAATTTTCTAACCTAATGCAAGCGCTGATAACAGATATTACCTTGTATCCCATTTATTGCCTAAACACACTTGACAAACATTTTACAAAACACGAAATGCAATGGAGTCTCAGGTAATGAAAAATTTTACAAATCCCGGGAATTTAATTGACAATTCCGCGAAGATTTATTTTCGCGATTTTACCACTTTCGCGAAAAGCTTGAAACTACATCACACGCGAAAAATACCAGGAGGACAGTATTCTGCTCAAGAAATTCTGTATTGGAAGTTGGAACGAGACGAAGTTGAGTGCCAATACACAATATCGAGAGCAGAATATATCCTGTATTGCACTTCAAATCATTCTATAACGTTTTTTTATCGTGTGATCCTCTGTATTGCTACTGAGAATGTCCCCTCCGTACCAATATTTTCTGTATTGCAACGCAGATGATCAATGGGGACAATTTCAGTAGCAATACAGATTGATACAGCACAAGAACTGACCAATCAGAAGGCTTCATTTTACAGATCATACGATAAATGCATATACAAACTTCTCTTTAGGAGAGGTTTCTACCTTGCTGCCATCTTTATTATATTGGCCCAAAATTGTGGCATTCCATATCGATAATTAATTTCAATTGTGTGAAATATTTATTTTTCAGCTCAGATGATATATCTCATAGCATTTAATGATGACAACATACAAGACAAGTGTATTGCTGACTTGGGCTGTGGATGTGGCATGTTGGGAATAGCTGCTTGTATGATGGAATGTGGGTCAGTACTTTACCACTTCAATTGGTTTAACTATGATTTTTTTTATCAAATCATCATGTTTTTCTCCGATGGATGTTCTTAACTATGTTTATGATGTTAATCACTAGTAATTATCTCCAATTCATTTTTATGTCACCACCGTGGTGACATATTGTTATGGTCTCCGTTTTTTTTTTATGTCACCACCGTGGTGACATATTGTTATGGTCTCCGTTTTTTTTCGACGGCGTCCGGCGGTTGGTGGTTGGCGTCCGGCGGTTGGCGTCCGGCGTCTGTAACAATTTCTTACAACTTCCTATAACTTAACAAATACTGTTAAGACTGACTTCAATTTTTTTCTAAATCATCTACATGTTCTCAGAAGTTCAAATCTGACTTTAGATTTGACATTTGACCTTCAATGACCTTCTCAAGATCAAAAAGGTCTTTTTTCAACTTGCTTCACATTGACTAAATTTTTTTTCAAAATCATCTACATGTTCTCAGAAATTCAAATCTGACTTTAGATTTGACATTTGACCTTCAAATCTGACTTTAGATTTGACATTTGACCTTCAATGACCTTCTCAAGGTCAAAAAAGGTAAAAAAGGTCTGTTTTCAACTTGCTTCGAATTGACTAAATTTTTTTTTCAAAATCATCTACGTGTTCTCAGAAATTCAAATCTGACTTAAGATTTGACTTAAGATTTGACATTTGACCTTCAATGACCTTGTCAAGGTCAAAAAAGGTCAAAAAGGTCTGTTTTCAACTTGCTTCAAATTGACTAAAAAAAAAATTTTCAAAATCATCTATGTGTTCTCAGAAATTCAAATCTGACTTTAGATTTGACTTAAGATTTGACATTTGACCTTCAATGACCTTCTCAAAGTCAAAAAAGGTCAAAAAGGTCTTTTTTCAACTTGCTTCAATTTGACTAAATTTTTTTTTCAAAATCATCTACATGTTCTCAGAAATTCAAATTTGACTTTAGATTTGACATTTGACCTTCAGTGACCTTCTCAAGGTCAAAAAAGGTCAAAAAGGTCTGTTTTCAACTTGCTTCAAATTGACTAAATTTTTTTTTCAAAATCATCTACGTGTTCTCAGAAATTCAAATCTGACTTAAGATTTGACATTTGACCTTCAATGACCTTCTCAAGGTCAAAAAAGGTCAAAAAGGTCTGTTTTCAACTTGCTTCAAATTGACTAAAAAAAATTTTCAAAATCATCTACGTGTTCTCAGAAATTCAAATCTGACTTTAGATTTGACTTAAGATTTGACATTTGACCTTCAATGACCTTCTCAAAGTCAAAAAAGGTCAAAAAGGTCTTTTTTCAACTTGCTTCAAATTGACTAATTTTTTTTTTCAAAATCATCTACATGTTCTCAGAAATTCAAATCTGACTTTAGATTTGACATTTGACCTTCAATGACCTTCTCAATGTCAAAAAAGGTCAAAAAGGTATTTTTTCATCTTGCTTCAAATTTACTAAATTTTTTTTCAAAATCATCTACATGTTCTCAGAAATTCAAATATGACTTTAGATTTGACATTTGACCTTCAATGACCTTCTCAAGGTCAAAAAAGGTCAAAAAGGTCTTTTTTCAACTTGCTTCAAATTGACTAATTTTTTTTTTCAAAATCATCAACATGTTCTCAGAAATTCAAATCTGACTTTAGATTTGACATTTGACCTTTAATGACCTTCTCAAGGTCAAAAAAGGTCTGTTTTCAACTTGCTTCAAATTGACTAAAAAAAATTTCAAAATCATCTACGTGTTCTCAGAAATTCAAATCTGACTTTAGATTTGACTTAAGATTTGACATTTGACCTTCAATGACCTTCTCAAAGTCAAAAAAGGTCATAAAGGTCTTTTTTAAACTTGCTTCAAATTGACTAAATTTTTTTTTCAAAATCATCTACATGTTCTCAGAAATTCAAATCTGACTTTAGATTTGACATTTGACCTTCAATGACCTTCTCAATGTCAAAAAAGGTCAAAAGGGTATTTTTTCATCTTGCTTCAAATTGACTAAATTTTTTTTCAAAATCATCTACATGTTCTCAGAAATTCAAATATGACTTTAGATTTGACTTTAGATTTGACATTTGACCTTCAATGACCTTCTCAAGGTCTAAAAAGGTCAAAAAGGTCTTTTTTCAACTTGCTTCAAATTGACTAATTTTTTTTTCAAAATCATCTACATGTTCTCAGAAATTCAAATCTGACTTTAGATTTGACATTTGACCTTTAATGACCTACTCAAGGTCAAAAAAGGTCAAAAAGGTCTGTTTTCAACTTGCTTCAAATTGACTAAAAAAAAATTTCAAAATCATCTACGTGTTCTCAGAAATTCAAATCTGACTTTAGATTTGACTTAAGATTTGACATTTGACCTTCAATGACCTTCTCAAGGTCAAAAAAGGTAAAAAAGGTCTGTTTTCAACTTGCTTCGAATTGACTAAATTTTTTTTTCAAAATCATCTACGTGTTCTCAGAAATTCAAATCTGACTTAAGATTTGACTTAAGATTTGACATTTGACCTTCAATGACCTTGTCAAGGTCAAAAAAGGTCAAAAAGGTCTGTTTTCAACTTGCTTCAAATTGACTAAAAAAAAAATTTTCAAAATCATCTATGTGTTCTCAGAAATTCAAATCTGACTTTAGATTTGACTTAAGATTTGACATTTGACCTTCAATGACCTTCTCAAAGTCAAAAAAGGTCAAAAAGGTCTTTTTTCAACTTGCTTCAATTTGACTAAATTTTTTTTTCAAAATCATCTACATGTTCTCAGAAATTCAAATTTGACTTTAGATTTGACATTTGACCTTCAGTGACCTTCTCAAGGTCAAAAAAGGTCAAAAAGGTCTGTTTTCAACTTGCTTCAAATTGACTAAATTTTTTTTTCAAAATCATCTACGTGTTCTCAGAAATTCAAATCTGACTTAAGATTTGACATTTGACCTTCAATGACCTTCTCAAGGTCAAAAAAGGTCAAAAAGGTCTGTTTTCAACTTGCTTCAAATTGACTAAAAAAAATTTTCAAAATCATCTACGTGTTCTCAGAAATTCAAATCTGACTTTAGATTTGACTTAAGATTTGACATTTGACCTTCAATGACCTTCTCAAAGTCAAAAAAGGTCAAAAAGGTCTTTTTTCAACTTGCTTCAAATTGACTAATTTTTTTTTTCAAAATCATCTACATGTTCTCAGAAATTCAAATCTGACTTTAGATTTGACATTTGACCTTCAATGACCTTCTCAATGTCAAAAAAGGTCAAAAAGGTATTTTTTCATCTTGCTTCAAATTTACTAAATTTTTTTTCAAAATCATCTACATGTTCTCAGAAATTCAAATATGACTTTAGATTTGACATTTGACCTTCAATGACCTTCTCAAGGTCAAAAAAGGTCAAAAAGGTCTTTTTTCAACTTGCTTCAAATTGACTAATTTTTTTTTTCAAAATCATCAACATGTTCTCAGAAATTCAAATCTGACTTTAGATTTGACATTTGACCTTTAATGACCTTCTCAAGGTCAAAAAAGGTCAAAAAGGTCTGTTTTCAACTTGCTTCAAATTGACTAAAAAAAATTTCAAAATCATCTACGTGTTCTCAGAAATTCAAATCTGACTTTAGATTTGACTTAAGATTTGACATTTGACCTTCAATGACCTTCTCAAAGTCAAAAAAGGTCATAAAGGTCTTTTTTAAACTTGCTTCAAATTGACTAAATTTTTTTTTCAAAATCATCTACATGTTCTCAGAAATTCAAATCTGACTTTAGATTTGACATTTGACCTTCAATGACCTTCTCAATGTCAAAAAAGGTCAAAAGGGTATTTTTCATCTTGCTTCAAATTGACTAAATTTTTTTTCAAAATCATCTACATGTTCTCAGAAATTCAAATATGACTTTAGATTTGACTTTAGATTTGACATTTGACCTTCAATGACCTTCTCAAGGTCTAAAAAGGTCAAAAAGGTCTTTTTTCAACTTGCTTCAAATTGACTAATTTTTTTTTCAAAATCATCTACATGTTCTCAGAAATTCAAATCTGACTTTAGATTTGACATTTGACCTTTAATGACCTACTCAAGGTCAAAAAAGGTCAAAAAGGTCTGTTTTCAACTTGCTTCAAATTGACTAAAAAAAAATTTCAAAATCATCTACGTGTTCTCAGAAATTCAAATCTGACTTTAGATTTGACTTAAGATTTGACATTTGACCTTCAATGACCTTCTCAAAGTCAAAAAAGGTCAAAAAGGTCTTTTTTCAACTTGCTTCAAATTGACTAATTTTTTTTTTCAAAATCATCTACATGTTCTCAGAAATTCAAATCTGACTTTAGATTTGACATTTGACCTTCAATGACCTTCTCAATGTCAAAAAAGGTCAAAAAGGTATTTTTTCATCTTGCTTCAAATTTACTAATTTTTTTTTCAAAATCATCTACATGTTCTCAGAAATTCAAATATGACTTTAGATTTGACATTTGACCTTCAATGACCTTCTCAAGGTCAAAAAAGGTCAAAAAGGTCTTTTTTCAACTTGCTTCAAATTGACTAATTTTTTTTTTCAAAATCATCTACATGTTCTCAGAAATTCAAATCTGACCTTAGATTTGACATTTGACCTTCAATGACCTTCTCAATGTCAAAAAAGGTCAAAAGGGTATTTTTTCATCTTGCTTCAAATTGACTAAAATTTTTTTCAAAATCATCTACATGTTCTCAGAAATTCAAATATGACTTTAGATTTGACTTTAGATTTGACATTTGACCTTCAATGACCTTCTCAAGGTCTAAAAAGGTCAAAAAGGTCTTTTTTCAACTTGCTTCAAATTGACTAATTTTTTTTTTCAAAATCATCTACATGTTCTAAGAAATTCAAATCTGACTTTAGATTTGACATTTGACCTTTAATGACCTTCTCAAGGTCAAAAAAGGTCAAAAAGGTCTGTTTTCAACTTGCTTCAAATTGACCAAATTTTTTTTTCAAAATTATCTACATCTTTTAAGAAGTTCAAATTTGACTTTACAGGTTCTCAGAAATTCAAATCTGACTTAATATTGTGAGCAACTAGGTGGTGACATTTTGTCATGTTAATGCCTTGTTTATCTGTGTATCTAACTCTAAAAGTGAATTTATGTTATAGTAATGCCTGGGTCACATTTTCTGTTTTCTGAGTGTTTTGTTCAATATTGTATTCAATTTTGAACAAAATACTCAATTGCCCGGGTGCCGCAGTGAAAATCGGAGCAAATGTGACCAAGGCATAAGTTAGAAGAAAAAGGATTAAAAACACACATTACCCTTTTCAGGAATATTGAAATGCAAAACTTGTCATTGTGAGACAAGTCTCAACTCAAAACTCAAAGACTAGAAATAACATATATTCCAGGCAGTGTGTAGGGTTTGATATAGACGAAGATGCGTTAGCCATTTGTCGGTATAATCTGGAGGAGAAAGAGATTGAGAACATGGAGCTGGTACAGTGTGATGTCACCAAGATGGAGCTAGGGACAAAGTGGAATGAGAAGTTTGATACTGTAATCATGAATCCACCTTTTGGAACTAAAAAGAATGCAGGTAAGGCTGTATACAGTAAAACCTGTCTAAGGTGAACACTTTTTGTACGTTCAAAAAGTGTTCCACTTGGGAGGTGTTCCACTTATAGAGGTACTCTAAACATCGCGTCAGTTGGTCTTGGGATTCTGAAGTGTTCCACTAACAAATCTGTTCCAATTCTGGAGGTGTTCCACTTAACAGGTTTCACTGTACTTTGAAATGCTGCTTAAGACTTACTGAGCTAAGGGCTGGACATGTTATCTTCATCCTCAATATAACATTAACTTTCCCATTGTTAACCTTAGTTGAGATGTGATGTTCTTGAGACATGTCATTGCCATGGCGGCAACAATGGCATTGTTTGTATCAGGTCTATGCCTTGAAATAAAATCGATTGGAATGCTATCTCCAATGTGTATCTTGGTTCATTGTTATATGTGGAGAATATTGCCATTACAGCAGGGTCATTGCTTATTTCAGGGCTAGATTTGTTGTTCCTGAGACAAGCCATTGCTATGACAACTAGTACTGGTGCTGTATATTCCCTACATAAGACTTCTACAAGAAAGGTAAAGAATTATATTCTGTATTGATCATTACTACTCCATCAACATAAATTGAACATTATGCACCATCAATAGACTTTGAAGTGCTAAAGCTTGATATGAATTGCTTGCCTCAGTTACAGTAGTGGCATCACAAATGCAAAGAGTCAAAGACATCATCCACTCTAGTAATTTTGAAAGGTTCCTTGTAGGGAATTATTTCAAACTAATATTTACAGAAAAGAAGGTTTATATCAAAGCATATTGATGATGTAAGTTACGGGCCCAGATTGTTCTGATTTTTTTTCAATTTTGGTGTGTTCAGGATCAGAAATTAATGCTAAACATTTATGACTTGTACTCTTTATTTGCAGCATATTGAAAAAGTTGTGAGAGATAGTTGGGAACTGGACATTACAGTTGTTGCAGAACTTCACTTCGAACTGCCAAAGAAATATATGTGTCACAAGAAGGCCTCAGTAGATATTTATGTGGATTTGATAAAAGTTACAAAACCAGAAAAGAAAAGATCAAAAGAGAAAGTGACAAAAAAGCATTTGATGAGTAGCTGATATTATTCATAATAATTGCCAGTTTGGAGATATGATGTGTTCAGTGTGTATGCCAATGAGTCCTACATGTCCAGAGTGATCTTGCAGACAAATGTAATTTACTCTAGATCAATGGAAATGCAGTGTTCAAAGATGCAATATTAGCACCCAGCATACATGTTTGGACTGTAATTGAGAATTGTGGTACTGTAGATACACTTATAGGAATGAAGGTCTTTACTACTTCTTCATTTCTGAAGACGCCATTTTAATTAGACAATTTCGCAGTTTCCATGCATCGTCTATTGCCAATATGAATCAATACCCAATAAATGATTCAATCAATTCAGCAGCTATAAAAGTTTTATACAACATTTCAGAACTCAGAAAATAAGTATTGTCAAAATTGAAATTTTCTATTTTATTTGATATTTGTTGACCTATTTATTTAATAATTTGGACACTAGGCTTTTGAAGCAAACGCATTCCTCTTGGGTGTCTCCCAATTGACATTTTCCTCATTAAAGCATGTTATGGGTTTAAGAAAGTTTTCCACACCTGTGAAGGAATATAAAGTTGATGTGCATGCAAGCCTAAGATATGTCTAAATTATTGCTTTTAAAAAGCATTTAGTGATGTTATTAAATACACCACAAATATTCTGTCCACCAAGTCCCCTTTCAACTGCTCTGTGGAGTGTTTTAAAGAATTGATCAACTATTTGATGTTGTATAAAAATTTCATGAAATCGTGGCCATGAGGTTTGTCTTTGTTTTAGATTTTCTATTCAGTTAGGGCACTGTGGACGAAGTGGCATAATTCTTGGGATTGTTGGATCCTCTTTCCAATCATCTCTCCAACAGTGACACTAAAGTGTTGATGTCTTCTTGTACTCCGTAAACAGAAATATTCTATTTCCCTATTAAGAACCACACGTTGAACTGGAGTCCTACCAACGTATGAACAGTCTCACACTTCCTTTAAAGGTGCAACAATAAGTGCAAAGGGGCCATTCAACGATCAGCGACCAGTGTCAAAATATATTTAAGTTTGGATATTTCATCAAGACTAACATATATTTTCATTATCTACAAACAAACCCCCTGGATGAACATTATTTCAGCTGATATTCCTCTTGAAACACGGTGCATCTTAAAAATCTATAAGTGGGACTCCCTTTATAGAACCTTTGAACTGAATTTACACTTCTTAATGCTGAAATAGATAGTTAATACATTACATTTCAAGAAAATAGGCATGTCAAAGAAGGTGTTAAGCCAAATATTGACCTGATGGCTTAGAAAAAACAAAAAAATTTGAATTTTCTCTACAGTCCTTGTTGCGCCTTTAACAAATTTTTCTTTCAAAATTACAACAAATTGTTCCCCAGAAATACAATTTATGTTCAAATCATATTTTTGTAGTGAATGCCCAGATTGGGTAAGAGTGATTAAATTGCTGATTTTATAGAAACATATAACACATTAATTATTTTCTTACATATATTTCTAGAAGTTCTATGGTTCATGCAATATTCAAAGTAAAATTCTGATTTTAAACCAATGTATGCAGCAATGCCTCAATACACACTACTGTAATATGTATGCAATAACATAATCATTACTAATATTAGCCAAATGGGTTGCTCATGAACACCAAATGCAAGGTACTGTATAATAAAGTGATACAGTTCAGCAAAAAATGTTTCCAATCAGTAAATTAATGTTTACTTACTAGTAAATATTTTCAAAAAACTCTTACATAATAAACTTTACTCACAGAAAGGAGGAGGTGAGCTAATTTTAAATTAAATGTCTGAAAATTTCAACATTGCCCACAATCATGCATTTCGTCAAGGGACTTAAAAGTTACTTATCCTTGTAAAGTTAGGTTATGGTTCAGGGGATAATTAACAGAAACTTAAAGTACAGTTTTTGGTTCGTTAGCTGTGATGTCATCATATCCATGGTTACTACAATTGATTTACGCATTCATAACTTTACAACGTTTTTGTTAATGACCCCCTGGTTCCCACTCAAGTCTTAGGTGTTTGTACCAGTCTCATAATATATATCTGCTCAAGAGACAATATTCTATTTATATGTCTCTGATATACCAATACTATTATAGTATAGTTTCATAAAATGTACAATTTAAATTGTACATGAATATCTAATACAGTACATTGTACCATGTATATTGTACACAAAATGTGTCATAAAATAATGCATGTATGTGAAATATTGAAATACTATAAAATAAATGCTAAAAATACTATAAATTCAAGTGTTTAAAAATTCTTTCCTATAAACTGTTTTTCAACCCAAACCACAACATTTGTCAAAAAGGACATTATCAAATGTTATCCATCTTTTACAATAATTTTGACTTTCTTTTTACTCCATTTTCATCACTTTCACTTCGGTCCCTCAGGAGATATAAATATATCCCTAGGGATATACCCTATATCCAAGACCTCCCAGTACAAAATATGAACTAAAACTGTGTTTAAATTCAACAGATGAAAATATATCCATATGATAGGTTCACCTATTAACTCCATGAACTCCCTGTGGTCATTATATTATATACAGTACAAGACATTAACATGCAAAATGTCACCACCTGTCATTTGTAACAGACACCGAACACCAACCACTAAACACCATCCACAAAAAAGCTATAACAATATGTCACCACTTGTGGTGACATAAAAACTAGTGCCAAGCCATGGTATTTATTCAATGAGCCATTTTTTATCAAGATAGCCATTTTCTCCCAGGAAGAATTAAAATACAGAATGATCAATTGAATAGAATGGATCTTCAATATCTGAAACCATGCATGAGAACATTAACAGCTGTTGCTACATTATAACCATGTGCTCCATATGGATCTATGGGTGAGGGGTCACTCCCACCTTCTGTAGAGTGAACCTCTGTGTGACCCCCTGGGGAGGCATTATGTTGAATACTGGGAGTGGAAGACAATACTAGATTGCTCCCTGAAGAAACACATAATGACTTCTGCCCCTGATCATCTAGGGGACTTGTCATATTCTGTCCAGATGGGTTTTTAAATGCACCAGGTGATTGTGTTGTAATAGTTGAGATTGATTCCTGAGAATGTATACTCTGAGGTGACATCACCTCTCGTTGGTCACTGCTGCTAAATGCAGATTGATTTGACATCATATTGCCAAGGGGACCTGTCATTGTGTCTTGGGAGCCCTGGTTGTTGTCCCGCTGGTATGTATCTGTCATGTACATTGCAGGAGGTGAGATTAACTGGGTAGTTGAATGCATGAGAATAGGGTAAGGTTGCTGTATGGGATGAGGTTGCAGCACTGAGAATAAGGGAGAAACCTGGACAGGACTGGGCTCTACATTTAGTGACCCTGTAGCTGAAACTGTGTGTGAGGAGATACCCAGGCCAGTATCAGATCCAAGATAGGATGCTTCCCCACTACTACAAAACATAGACACACTTGGCAGTTTCTCAGGTTCCATATATTCCACTGACATCTTCCTATCTGTGTCAAGATACTCTTTATCCTTCAAATCCTGATTGGTTATTGTTTTCTTGATAGCTCTTGATTCATCAAGTTTGTTGTGTTCATTGCCTTTGTTGCCATCTATAGATTTGTTGTGTTTGTTGCCTTGGTTACAATGTGGAGATTTGTTGTCTTGGTGACTATGAAGAGACTTGATGTGTTTACCAAGGTTACCTTTCATGGCACATCTGTAGTCACAATGTGGACACTGGAAGTTCTTCACTCCCTACAAGTACATGTAAACTGGTAAGTACATAGATGGGACTCTCGAGGAAAGACTTTTATATTAACTCATTCGCTACTAAGGACTTGATATGACGTCATAAAGCACATACGTCGACTACTAAGGACGTGATATCAAGTCCAAGCACAAACCCAATGTATTTTTGGGAATCTTGTAACCATGACAACTTATAAAATGTAACTTAAAAAACTATTCATTCTGAAAGAGTATATCATATGCTTTAAAATGATATATAACACTATATATGTATGCCCATGTATATACAATTAATTATTTCAGAGGTACCATATATGGCAATTTTCAAAATATCGTCAGTATTATAGTGCTTTTTGCCCCAGTATTGAATGAGTTAAGTTTGTATATGATGCCACTGTCATAAAATAAATTGTCTTGAGTGACATCATCTCCACTGGTTTAATGACCACAATTAAGCTAAAATGAAAGATCTCCATTCTGACCAAGTTTATTCCTTTTATTTTGATTGATGGAAAACTGGTTCCAACAACTCATAGTTACTTGATCTCTGTTACTGTTTTGATTGGTCTTCATCATTTTGATCCAAAGTGTCTACTAAGCTGAATCAACTCACAGTGTTCTTGAAAGGAGAGCAAACTGATTGAAGTCTGCATCTTATTGTAACAATATCAGACAATGCTTACCACTTCTGTGTGTTTGACTCTCACATGTTGCTTTAATTTGCCTGTGTCAACAAACCCCATGCCACAGTGTTCACACTTCTCTGGTCTTTCACCTTGAAATAAAGGAAGTTATTCGTAAAATAATAAACTTTTGATAATACAGACCTTTTATCCCATGGTTAGAAGGATATCATATAACATCCACTCATGGATATAAATGATATTTTTTCAAAACCATAGGATATTCCTATAATATATTGTCAAAAATGTGATATTTCGATGACAAAAAAAGCTGATTCCTCCGAATAGGAAAAGTAGAAGCAGGGAACAATAGTGTAAAAACCAGAATGACCCCCATAGAATGGATATTGAGCATTAATTCAGATGAATGACATGCACAATTTTCGTATGTCCAAAAATTATTGATGGATGGTAAGATGGTAAGATGGAAGGATAAATGGACAGACAAGTGGGCGATTTCATAAGCTCATCATGTAAGCTAATACAAATGAACCACTCATATACATGTATTTATCCCCCTTTCAGTAATCGTAACTGTCACAACATAGTAACATATGGAATACATATATGTTTATACTAAGATGCAAAGTAATGTGTTAATACATAATGCATACACATACCTGTATGTGAGTATCTGATATGAACCCTCAAACTGGTCCTATTAGCCAATCTCTGACCGCAATATGTGCACATGAAGAGTTTCTCCCCTACAACAAAGACTGATGCACATGTAAATCCAAACCATGCAATGTCTCTTTCATGAATCATAAATACCACACTGTGCATACATATTTCAATGGTCAAAAGTCAGAGCCAACATTATCACATTGTATACTGCACATGGAAATAATCTCATGCTTTCAAAACATTTTGTGTCACGCTTTGCAGTCAAATAAAAAATGTACAGATGGCATTTTCTCAGAGAGAGACTAACTGCTCGTATCTTCATTGTCTTACATGATGGCAAAACTATTTTATTTGAAGTGTAGTTCCCCTGAGATTAAAGCGTCCTTACCTTTGAAGCTTATTTATGTATCATTTTAAAGCATTCAGTATCAGGAACTATGGACCATGTTATCAATGTTTGTCATTGTCAACCAATTTTTCTGTACTTACCAGTGTGTGTTATTTTATGTTGTTTCATAGCAACAGGCCTGAAACAAGTGTAGGAACACTGGTCACATGTTAGGCTGAAAGAACAAATCATATTTTCACTATATCTAATTAGCCCAGTCAATAATGGCCCGATAGTTCGCGATCATATATATTCTTAGATTTTCGGCACATATACTAATGTGGACATTCTAAAAATTTTGATCCGCATTGCCAAGCACGAATCGCACTCCTTCATGGTGAAAATTCAAGATGGCCGCCAAAATTGTCGACAATTTTATAATATTCATTTGATAATTTTTTTAATTCCCTTATCTCAATAAAATGTGGTTAGTTAGTGTTTTCCAATATCAATTGATAATATTTCTACCCTGAAAAATATTTAAATTATCTAAAAAGAAGATTTTGGTTGTTCAGTACCACCCATTGTTAAGATTTCGTCAAAATTTTCGGTAAATCATTATATATATAGTACTGTACCTATCATATCTCTATCCTTTTTTCATCACAATATACTTAAGTATTAGGTTTGTATGTTTTAGTAGAAACTGATTCCTTTCCAAACAATATTAGATAAACACATAATGAAGAATGTCTCCGATAGCACCACCTATTGGTGAAATTGTTCAAAATCAAAACTGTGTTTTATAATATATTGAACTGTTGAACTAAGCGTGTAATAGTTTGGAGAGCCAAGATTTGATCTGCATCATGTACAATGCATAATGAACAAGGCATTAACATGACAAAATTTCACCACCTAAAACAATTTGGTCAATTTAAAGCAAGTTGGAAAATACCTTTTGACCTTGAGAAGGTCATTGAAGGTCAAAGGTCAAATCTAAAGTCAGATTTGAACTTCTGAGAACTTGTAAAGTCAAATTTGAACTTCTGAAAAGATGTAGATGATTTTGAAAAAAAAATTTGGTCAATTTGAAGCAAGTTGAAAACAGACCTTTTTGACCTTTTTTGAACTTGAGAAGGTCATTAAAGGTCAAATGTCAAATCTAAAGTCAGATTTGAATTTCTGAGAACATGTAGATGATTTTGAAAAAAAAAATTAGTCAATTTGAAGCAAGTTGAAAAAAGACCTTTTTGACCTTTTTTGACATTGAGAAGGTCATTGAAGGTCAAATGTCAAATCTAAAGTCATATTTGAATTTCTGAGAACATGTAGATGATTTTGAAAAAAAAAATTTAGTCAATTTGAAGCAAGATGAAAAAATACCTTTTTGACCTTTTTGACATTGAGAAGGTCATTGAAGGTCAAATGTCAAATCTAAAGTCATATTTGAATTTCTGAGAACATGTAGATGATTTTGAAAAAGAATTTAGTCAATTTGAAGCAAGTTGAAAAAAGACCTTTTTGACCTTTTTTGACTTTGAGAAGGTCATTGAAGGTCAAATGTCAAATCTAAAGTCAGATTTGAATTTTTGAGAACATGTAGATGATTTTGAAAAAAAAATTTAGTCAATTTGAAGCAAGTTGAAAAAGACCTTTTTGACCTTTTTTGACTTTGAGAAGGTCATTGAAGGTCAAATGTCAAATCTAAAGTCAGATTTGAATTTCTGAGAACATGTAGATGATTTTGAAAAAAAATTTAGTCAATTTGAAGCAAGTTGAAAAAAGACCTTTTTGACCTTTTTTGACTTTGAGAAGGTCATTGAAGGTCAAATGTCAAATCTAAAGTCAGATTTGAATTTCTGAGTACATGTAGATGATTTTGAAAAAAAATTTAGTCAATTTGAAGCAAGTTGAAAAAAGACCTTTTTGACCTTTTTTGACTTTGAGAAGGTCATTGAAGGTCAAATGTCAAATCTAAAGTCAGATTTGAATTTCTGAGAACATGTAGATGATTTTGAAAAAAAAAATTTAGTCAATTTGAAGCAAGTTGAAAAAAGACCTTTTTGACCTTTTTTGACTTTGAGAAGGTCATTGAAGGTCAAATGTCAAATCTAAAGTCAGATTTGAATTTCTGAGAACATGTAGATGATTTTGAAAAAAAAATTTAGTCAATTTGAAGCAAGTTGAAAAAAGACCTTTTTGACCTTTTTTGACTTTGAGAAGGTCATTGAAGGTCAAATGTCAAATCTAAAGTCAGATTTGAATTTCTGAGAACATGTAGATGATTTTGAAAAAAATTTTAGTCAATTTGAAGCAAGTTGAAAAAAGACCTTTTTGACCTTTTTTGACCTTGAGAAGGTCATTGAAGGTCAAATGTCAAATCTTAAGTCAGATTTGAATTTCTGAGAACACGTATATTATTTTGAAAAATTTTTTAGTCAATTTGAAGAAGGGTTGAAAACAGACCTTTTTGACCTTTTTTGACCTTGAGAAGGTCATTGAAGGTCAAATGTCAAATCTTAAGTCAGATTTGAATTTCTGAGAACACGTAGATGATTTTGAAAAAAAAATTAGTCAATTTGAAGCAAGTTGAAAACAGACCTTTTTTTGACCTTGAGAAGGTCATTGAAGGTCAAATGTCAAATCTAAAGTCAGATTTGAAGGTCAAATGTCAAATCTAAAGTCAAATCTAAAGTCAGATTTGAATTTCTGAGAACATGTAGATGATTTTGAAAAAAAATTTAGTCAATGTGAAGCAAGTTGAAAAAAGACCTTTTTGACCTTGAGAAGGTCATTGAAGGTCAAATGTCAAATCTAAAGTCAGATTTGAACTTCTGAGAACATGTAGATGATTTAGAAAAAAATTGAAGTCAGTCTAAACAGTATTTGTTAAGTTATAGGAAGTTGTAAGAAATTGTTACAGACGCCGGACGCCGGACGCCAACCTCCAACCTCCAACCACCAACCTCCAACCACCAACCGCCGTCGCAAAAAAAACGGAGACCATAACAATATGTCACCACTTTTGGTGGTGACATAATAAAAAACTATAGTATTATTTTACAGTAGAATGCCAACTCTAAGATGTCAACCATATTTTTTTTGGGGGGGGGGGGTAAATAGGGGGTATCTTGCAGTTTATATAGTATTGTCATATCTGAACCCTTACTTTAGTTATTCTTATGAACACTCTCCATTACAGGCACACAATGATGTGCATACTAGAGCAGCCTTCAAGCTGGTACATCTTGATGGGAAACCCTGCTTCTGACAACCACACTTTACCAATGGTTGACTAGCATCGGCCATCTGCTTTAATGTAGTCCTGTATAGCTTTTAAGTTGTCTCTTGGCTCTGTTCTCCAGCCCTAGTTCTTTGGAGATAGAATGATTCCCGGGGAATGATAGGACTTGGTTTGTTAAGCTGACCCCAGATATGTACACCTTGGGACAATGCTCCCTTGCAGTTTTGCATTAAGGCGTCAGCTGTTGGAGGAATGTGTTCAATTTGCTGAATTTATCATACAGCAACATAACATTAACAGTTTAAAGGATCATCTATTGGACCGAGGAGTGCATTCATCAGTTGTGAAAATGAGTTCCATCTGTCCCATGCTATAATTCTGCCCCTGCTTCCATGGAATCCAGGTGTGGTATCACAACTTGTCAATGAGTGGAATAATGCCAGACATAGACTTTTTGAGGCCCGATGGAATTCGCCATTTCATGTGCTGCCAAATACCTGAACTGTCTCCCCTTGTCAAATCTAACTCATATTTGTTCACTCAGAACAAATGTGTTGATTGTGTGCAAGGTTACTTGTCTTTGGTGGATTGTTTTTGTGGATTAACAAATGACATTCTGACCAAAGGTTGCGAGAAGTCTTTTTCGTTCAGGAATAATTATATTGCTCACATTTGCAGTAAGGATTTGAAACAGTAATCTCTTGTTTTACTCCAAGCACAAACAATCTTGCCAGTTTCTAGGTAGGGAATTTTCGGGATAAATATGCTTCCTTTTACTGTTTCCTCTCTTATTATTTATACCAGACTCTAAACTGTTACATGTAGTTTCATAACTGTCCATAACAATATCTACATGTAGATGGCATGATTTTGTTCATGTCATGTACCTTGTTGTTTTAATCACTGTTTAGTTTCCCTGAATTCACCAAGCACTGATTGGTGTGTTGTGTTAAATTGGTTCATGTCACGGATATGAACTGGTAGCCATCTTAACTAGTTGGTGTGATTGAGCATAAAAAGGCATGGCAACAACTCAGAAAGGGTATCTTTGTATAGGCTGAAGTTGCCCTTTTAAAAGTCTAAGATCCATTACCATTCACCAGAACTTAAATTGGGAAGAGCCATTCAGCTGGGACTGTTTTTTCACCCAGATAAAGGAATCCGCTGTATCAGATGTGGCTATGGCAGCTTGAGAGAGGGATATTGCCCAAGATGTGAAATGCTCCCATCTCAGTGTGCATTCCACCAAGTATCCTTATCAGCTTCGTTTTTTCTCTTATCTCCTCTGGGCATTGTCCACTATTACAGTGCAAAGAGCAGCAAGTACAGGTATTTGGCTGGGTTGATATAATTTGTTGACTTTATACACATCAACATGAGAGACAATGAATATTAGACTATAAACTGACTTCAATATAACTAAAATAAAATGAAGAAAATTGTAATACAGTTCTGTTATACTTCAAAGTGCAGAAACACTCAGGAAATCAAGATGGGTGACATGCCTCAATATTTACACCCAAAAACCTTATCCCCACTAATACATACCCCTTCCCCCTTCATATAACTCTCATTTCTACTTTCTACAACTTACATGTTGTTGAATCTAGAAACGCTAATATTTTTATTCCAGATAACAGTTACTTAAGAATTGGCAAATTGGGTCAGTATGAATAAAATAACAATTATCAATTTATGTTTCAGAGCAGTTTAATGCATATACCTATAGGGGGGGGGGGGGGGCTGCACAACACTCTTCTTTATTGGTTATAGTGAAATATTTTGACAGATAAATGTTGAATGTTATCACAGCATTGATAAAATATAAACTTGTCAAATTTTATGGAAAAGAAGAAGTGAATAAGGGAATTGTTTATTATTTTGACGTTAATTTTGGTATAATTTTATCAAAAGGTGGCGCTATAAAAGTAATTTCTTATACTTAATAAAAAATTGTTTGGTGGGAATATTGTTAAATAATATCTGAA